CCTCTGACGGTGCTGTGGCACCTCATCGACCGCAACAAGTGCTGGGGATAGATCAGTCCTTTGAACATATGGGCCGGTGGGATGCATGCATGTTGTGAGTTCTTTGTTGCGCGCGACGTTCCCCTCGCACTAACGGCAGCGATTGGGGGCTTCCACCATCGTCGTCAAAAGCTACTGCATCTCTGATTCCGCCGCATCCTCCTGCCCACCTGCAGACGTACTCTCGCGACCTGATCATGCGGCAGAAGGAGCTGTACGCGACGCGCTGGAGGCATGAAACGGATACCGGTCGCCGGTATGCAGGGCTTGTGCTATAGGGTGATCGTCAACTCGGGAGCACCGGAGGCGTCACGCCTCATAGCCCGTCCATGAGAGGGTCGATTCCAGTCCAGAGAGGGGCAGTGACCGGCGAGGTTCCATTTGCACAGGCTCTGCAGACTCTCGACGGAAGCAATCGGTACGAACCGTGCACAGTACGTGATTCCGACGTCCTGCAGGGGGCCGTGGCTGACCAGGGGCCGTTTGCATTTCCAGAGGGGGGTGCTGGATGCCATCTCGAGTTAGAACCACCACCACCACCAAGCCGATGATGCCGAATGAATTTTGCGCCTGCCGTCAAACTCGCCAGGTAAGCGTGTCGTGCACTTCCATGCCCTTGACGTAACATTGAAGCCGTCGAATGTAGTGGGTGGCTGCCTGTGGGAACGGGAACGGAAACTACGTCCAGGGGGCATATGTCTGTGGAGCTATGGTCCGGCCGTCTGAACAGTACGAATCAAATGGGTCACAGCGGTTACGAACATATACGGTCCGTTCCATGTTAGCCAACGTTCCCCGGCAGCGTGCAGTTTACTGAGGCCTCAGGCACTCGTCGGAGATGGGTAGTCAGTGAGATCTAGCTCGGTTCTGTCTACTGAGTTCTTTGTTCGTCTGCTTGGGATTCCTTGGGCTCAAGTCTTCCGAGAGGACATCCGGCGGGCGAGCACGGCTGGACAGTCGACTACACGTTCGTGGTTCGTGGTTTCACCCGTTTTGCCATACGAAGGCCCTCATGCAGCCGTGATGCATCGTGTACGGCGTGATAGGCGAGCCGGTCAGCAAACCTCTGGTACACAATACACACGCAGTAATTCCACCCGCTCGCTTGTCGCGCAATGAGGCTATTCCTTACGTGTCCTCCGCGTCCACAGGCCTTCCTTCGCTGCAAGGATAGTCTTGGCAGCCATTTGTTCTAGCCCCATCTTCTTTCCGAAGTAATATAATGGTATACGCGCAGGCTCGGCTCGGCGGAGACCGACAGTGCGTTCGATCACCATGCCCATGTGGCTTAAATTCAGCCTGTGTCTGAACCTACGCCGGCATACATAGCGAACAGCAAATCTAGCTGCCGTCGTGCAGCCAGAGTAGCAAGGCGGCCTGCCAAACTCCACCCGTTGGGCTCAGGGCGCACCACGGAGATCAGAGGTGCATTTTGGTTGGCTCCACTGGAGGCTTATGTGAGGGCTGTGCCATCCACCGGGCGGGAACATGGCTTGATCGCGGCCGAAGCCACTCTCTTCTTCCGCACCCACAGGTACAGGTGCGGCACTGTTACGTTTGGTTGTAGGGGGCTCGCACTCTCTGGGCCTAATGTGTCGACAATGTTGCCGACGGGGCTTACACTACAACATCGTCTGGCGACCCTCAAAAGGCCTCACCTTTTCATCTTAATCCCGATGGTGGACTTCCCCGATCAAGCGGAAAACAAAACACATGACTCAGCTCAGATTCTTGCAAGCCTGTCGTCGATTGCGCCTGTGCCATGTTTTTGCGTGCTTGGCTTCTATCATGTTGTCTCACTATCATCAAATTAGAGAAGACGATGCGCAGGTCCGACTCGGCCCGTAGCCTATGGGAGATAGTATAACCTTGTGTCCCAAAGTCGTATCGTAGAGTGTGCATACATAGTGGAGATGCTATGCTGTGAGTGAGATACACGATATCAATGCGGCGGAGGTATAGATACGTAGAGGGTATGTAACAATTTGATTATCCAGTAAAGTCCTGAGATTCGTGAACCAAAGTCCGTAAGAGAAACTACTCGATATAGTGCTGTACATTATGGTAACCATTACTATCGTGACGCTTGACCGCCCACCATCTACTGGAGGCAGCCGGAGAAGTCCCGAGTGCCTGACGATTGTCTAGAAACGGCCGTAGTCCGAGAGACGAGTCGACTGAAGCTGCGGGCTGAGGTCGTGGTGGCGATGGAACACGAGGACGTCTGACTATGATCGATGATGGTGAGCAGCACAGCGTCCGATGCCTTGCCCTGATGCGCCCATAGCCACAGCTGTGCGACTGCAGCGGAGTCCGCCGCCGCGGCCAAGCGGATCGCAGATCTGGGGATAACCCGTGCCCCGCCGCCTCTGTGCAGCGTCAGAGGCGTGCCCGCGCGCCGCGCAGGGCGCGCTCGCGGCCGAGCACGTACGACGCCTGTAGCGCGGTGAGCTTGCCGCGGTCCTCGGCGTACGCCCACGGCTCGTCGTACGCGGCCGGGCGGAGGTGCCACAGGTCGCGGTCCTTGTCGCGCTTGAGGAGGCGCGTGCGCAGCGGGCCGTCGCCCCGGCGACGGAGGTAGACGCACGTCGCGCACTTCGCGTCTGCGCACTCCGCGTGCTGACAGCGTGGAGATCTGTTGGGAGCGGAGCAGCAAAAGCCATCATCGCAGGCGCGTCAGTGGGCGCAGACTTTGGGCGAGCGGTGGGGGGGGGGGCGTCAGTTACTTACCCGAAGGGGGGGACGAGCTTCTGGATGTCTGCGGCGGACCGGGCGTGGGGCCCACGATGCGTACAGACCTTTTTGCGGAGGGACGGGAGCGAGACGAACTTGCGCTCAAAGTCCAGCTCGTCCTCGGTCGGTTCTGGGTCGGCGGACCGTCCGCGGGAGACGTCGGGGGCGTTGTATGACGACCCTGCCGGGCCTGTCTTCTTGACGCGCTGCAAGGCCCCTGCAGACGAGACGTCTGGGGCAGAAGCTGCCACGGAGTGACGGAGAAATTGTGGCGCGGAACTGGGACGAGCTGACGCTGCCCCACGTTGAAACTCGGTGCTCACAAATTCCGTGCCTCCGTTCCCCCGACCGGGGAAGGGGGAGGGCGCGCGGCGGGGGCTGAACGGCGTGAGCGATCGGCGCGTTTCTTCGCTCTTCGCGTCGAGTGCGTCAAGGTGTTCCCATCGGGACACAGATGGAATAGAGTAGACCACCTCGTCGTAATCTCGGGTGCGACTTGTGGAGGGTGCGGGGGAGATGGCCCGAGGGACGGACTCGTAGAACGAGAGGGCGGACCAGCCGGACGAGGAAGGAAAGCCTGTAACACAATCCGATGGGCCCGGCATTGGTGGCACTGCTAGGTGTAGCGCCGAATGAGGAAGGTAGGTGCTGGTTGAGGCGAGCATGGGGTCTACGGGGCTAAGAGGGAAAGCGAGCATGCTCAGAATGCGGTCGTGCTGCAGAGAAGAGCCAGGGAGAGGCCAGAGATCGTTGCGCAGGGGAGAGGGGGGGAAGAGTGGAGGTGCAGCAAGCAGAAGCAATCAAGTATGTATCAATCGGACCGGAGTGCTCGCGGCTAGTCCAGTTACTTTGATAGACTTTGTCCAGCCAGATGGAGAAAGAGGAGCTATCGACTGGGCGAGAACAGACAAGTGCCCACCTCCCACTTAAGCATTTTTGTCGAGGCAAAGTTCCGTTCATATTCGAGATGCCGACCGGCGCCCTGTATGATTGATGGCAGCGGGCGATCGCATATCGTCGCTACGAACGATAGTGTGTGGATGTGCTTCGTGCAGGGCTGATTCAGATGGACCCCGTCCGGTGATTCAAGAGACCCGTAAGTGACATAAAGTGACAAGGCTGGTGCTTCTCGTGGGATGCTACAAGATAGCTGCGGCGCTCATCCTGCGGCAACGGCTGCTTGCATGATGGGCGTTGGGCTCGAGGATGTCCCGGCGTTACGGAAGGGTAGACTAGGGCAAGTAGGATGGCTGTCACGGCAGGCTTCGGATGCTTTCGGTCGGACGTTCGGATGTTTTCGGTCAGAGAAAATTCCATGTCGATGAAAAGGGGAGCCACGTGAACAGAGACCTTTGAACAATGGCCTATGTAGATGCCTCCTGTCTCCCATTGGAAATATCGAAATGCCTGCCGTGCCAGCCATTATTATTGGCCAGCAGCGCCATCGCTAAGCACCAGTGTCTGTGGTGGGAAGGCTTATATGACCACGTGCACGGTTTGTGCGTTTGATAGCAGCAGATAGCAGCCCGATTTGTGTCTGCGGGGTACTTACATACATACAAATCGTTCGATGGAGATCGATGCGTTTCGCCATCATCATCTGCGCTCCTCTCATTTCGCCCTCATCGTCGGCAGAACGTCATAAACGCACCGGGCCGCCAGTCACTCCTGCTTTGGCTTGCGACTCTCCGCCGTCTGCAAGCATCGCGAAGTGATCATCGTGCGAGGCACAGAGAGACGCTTTACGTCCCATCGCGCGCTATGCTGCGAACAGCTGAGTGTCCGCTCATCTTCCAACAGGTTCGGTTCAGTGTTCTGGGAAGAGAATGGGAGGAGAAGTACTGTTTAAAGTGTCATGGAGTCCTTCTCTTAGGTAATCATAGAAATGTCTTGACTCATGCGGCTGGCTCGGCTTCAAGCACCGACGCCTTTTTATAATAACCCTTCACACCCATGTTGGAACTCGTCCTCTCTCTCTCAAAATTCCGCCTTCTCTCCCCTTCAATACGCCCGTAACCCCCGCTATGACTGCCCGACACGTTGGGGCCGATGAGGAGACCCCGCTCTTGCGCTCAGAGAGCCGCAAGCGCACCAAGACACCTCTCCCGTGGGACCAGTTCACGATCCTTCTCTTCCTCCAGCTTGCAGAGCCTCTCACCAGTCAAGTGATCTATCCATTCGCCCCAGAGGTAGATCGCCTATATTCACGATCGTATGAAAGAGCATTTAGTCTGATGTATGCACTTAGCTCATCCGGAGTCTTGGGATCACTCATGGAGACGAAACGAAAGTCGGATATTACGTTGGAGTCATGGTACGTACTGATTTTCCCATATTCGTCGACGTCCGAGAGCCTGCTGTTTCATCACATGGGAGAACGAAGTGGACTTCATGCGCGCCGGAAGATCCTCGCGCCTTATGGGGAAACCCCGTTCTTCTGCCCAAAGCTTCTCGCGGATCCTTGGTCTTTCCGGCTCTAGCGCGCTACAGGAGAGTGAATCAACTGATATTGTGTTTCAGCAATCCATATTCTTCGCGACACAGGCTCTCACTGTCCTGCACTGGAGCAGAGTATCTGATCACGTCGGCCGGAAACCTGTCATCATGACCGGTTTGATGGGTCTGTCGCTTTCCATGTATTGCTTTGGTCTCTCCCGGACGTTTTGGGGAGCCGTAATCAGGTCAGTGTTAGTTTAGACTTCTGTCGAGGGTCGAGTGCTAAATCCACATTCACGCCTGTCAACAGCCGAAGTCTAAACGGCGCTCTGAATGGTAACATCGGCGTCATGAAGAGTATGCTGGCTGAAATCACGGACTCCACCAACATTGCCCAGGCGTACGCATTCATGCCCATCGCGTGGTCTACTGGAGCGACCCTCGGGTAAGGCGTTCCCAAAGTCCATATATGCGCCTTGGTCTAATATGTCGATCCTCAGTCCCGTCATTGGTGGCACACTTTCGCGACCTGCGGAGCGCCTTCCCGAGATCTTTGGCCAGCTTGACTTCTTGAAGAAGTATCCTTATTTCCTTGCATGTTCTATCCCCGCAACCTTCTCCATCGTCGCCTGTTTCGTTACTCTATTCTTCCTCAAGGAGGCAAGTCGATCCTGTGCTCTTCCTCGTTCCTGGCTCACGATCTCCCCTCCCACTTCAGACTGTGCGAAACCCCGTGTCCGTGCGTCAGATTCTCCGTCTATCGTTCAAGGAGGCCGCTTTTGAGTCGGACATCTCGACCGCCGGGTCCAAAGCAGTTGTTGTCGATGACAAGTCACGCCCACTCCCTTTTAAGAGGCTCCTCATCCCCCGCGTGATCGTCCCTGCGGCTAACTACGCCTTCCTCGCGATCGTCGATATCACCCTCCGCGCCATTCAGCCCGTCTTCTACTCGACGCCCGTCGCGCTCGGTGGTCTTGGCTTGAACCCGCAGCAGATCGGCTATATCCTTTCCTTCTACGGCATTGTCAACGGCGTGACGCAGATCTTCCTCTTCAGTCGCGTGAACGACCGCTTTGGCTCGAAGCGCGTGTACCTGGTCGGCCTTGCAAGCGTGCTCCCCGTGTTTGCGATGTTCCCGTTCATCAACGAGCTTGCCCGGCTGGAGGGCCTGACTCCGATGGTATGGGGGCTTGTCGTCTGCCAGTCCCTCATGGGTATCATCATCAATTTCGCATACGGTCAGTTTGTTCATTTCCGCCTGTGTGTATGCAGCTGGATATTGACCCCCTGGATGTGCCTTTCCCACAGGCGCCGTCTTCATCTTCATCACCGCGTCCTCGCCGAACAAGGCCTCGCTGGGGTCGGTGAACGGCCTTGCGCAGATGGTCGTCTCGCTCATGCGCACGATCGGGCCGGCGACGGCGAACTCGCTCTTCTCGCTCTCGATCGACCAGGAACACCACTATATGGGCGGCTACTTCGTCTATTACGCGCTCTCCGCACTCGTGCTTGTCGCCGTCTGGGTTGGGACGCTTCTGCCCAAGGATACCAAGTACGACTCGGAGGAGGAAAGTGCAACCTCATAGTGGCCGGCGTGTAGGATCTGCGCGCGCACATGCGTTTCCCCATCGTCTTCGGCATTCCCATCTTCATGAACAGCTTACGATTCGCCACGATACCTTCACGAGCGTCGTGTTCGTTACTCAGCGTCAGAGAGACTATCCCCCCCCCTCCTTCTACCGTCCCACTGTATTCCGCCCCACATCATACCCTCCCGTCCCCCATTTCTAAAAGCAGGCTATAGCAGCGCCTCGATCTCAGCGAGGCAGAGCAGACAGACTACACGGAGTACTGTGACAGATTGGAATTCTGTTGTACCCAAGCACCATATAAAACGGCATAACAATCGTTGTCGTTCATCTCATGATACGTTGGCATGAATTCAACGTCTGGCACAGATAATTCAGACATATCTCGGCGAGCTCCATGGTCAATACTCTGGGTAATGCAAGCCAGGACTTTAGCACGCAGGTACACGCTGTTCCGAGTTCGAGAACACACGTAAGACTGAAGGTGGGCGAAACGGCACCCCGGAGGCGGTGCGGTTCAAGCACATCTCCAAACGCCCGGCTTGATGACCGCCGGGGGGCCTGAGGGTTGTGGTTAGCGTCACTCTTGCGCTCCGGGGGTGATGAAACTCAATTCTGCATCAGTACGTGTACGGTCGAACAACAGTGTCGTAACAATGACGAGACCCCGAGCTATAGGTCGAAAGGAGCGCCGCAAGCACCAATCAATCCAATCATGAACGGAAGAAGCTCCTACAGTCGCCAGAGCCTGCGCGCATTCGACATCCGGTGCGACCCTCGCAGTGATCTCCTCTGAACTTCTGTGATATGCGATGGCACAGCGTCGTCGCGAGAGCCGTGATCGGTCCCCCATGGAGTTGTCGGACTCGGGTAGTCTCCATGCGAGCCCAGCGAAGGCGCAGGACACCGTACGCGGCGTTGCTTCGCGTGTCGTAATACCTACCGCGGCAAACGGGTCGCCTGGTGGTTGTACAAAGGGGGGCACCGGTGCATGGCGGAGCCGGAGACCTCAAACGTGCTGTAACCTTGCTATGCCGTCTACCCAGTGGTCCGGTAAGAGGGCGGGTAAGCGCGTGGGTGCAGATGCGAGGTGCCGTTGGCGACGTAAAGGGATGTCGACTCTCGAGGACAAGGGCCGTTAGGCGTCGAGGATCATCGAGCTTCCATCGAGCGCGGCGGATGGACACGAAACGAACGGCATATGGCACAGGAAGAATGCATAGACGGATACACCGACGTCCTAGTCGCTCGGATTTCAGACCGCCAAATGACAACGCCGGAAGATGTATGATCGTTACTACGCGTATTAGTTGACGATGAGTCAGCTCACGAGGACGAGGAGGGACAGTCGGTACTTGACGCACCCCACATTCTATAACGAGTCTCTTAGCGCGTAGCATGAGGGTCAGTCCTGGGCATACAACGGTGAATCGAAAGAGACTGTCGGGCATTGAACTAGAGTTGAATTGAGGGCCCGCGTTCATACCTATTTCACTTTGGGTGGACAAGCAAAGTCCGCAGATGTGAGGCAAGGGGGCCATCTGCTCGAACCGCCCATAAACGCAGTAGCCGCACGACGGGTACTTGTAAGTTGTTGCGTACTGCGTTTCGAGAGAGAAGGCTGTGTCAGTTGGGTGTTTCGCTCGTCTGCTCCAATCGAGACGTCTTATGGCGCCGGCAGGATAAAGCGCCCAGATTGGAGCGACCTCCGAGGAGGGATAGGACGAAGGCGAGTAAGCGGCCTCCTTGGAGACGCAGCTTGGGCGTAACAACATGGGCTCGTAGACGAGTCGCACGAACCGCAACGCCAGCCAAATGAATCAGGTGGACGCAGTCAAGTTGGCAATTCGAGCGCAGTAGAACAACAGTAACTTCGGACGGAAGTTCGGTATCAGGGTCCGAGTGCGACTGGTAGGATGACGTCGAAGCCTCAGCTCAGACTGGCGATTGAAATCATGCATGGTAGATTAGTAGCCTGCTGGCATCCACAAGTGGGTATCAGAAGGTGAGCAAGGTGGCATGTAAAGACGGTGGCGGCGCCATCTATAATTAGTGGACGATATACCTGTCGGCTGCTCATCTCGACATGGTGAGATGGCCGAGCGGTCTAAGGCGCCAGACTAAGGCTTCAGCATGCTGACAAATCTGGTCCGAAAGGGCGTGGGTTCGAATCCCACTCTCATCATTTTATTCTGCTGTATATTGTTTTGTTCTGTGGGTCTGACGTTGGAAGAATATCGGGAGGGTATTGCGCTCACTTACGGCGCAGAAACACCCTGTACGTAGACGTCGGTGGCACATAGTACAGCAGCACCACGCGACAGAGCCTTTACTCGCTTCCGATCAAGATCGCGCGATCGATAGAGGTCGATCAAACAGGCAAGTACCGACTGCCTTCACAACCATAAGTAAATGCTCCTTAGGGCCTTCCGAACTCGTACAACCTCTTCGTTGCCGACGTCGGCCACGGTCTTCCAATCAGGTATCAGGCAACGGGTATCATCCCTAGTACACCAAAGCCCTTTGCTTTGTGATACAGCGGCGTCAATTCACTTGAGGGCGTCGTCCAGGACCGCAACCGCGCAACTGAGAGCTCACAGCACACGAACCACGCAACGTCATCCCGGCATGTACCCACCCATCGAGCCGTACGAGACCGGAAAACTCAAGGTTTCCGACATACATACCCTCTAGTGCGTGGCCCGTCTTGCTCGATCGCGTCGCCGCACAGGATGACATCATATCGCGCAGTTATGAAGTGAGCGGGAACAGAGAAGGGACCCCCGGTGTGTGTTATGTTGCTCGACATATCGAGGGCCCTTCTGTTATGTTATAGCTTGCTAATAGCATAACAGTGGTGTTCCTGCATGGCGGACCCGGAGGAGGTACTGATCCCAAGGACCGATCGTTCTTCGATCCTACCAAATACAAGGTACGGACCGCGGCATCTCCTGACTTGACGAACATGATGCCTATCGTTTCCATAGATCATCCTCTTCGACCAGAGAGGAGCCGGAAAATCCACTCCGTGCGTGCACATCTAAACGTGCATCCGCTCCTTTTGCTTTGCTGATTCCTTCCGTCGTGTAGCACCGCGTCGCTTGAAGACAACACAACTTGGGATCTTGTAAAGGACATCGAGAAGATCCGTGAGCACCTTGGGATTTCCAAATGGCACGTCTTCGGCGGCTCTTGGGTGAGCCTCCAATATGACGAGCAGAATGATTGTCTGTAATTCATGCGGGAATTCGAAAGGGGTCCACACTGGCGCTAGCATACGCAGAGGTTCGTAGGTGTGCCAGTGTTTGATGACTCTCCGCGTGGTCTCACGGGCTTCTTCTGCAGACCCATCCCGCCAAGGTCAAGTCTCTGGTGCTGCGGTATGTATTTCGCACGTCTCAGCACACAACTCCGAGGTCCTGACATCGTGATTAAGCGGCATTTTCACGCTACGTAAGAGGCAAGCCCATGAGTTGTTATCTATCGCGAAGCACCGTTAACACCCTTGTCCAGCGAGTTGCGCTTCTTCTACCAAGATGGCGCCTCCCATCTCTTTCCTGAGGCCTGGTAAGGAGCTTAGACAACCCCTTTAGTCATCAGCTGACATGTGGTTCAGGGAAGAGTTCATCGCTCCCATTCCCGAGACAGAGCGCGGCGACCTCATGCTTGCGTATCACGCTCAGCTCAACTCGACCGACGACGAGACACGCCTGCGTGCTGCGCGTGCGTGGACAAAGTGGGAGTTCCAGACGTCAAAGCTATATGTCGACCCTGCTCATGTCGCCGAGGCGGAGAAGGATGATTTTGCCAAGTATGCAAGTCCCTCGCGCCGTTAGAGCATCATAAGCTTCTGACTGACGAGACCCTTGCAGCGCGTTTGCATCGATCGAGAACCATTACTTCGTTAACGATGTACGTCCGAACTCCTTGCGGCTCCGTCCATCGCTCACCACTCACTCATATGACGCTTTAGGGGTTTATGAGAGACGGCCAACTCCTGGATAAGCAGGAGATTGACAAGATGTAAGTCTTGCGATGCCGCGAGCATGTCCTCTTTACGGCAGCAGTACTGACCCCCTGATGAGTCGCCATATTCCTTGCGTCATCGTACAAGGTCGCTATGACGTCGTATGCCCGGCGACGACCGCGTTCGCTCTGAAGAAGGTTTGGCCCGAGGTGACGCTTCATATCGTACCAGACGCGGGCCACTCGTCGCGTGAGCCTGGCACTGCGAAGCTTCTCGTGAAGGTTGGTCGCCTATGCCCACATGAATTCGGTCCGACCGAGGCATGCTGACTTCTGCGCCCAAACTGCAGGCGACCGACGAATTTGCGCACATTTAAACGGAGAAGCGGCACGAAGCTAGAGCATGACATGACAATTTCATGCCGTCATTGAATCTGAGGCGCTGCTATTGGTTATGTCCGGCGTTGCGCTGCTGTACGATAGTGTAGTTAACTGATCCCCCGCAACTCCATTGGGAACTAAAGCGTGATAGGTGACGACGAGCCTTGCTTATCTTGTGAGCCACCGGTCTGCCAGTATATATCACGTCGCGCAGGATTGGCCGGAGCTGTGCACCTCCCATATTCCCCTTTCTCCCAGACCTATCGTCGAAGTATGATGGGCTTTGTACCGCATGCCCCGTACTGTCCCGCTGCCACAGACCCAGAAGACCGTCGGATAGGGAACAAATACGGTCACCAGCCTCCGTCTGCCCAACAGCCTCCACGGCACTACGCAGCAGAAGGATGAGGCGGGGGCTACATAGCTAGTAGCCAATCGAAGAGTACCAAATCGGGAAGGGGCACCGACCGCGAGCACTGTGACGTACATTCTGCTCGAGACACGCGGAGGCATCGCGACTGCTGAAACGCCCGCCTGTCTGCTCCTCTCCCCATTCATCCTCTTGCGTCCTCAGGATGACCAAGGCCGTGCCCGATGTCGCGGAGAGCGACGCCCAGCCGCCAACAGCCGGGCAAATGGAGAAGATGCGCCGGTGCGACGATCGAAGAGCGGGGCGCCGGTGAAGAGGAGGCGACGTTGTATCGAACTGGCTGCAATAGGGGCATCTGTCCAAGGTGAGTCGTACGATGTGGTGATGTTTTCCATTCAAATGCGCAAACTTCTGCGACTGGAACGTGCTCCCAGAGGAGGCGACGGCCACGCCGGGGCGCCACTAGGCCTTCGAGACGCATCCAGTGCCGCTCGAGCTGTCATGGTGCCAAGTGAAGCGCGAGGGACATGACAGCTGAGCACATTCAGCCAGGTGGGCGACGTGTGAAGCAGACGAGCACTGACATTGAGCATGCTGCGATGGTCGAGGACGGCGGGGTGCGCGGCCAGCGGGACGTCGGACGAGGAGCAGGGAGGAATCAAAGGCCGAGAATGAGCCGAGGCGGCAAGATAAGATGGGAGGAGATCTAATCTGATTAATCATGCACAGGGGGATGTGTCAAAATTCTGTAAGTGGAACGACTTTCAGGCGCGCGCTTGGAATATAAGCCTCCTTCCAGGACCGCTGGCCCGTCCTCCTCGTCGCTGACGCTCCCCTCCGGCTCGCTGCCCTCAATTTGACGGTTTCGTCCAGTCCAGCAGCCGCAAAGTCTCCTCCCGCAATGGATATCTTCCTTCACCTCGCGGACGAGTACGTACTCGATAGGGCATGGGCCGCGCTTCTTCCCGTATCCGCGTTCACAACTGCTACTTCCAATGCGGCCGGCCTACACAATGTCTCTTCTCACGTCTCACTACCGGCTTCACAGCCCTTAGCCTGGTCACAGCTCATCTCCTATATCCCTCATCCTCCATTACCTGAGGAGCTCCTCACCGCGCCGTTCGTCGATAAAGCCGTTGTCGCATCCGCATGGCCACGCGACTACTTGCCTCGCCAAGCGATCTCCCTTGCCCTGCTCACTCTGGTCGGCGTTCACATCCTCTACTTCCTCTTCTCAGGCCTCTCCTACAAGTATATTTTTAATCATGAGATGATGAAGCACCCTCGCTTCCTCAAGAATCAGGTCAAGCTCGAGATTCAATGCAGCTTGAAGGCGTTCCCCGGTATGACCGCTCTTACCTTGCCGTGGTTCCTGGGAGAGGTCCGAGGCTACTCGAAGCTTTACGACGATGTGTCTGAGTATGGTTGGGGATATCTCATATTCTCAACTTTCTTGTGAGTGTAACACTTTTCGCGCTGAATCTCATGCTGACCCTGCACTCGCGTCCAGCTTCCTCGTCTTCACAGACTACTGCATATACTGGATACACCGGTGGGAACACCATCCCATATGCTACAAGTGGCTTCACAAGCCCCACCACAAGTGGCTGAGTACGTCTGACACAACACTCCACGGCTCGCATCCTATTGACGCAACCAACCTTTTCAGTTCCGACCCCATTCGCGTCGTATGCATTCCACCCGCTCGACGGCTACCTCCAGTCTGTACCCTATCATCTGTTCATCTACGTGTTCCCCCTGCACCGCAAGCTCTACCTGGCCTTGTTCCTCTTCGTGAACTTCTGGACTATCCTCATCCATGATTCCGACATGATCACTGGTCATCCGCTGGAGAAAGTCATCAACGGACCTGCGCACCATACCCTCCACCATCTATACTTCACCGTGAACTACGGCCAGGTAAGTGCTATTGCCTTAATCCGGTTATTTGCAATCGTACGACAGTTGACTGATGATGCCATATGACGCATAGTACTTCACGTTGGCGGACCGCATGGGCAACTCCTACCGGCAGCCGCGTTCCGACCTCGATCCGCTCCTCGAGGTCACGGCCGCCGAAGCCAAGAAGCAAAAGGCTGCACTTGGAAAGGAGCAGTGAGCTGACATGCACATATGTGCATCCTCTTAGCTCTCCTTCTGCTCGTCCCTAGTGCGTCATCGCGATGACGCGACACAGCGCTAGCGCTTATACCTGTGACTGCAGACACGATAATCTTTGATTCTTACGATACTGCTACGACCCCTCCTCATATGCACTACCAAATGTACATTACTACTGCTTTACAGCTGGGTGCTCTCCTTCCGCCGCCGAACACCATAGATTTAGGTGCTAGCTGTGTATGGGCGCGACCCATCCACGTGTTATATCGTAGGGGGCAGTGATATAATTGGCTACCGTTGTGTAGCCCTTCTAATGCATGCGGCTTGGCACCTGCCATCACGATCAGTCATTGTGTGCTTCTCATACCGCGACGTTCGACCGGACACATGAGTGCTCCGCCAAATTGATGTGGGGAAACCGGGGATTATTCATCCTGGTGGGTTGTATGATGTGCTTCAAGGTACGCCATCTTTGATATGCTACAATGGCCATTTGAATTAAAAGACCACTACCATGCGTCCATATATAAACTTCACCCGTAACGAGCAGCGTCGCAGAACAGCAAATCACATAGCATTGCACACGGGACTCCAGAAGTACTAGTAGAACGACAAGACAATGTAACTCAGCATCATGGGGTTGAAGCTACAAATATGGCTGCGGCAGTACAGGATTCCCTCTCCCCAGGGCGGCACGCGACGTGCCTTTTTTCGACTTGTTCCCGCTGTGCTCCCCTCTCCTCTCCGGCGACTCATCTGCCACGATAACCACATCGGAGAGCTCAACAGCGCCTGTCCTCCGCCCTCCGGCGTCGTCTGTATCGGCACAAGAAGAACAGGAAGTGCCAGCGGCCGACCGCACGACCAGGAGGAAGATCATCCGACGACAGCCGCGCTGTGCGGTTTCACCGCTTCTGCGGCTTGCGCTTGACCTCGTCGTCCTTGCACGCGTGCAGCATCAGCTTGTTGGGGTGGCCGGGCGTCATGCCCGAGTGGCCCTTGGACCAGTCGTACGAGACGGCGTAGGCGAAGATCGTGCCGGCGCGGTTGAACGTCGAGCACGGCACCGGGCCAGGCGCAGGGTCAAACGCTGCCGGGCCATCGAAGGACGGCGTCAATACTGGCTGGGGAGAAAGGGCGGGGAACGGGCAGGTGACGTACACTTGAGACGCGTACGCGCGTCCTTGTCCCAGAAGTTGATGGTGCCGTCAGAGCCTGTAGATTGCGTGGAAAGCAGCAGGTAGCGTGAGCATGCTGCACCTAAGGCGCGGATGTGGGAGCTGGTACTGTCGAGACTTACCGCAGGTGGAGAACGTTCCGTGGACGGGGTGGAAGGAGATGTCGTTGACGGCGTAAACGAGGGATTGGTCCTTCGCGGATGGGGTCTGGTCACGTCGGTGGCATTTGAAAGAGAAGTTGTTGGACGCGTCCTTCTCCTCGACGTATCTATTGGAAAGACGTAAGTTCAGGGAACAAGACGGAGGATTGGAAGACGGGAATGTCGGTGTAATACCCACTGTATGGCTACGCGTCCCTCAATACTGCCTACGGCGAAACCGTTTGCGCTGGGGAAGCAAGACACTACTCGGGTCTGCCATTTGAGTGGCGACGTGAGAGTCTGGAACACGATGGGCGTAAGTAGAGGCGCAGCCTCGAACTCAGAAGCATCACTAACCTTGAAGGGCGTAGTAGGGTTCTGGAGGTTGAAAACCTGGATGTGACGCTCGGCGGTACCCACGACCATCAGAGGGTAGACAACGTCCATCGTATAACAACGCTCAGGTAGGTTCACAGTAGACACAGGGTTTGGTGTGCGCAAATCCCAGTACTACGAGGAAATGATGAGGGGGTCAGCCATTCTGCCTACCGCAACAGCTCGCTCCTCGCTGCAGCACATACCTTGATCGTCTTGTCCCAACTACCAGTGGCGAGCACGCTTCCCTGAGGCGACTCTATCCACCTCACAATACGGATCGGCGCGTCGTGCTGGGCTACCTGGGTAGCCTGTCCAGTCGTCACGTCGAACATCCGACCCGCGTTGTCCGCGCCACCGGAGAGAATCTTCGTGCCGTCCTGCAAACCATCACGCGCAGCGGCAGCCCTTGGTCATTCTCCGTGTCGACGCCAATTCACAAAGCATACGCATACCTTGGTCCAGCATACGCTCAGTACAGGCCCTTGGTGAGGGTACATTGCCTTGCCCTGCGTCTGACCACTCGCACCAACTTCGTATATGCGTACCTGTCGGATGTCAACCAGATGTCGCGACTCGCGCACAACATAGCGTGTCGTAGGAGGTATTATACGTACATTATTGTCCCAGGAGCCTACTGCGAGGTAGTCGGCGGTGGGGGAAAAGGCGACGGAGGAAATGGAGTCAGTTGGGGGATCTGCAACTTCGATGTCTTTGTCGGGGGGCGGCTGCGTGGCAAGGGTGCCTGACGTCGAGGTGCCAAAGAAAGACATTGTCGCGTCAGTTCAGCTCAAAAGTCGCGTGCCACAACGACCAAGAGGCGGCGAGGGAGGACGAGGGAGGAGAGGGGAACCTTGGAGGCGCGGCAGAGCGTGCGGGACCGACATGCTGCGTTCACTTCCATGACCCGTGACTTTGTGCCGCATTTGGAAATCACAAGCGGTCACGCTCAGATGTCGCGCTGCCAGGTTGCCCACCATCACCACCGTGTTCAAAACGGTACTCTCCAGCGCCATAGAGTTCTTGAAGGTCTGCAGTCTAATCTGCACGTCCGGAGGAGCAGGGCACCCTGTAAAAAGGCTACGACCAACCTGGGATTCGAACCCAGAATCTTCAGCTTATCCCTACCGGAAACTGACGCCTTAACCATTAGGCCAGTCGGCCGTTGCGGGCAGTGGCTTCTGTACATCCCTGTCCAGAGAGTCATACATACCTGATACTTACTGTGTTCAAACCTCCTGCGTGTCAATAAGTTGCTCGTCACCCAGTTTCCGGACCTCCGTCATAGCAGAACGTCACCACTGAGCTCATCCTCCTCCCGAACAGCCGTCGTTGCGGGATGTGAAGGTATCCTTACCTTATATGGCTACCAGATGTCCATGTACGGTAAATTCACAGAAGTAACCCCCCGATCTTGCGCGCCATTGACGTCGCAGAGCGGGGATTTTGAGCGAGGCGAGCCTTGCAACTCGTATATTTGCGCCCATGACTTTGAGGAGACTCCTACAAGTTATCTCATCCGCCAGATCAAACGCTACCACCTTGCACTTTCACCATGGTCAACCAGTCAAAGAGCCCTTACAACCTGCCCCCGGCCAACCGGGATGTCGATAACATGACCTACAACCCCCAAGCCGACGCACGCTCCGACAACGCCGCGTTCGACGATAACACGAACCCTGACATGCAACCCGTGGGTGCTCGCGGTGCAGACAATCAGCCCACGAACCGTGACTACCGCAAGGAGGACCAGGAGACGACCCGGTCCGATGAGACGGGGCGCATTCCTAGGAGTAAGCTTCCATAACCAGGCCGCGTCCCACGTGTGCTCACGACGTTACTTAACAGGTGAAGTTGACGACTTGCTCTCGAGCGCAACTTCCGAGGAGAAGAACGCATCCGGCACGCGTGGCAAGCGCGTCGACGCCTTCGGGCAGGAACGTGAGGTTGACCGCATGTTCGAAGAGTCCGGTATTTCGAATGCAGACCAGGATGTTGAGATCGGCGCCGCCTCGGGCTATTGAGGAGAGGTCGAGTACTCACGAGGGTATCATTCGGGGCAAGTGTGTGTATGTATGATTAGCAACGTGTTTAGGATGACAGCATATGATGTTACCGCAAAATGAAACTCCCACACGGTGCGAGCCTGGTTCCTACTTCTCGGCTACACATGGCGAAGCTGCATTCGGAGTTTGATAGGCCGCCATGAAGACAGCCTATATCACAAGCGTTCTGCACCAACAGTGGGCCCGCAGCCTTCCCATATGCACGCGAAACTTGCGCGGGATGTATTGCATGCCTATTACGTGTAAATCACGTACACTCACATTAATACCGACCCTGTTCGCAGCGCGGATAGCACAGACATGTTGTAAGTCCATCTTAGTATGCATACTGTGGGCTAGATTGGTTTGTGCGGCAGAGTAGCATCATCAGTGCAAATGCGGTACCTGAATTCGTCAAGGCTTAACAGACAACCGCAGCGAGGAGGACGCTTGGAGATTGCTTGGAATCGTGCGCCGTACCTGGAGTGTCTAGCATCCATTAAGTACAGGGAAATCCCATCGGTATTGCCCTAAATGACATGCCTCAATGCGTGCCTGCGGGAAGGTATGAGGGGTATTGCCAGACGACTAGGAACGGGCTTTACCTTAGACAACTTGTAGTCGTACACTAAAGTTGTGTATAACCTATCCGCAGGGAAGCTCGAACATACCTGACAGCGGTGATCGTTTACGAGGGCTGAGATAGAGTATACTATCGTCGGATCCCCTTTCGCGCTTGGATTACAAGGCAGAAAGGATGACAGGAGATGGTGGCTGACTGTGGCCACTTTGAGCGAAAGCGGTGTCCAAGTCGCTCATATTGACACTGAAGAGAGACGCGGGTGGATACAGGGGCTCTGCGAAAACTTCCAGGGTCATACACATCCCGAGGCGTAGTGTATATTGCTAAGTAGATGGGAATGCGAGCAGGGCGTGACCGCACCGTGTGGACGCAGCCGACGAGGAAGCCTTACATTATAACGGCATGCAACAAAAGGTCCGGATAGCAATCCGAACAGCAAGCGTGCGCACCGAGACGGCTCGCGATGACAGGTAAGAGAGGGAGTAAGTGGAAGTAAGTAAGAGAGGGCTTAAGGAGGTCTATACGAGCGTTATAAGGGCGATAAACGGAGATTCGAAGGCGCTGCCCGACCCGACCGGCGCGCCACCGCGTCAAGTGCCCTGCACGAAATCGAACTGCACCCAACCCCTCTCGGCCTCCCCCTGCCACCACCTCCCGCCTCCTCGCACCCTCGCGCGCATCCCCCTGCCCGCCCCCTCGCCGTCGCCCCTCACTCGTGCGATGACGGCGTTCCTTCCGCTCGATGCGGGCGCACCACTGCCGCCGTCGCCAGCGTTTCTGGTGCCCTCGCCCGAGCCAGCCGGCCATGTCAAGCGGGTGATCAAAGCCGTCCTGAAGGCGCGCCGCATCGCCGTCGTCTGCGGTAAGTGGCCATTATCTCCTCTGACAGGGGGCGTATGCTAACACTTGTGCGCGACGCTCTCGCATTGGCGGCCTGGGTGCAGGTGCGGGCATCTCCGTGCAGGCTGGTATTCCTGATTTCAGATCGTCGGAGGGGCTCTTCCAATCCTTGAAGAAGGATCACCCGATGCTCAGCTCTGGCAAGGACCTGTTCGATGCGTCGGTGTTCAACGTGAGTCCTGCGTCAGTGCTGTGGAGGCGTTTGGTAGAGCGTGGGGTCGGGTGAGGGGCCGTTGTTACGATCGCTGCGGGGGACTATGCTGGCGACGACGCCGCGCGGTTTGCCGCATGGCCGCGGGCCTCATGCGGACGACGTGGACACCGAAGGTTCGTCGGAAGAAACACGCCGCTCGCCACGAGCGTGTTGTATGAAGAAGGTTGCGCACAGTGCGCCAAGGCGTTCCCGCAGTGGCCATACCTAGGCCGCGGTAGCTCGGAAAACCATCGCAAATTTACCGCGATGCCCCCGTTGGCACACTGTCGACCCTCTGTATTCGCCGGACTGTTCATTCGTCTGGGCTTGTTTGGTCGTGTCACGGAACGGTCAGGACAGGATCCCTCTGGACAGAGAGTGATGTCACCAAAATTCTGGGGCATCTTCTTGCTGCTATCAATGTCCTCTACGTCGCAGGCACACTTCAATATACTCACCTCGTACCTTATCGTTCCATCACCGCTCGCCATTACTCACATGCACGCGCATATAGTCTGAAGATACTACGTCGCTCTTCTGTCAAATGATCGCGCAACTGTCGCAACTGTCAGACGCAGCCCAACCTACGGCATTTCATCGATTCCTGCGAGTCCTGAACGACCGCCGGCGTCTCCTCCGCGTATACACGCAGAATATCGACGCACTCGAGGAGAAGTCGGGTCTCACGTTTGGGGTCCCTGAATTGGATGTCAAGCGGGCCAAGCCTCGCTCAAGCAAGGGCAAAGCTCCTGCCCTGGACTCAGCTGAGACAGTCTCAGCCGATTTGCCTCAACCTGACGAGCCTTCGACGAGCAGACTCCCATCACCCCCTGTCGAAACTCCCAAATGCATTCCCCTCCACGGCACTCTCCAACTGATGCATTGCGTGACATGCACGCATTCGTATCCTCTACGCGACTACATCGACTCGCTAGTGTCAGGTACTCCTCCGCCGTGTCCTCAGTGCACCGCTCTCGAGGAGACGCGACAACTCGTAGGCAAGCGGTCTCGCGGAGTTGGGAAGCTGCGACCCAGCGTAGTACTCTACAACGAAGATCACAAGGACGGAGAGGAGGTGGGCAACGTCGTCCGGAAGGACCTGATGGGAAGCTCTAAGGGCAAGGGCCGCGCGGGAGCGGACCTGCTCCTGGTGGTAGGGACCAGCCTGCGTGTCCCGGGAACGAAGCGCATCGTGCGCGAGTTCTCGAAGGCCGTGCGATCCCGGCATGCCGCGATGAACGCACCCCCAGACCCGCCTGCAGACGGACAGACGACATCTGCCCACGGTCTCGTGACGCCGACACCCTCCCCACGTCGGTCACCGGCGGAGGACGAGGAGCCCCCGGTACGGACGATATACTTGAACCTGGATTTTCCGGTGCCAACGAGGGAGTGGGAGGGCGTGTTCGACGTGTGGATACGGGGGGACGCGCAGACGTTCGCGAGGATGGTGCACGAGGAGCTGGAGAAGGAGGAGCAGGCGAAGGAGGCGGCGAAGGAGCGCAAGCGGAAGAGGGAGGAGGCGGCCGCGGAGAGCGCGAGGTTGGCCGAGGAGCAGGAGGAAGGGGAAGTGATCGCGCAGCTGGAGGCGGCGTCACTGCCGAAGAAGGGCAAGAGGAGGAAAGAGCAGGTGCATTCGGAGAACGACGCGGGCGGAGAGAGTCGTGTCCAACCGACGAAGAAGCGGAAAGTGGGCAATCCGGCTTTGTCTGCCGTCTCTCCGCCTTCTTCCAAGAAGACGGAGCAGAAGAAGGAGAAGGGGAAGAAGGCTCTTTCCTCGAGAGGGCGGAAAGAGGAGGAAGTTCAGTCGTCGCTTCCCACCCCGCCTACGTCCCGCGACGACCCCACCCGGCTGACGATCAAGCTCCCACCTCTCCACAAGAGGCTGGTTCCTGAGGTGGTCATATCGACGCTCCCAAAGGTCACCCGTCCGGTGCATATACCAGGACCGTTCTCATCTCCCTTGTCATCCCCCCCAGTCTCGACGTGCGAGTCTCCGCCGACGGTCTCGAAGACAAGCAATGTGATAACACCGCTGTCTTCTCCTTTGACTACTCCGCCGTTGTCGATCTGTGGCGACCCCTCGCCATACGAATCTCCGTATGATATGTCGAGGCTGAGCAGCACGCTCTCGCAGATCAGCTCCCCTCCCTCTTCTCCCCCGAGGCCCAACCAGCTACCGACTCCCCCTAGACCCACCAGGACCATCAGCGGGACAACCGAGTTGTCCTCGCCAACTTCTTCCATGTCGTCCTCGCCATCGCCATCGCCCTCCAAGAAACGGAAGACGTCGAGCTGTCCCAGCCCGGTGGGCAAATTCATGGGCCCCCGTCCTGGGATGAGGTCGAGCTACGCGTACGGTAGTCGGCCTTTCGGTGTCGAAGATGAGCTTTACCGTTTCGAGCGTGTAGACGACGACGAGGAGACCGGTTCGCCACCGTCCGAGAGTCGGTTACCGGAGTCTTACATGAGGTCGAGGCCCGCGCCGACGGCTCGGCGGAGAGTTGCGACGTGAAGGATGGGCTCCCGCCCAACGCGACCCAGGACTTGCATTCGCATTCAACCTGTACACCCTCACCTGCATCGACCAAAGTCCCTCGGGTACCGTCCCCACATCACTAGCATCGCATACATACACTGACGAAACCATAGCCGGACTTGTCGAGCCCCGCATATACACCTGTTACTTATGTTTATTTTGTCCGACCGGTTTCGACCATCGTTCTCCGTCTTCTGACCATCCCATCTGCCCATCGTCATTCACACCATCTGCACGCGCACCTATTATATGTACTATCGTGTACGCTCCCCGAACTCTCATTACAAGTAGGTCTCCGTTCCCACTAATGTGTTCCATCATACTTCCTGTCAAACCTCGTTGAGCGAGCTGCTGTGATCCCGTGGAATAGCCTCAGATATCGTGTCCAACTCGAGGGTTTGAATGAATCGTCGAGACACATCAAATTCGTGGATTGTGTATAGGTAGGGCTGTAAGTCAGAGCACAAAGTAAAGTGCTAGGGACCACTATCAATCTTGTTGGCCTTGCGTAATAACCGACGAATACTGCGACGAACGCTGCGCTTGACTGCTTCATGGGCAGCGATGCCTGACCATTTGTATCTTTCGACAGATGGATATCTCATGGGCACGGCAGGGATTCGGATATTTCCAGCTGGAGAAAAGTCTTCGAAAAGGGGACGCGCGAGGCAAACAATCCGTATCATTGACTTTTCTCCAATCGAAAATATCCGATTCCCTGCCGTGGGGGGCAATGTTCCAGTACACGCACTTGTCGGACGTCTGGAAGGCAACTTGGGACAGCAGGACGGGGAATACGACCTGTAAAAGAATGGTGTCACCAGTGTCAATCTACACACATGCGCGATATGGACGGCCGTACTTGTTCCCAGTTGTGAGAACCTGAGACCGCTATCAGACAAAATGGCAGGCACAACTCGCATCTTCCCGCTGCGAAGAGCATACGCACATGCAAGCACGGCCAAAACTGAGGAACGTTATGCTGTCATAAATGGTAGTGAGTATATTGCCTGCCCGGAGACGACGTTACGAACGTATAGGTTACAGTAGATCCCCGGATCTTCGCCTCGGTCATCGTGGCCGGTAGAGGGGGATCTCGTGCATCGTTTTGCTGTCAATGTTCCTGAAGGGCTCGGCCAGCGGAGGTACGACGTCCTTCCGCGTCCTATGCGCAGCGACAATACGAGGTTTCATAAGATCCACGCATCGAAGTTGAACGGGGGCACTCTCGGCGAAACGAGTGACCGGAGCGTAGCTGTGCAAGTGTGCTATGAAGATCAGAATGCCTTTGTTTGACGGAGATCATGGTCAAACCACGTCTTACACCCGGCACGTCTCACGGCTCCATGAGCTCTCGTAGTCCATTCCCTTGTCTGCGCCGGCACTGAGCAGCTGCTCGCGTAGCTTCCGACTTCTCAGCAAGCAGAGATAGGATCGGCGCAAGCGCGTCCGAGATCATAGCCATGCCGGTCCCGATTTTAAATACTGCACGGGACATGGACAGGGATGAGGAACAAGTGCAAGCATTGCATGGATCTTATACCTTATCTGCGTAATTCTTTCCTCCTCCGGCAGCTTGGACTCGTCAGACGCCTGCAGCTTGGACCGCACTACATGCGAGGATTACACGATGCCCAGCGCTGACACAGGACGACTGGTCACGCATATACACTCAGGAAGCTTACGATACTTTGATCTTCCCCGACCTGCCGAGCGATGGTCTCGTCATTCCGAGCGACGGCATGTCACTTCTCTTCCCAGATGGCATTCGAGCGGTCTCCGAAGACGTGCGACAGACCGACGAGCAGTTGTACGCATGCGTTCGGGAACGCCCGCAGGAGCTTACGGCCCAAGAGTTGGTATGGTAGGAGCCTTCTGTGAATTGCTGTATCCGTGGCGCTGCGTAACGGCACATCATGTCAGCAAGCGAGGAACTGAAGGATATGCAGCACAGGGTGAGAGTGAGATTATTCACCTGAACGACTTGACGACAGTACTCATCCGCGCCGACAAAACATGAGGGTCGAACCAGTAGTCCAGACTGGCCTGGCCGATGAGGGCGAGCGCCGTACTGCCCATCCGTAGATGATGTCGAGCTCGTTGGGCATGGGGTTCACGCGAGACTCGATCGCATCAAGCCCACCGCGCGCAGCATGATGGAATCTGTGATTGACTTGAGAGTTCGGGCCGAGATGAGGGGACGGGCAACTTACCTAGCGTAGTACTTAATGAGATCTTTCCCGAACACTTGACTACTTGCCCTACAAACGTTCTCAGCAATATTCTGTGTATACGCCACACCAACCCGATGGGGTATCGCGCTTCTTCTTAGATATACTGGTCCTGTACCAGGATGTGAGGTTATTTGCCGAGCACGAAGACTGAAAGCATTTCTCCTGGGCCATCTACGCTAGACCCGAAGGGGCGGTTACAATGCGCCTACCAGCTTGCCCTGAAGAGGATATCCAAACCGGCGAAACCGGGGTACAGCTGTTCAAAGGGGACGCTCCGTGTCACCCGTGTCGGCAGATCCTTCGGGATGTCTTGTAGGCGAGACGATTAGGAGGTGCCAATCATGTATCGAAATGACGTCAACTCACCATATAAGAGTTACTACAGACACAATCCTGAGATATTGTCGGAGGGAGACTTCACAACCAAACTACGGAAGAATCGCTGGAGAAGTCAAGTTGCGCTGCCTTCTACTGCAGCTTTCAGTAATGTGGCGATCAATCTCAAGAAGAGGAGGGAACGTGAGGGTATCAGGACAGCCTGCCAGCACACTAGAGTTGGTAGAAGTTGCTCTTGCGGGCTACAAGGAAGCTCACTGGACTGTGCACAGTAATCCAAAGAGGTAACCAAAAAGTTCCGTTACACAAATCAGGAATAGCATGGCCGAACAACGAAAAGGAAGGATCGACGGTTCGTCTGTCACTGAGCAGGATAACTCATGCTGCGTAAACGTTCGCCCAGCACGCACCGGAACCCTGTCCTGTGCCCCGCTGCCATCAGGGAGGATAACTTAAAACTCGCTCGCAATCCTGTCTATCGTTTTGGAGGGACACGACCTCCGGAGCGCGTTGGTGATGGAGCCGGAGGGCGGACGCAACTGCCACAATAGTCTCTTTCATGCGCATTTGAGGGTTGCGACTGGCGTCGCTAGTGGACGGGACCGCAGCTCCTAGTCCGCGGGATCCGAATGTCCTCGGAGTAGCCGGATGCATTGCATTATCGAGGAGACGAGGCTGTCTAGTGACAGAGCGTCGAGAACAGTAGTTTTCCGAAGACAACCGGAGGTTGGATACAGCAAGGAGGAGAACGAACATGTCGGAGACACAATACCGTCCACCTGCCTGGGAAGCAGAACGCAGACTTTCTAGCAAGGTCAAGGCAGGTTCCAATCATGCCAAACCCAATCGCGTATGAGGTTGTGGTCGAGCCGTCCTTAGGTGTCCCCGATGCCAGGTCGTATCTGGGCAGGGATTCATGTGCATAATCTGGGCGCGAGCCAGGTCGCAACTCCGCACAGGCATGGAATAAGTAGAAGAGTCCACGGATAGCCCAAGTTGGATGCGACGCTAGCTGAGCCGTACCGTCCAAATCCTGTCGCACGAGTCTGTTCAATGATCCTTCTGGGAACGAATTATGGCAGAGACTCAAGAGTGGACGTCGGTAGAACAGATGCATAGGGAAGCAGTCGCTACGGATGCGGAAGCGCCAGCTGAGCAGATAGACGCCAGGACGCGAAAGCACGCGTCGAAGTTTCCCACGTGCACTTACGCGTCCCAGCTCGCGCGTTTGGCCACTCAGCGTGCACCACTGCACTTGCATCCTGACCACCATGTCTACCTCTGCCGCCTCTACTTCCCAGCCAATCCAGAGCACCTCGGCAGCGGTTGAGCACACGAAGGACGACGACGTTCCCCACCTCGGCGTTCTCGAGGAGGATGACGAGTTCGAGGAGTTCGCGGTAGCCGGTATGTCCTCGTTATGCTGGTGTGGCCGGACCTTGCATTTTGCTACGTCGCGGCGCTTTCAACTCCTTTGGGAGGTACTCTTGCTCACCGGACTACGGCCTAGATTGGGATGACTCCCACACGGATCTTGCACACTTGGGCGGCACGGCGCCGGGCGCGGCGAAGTCGGGCGGGGACAAGCTGTGGGAGGATAACTGGGACGATGACGATATCGAGGACGACTTCAGTGTACAGCTAAGGTACGCCCGCGCGTATGCTGTCTGGTTTTTGTCTCTCACGTGCTCCCCTCCACGCCCGTGCGCCGCAGAAACGAGCTGGCGAAGAAGAAGGGCAATGGTGGCGGCCCAGAGCCCATGCAGCACTGAAGGAGGAAGCCCCTGTTTGATCGTACCTGTGCTATTTGCGACTATGTTTCACCGGACGCTCTCTGTACCCGTGGTTTATCCAGCTCCCCAACCATCCAACCCAATCCGCTGTGCGCTGCATCTGGATCGAGCGAAATCTATGCACGTTCATGGGAAAAGCTGCAGTCGGTCTCGTGCGGCCGCGGGCCTCTCCATCCTTCCATTGGAGTCACGGTTCGTCCTGTCAAACTAATAAGCTTTCTTCCGCCTTGCGTCACAAGAAGTAGCCAATGCATGTCTCTGTATCACCGAATTCGGCATTGCAGCTGCCGAAGGCCTATCTTCCTGTCCAAAATCTCCGGCTTTTTCGCAGCATGATCATAGAGTTCTGTCGCTGGTGTCTTCGCGCACTCGTTGTGAGCACCTTCCCAGATACCTTGGCTCTGCATTAAGGCACTATGGCCGTGCGCAGCACGCAACAGGAAGCGGGTAAGCCCCAAGTTCATACGTCCGCGATAAACCGAGACGATAAGGCGTGCAATCGGCGCCCCTTCAAATTTCGGCGAGGGGTGTTGAGTTTGCGTCGAGCTGATGGTGATCTACCAACGATCTGCCGTTGTTGTTGGCGATATCACGGAGACGTAGGAACGCGAACGTATCGACCATGATAGCCTGTTATCGCCCCTGTTGATGCGCCATGATGCCAGAGGCATTGAGGCACAGAGGCGGCGAACGTTCGTCGGGGTGTGCAAGAATAATGCAGGGACGACTGTCTAGCTTATGTGTGCTGGGAGACCGACGCTGATGGTTGCGCGCGACCTAAGCCCAGGAGGAGGGACCGCGGCGCACACTCGAGCGTCGACAGAGATCGAAGACATGCCGGATCATAGTCTGCAGGTCGGTGCAATCGCAGGCAATACTCAACGCCGAAAATGGCTTAGAACGTTCTCGATTGCGGCGCGATAGGGCGAGCGGGCGCAGAGTTCAAAGAGGGTTCGGCAGAGGAGCAGAGGCACCCCAGTCCGCTCTGCTTCTGCTATGACAGCGTAGGAGGAGAATCCAGAGGCCGACACATGTATAGGGCGGACACTTGCGTGGCCGACTGTGGCCAGCCAGTGAAGGTCACCAACGTGCGCAGAACTTCCCGATTAGGTATGTTGCGCTCAGGGCAGCGGAGCATGGGCTCCAGAAGATCAGGATCAAAGTGTTGAGATATCTGTCCGGGGAATGTCATGCTGCTCTCACAGGCTTCGCACGACCACTTATATACCCCCCACCGTAGCCACATGCTCGTGCTTTTGCCCCCTCGTCTTGCTCTCCTACTCTTGACGCACCCTTGGCGCCGTCTGAGCGTAGACTAGGCCACGATGTCCAACCCAGAGTACAAGAAGCCCAGTCTCTCCCAGGTCTCCCTTATCTTCGCGTACGTATGGATCCCGACGTTATCATCTATGCCTTGCATGCTAACGCGTTGGCGGGACATACATAGCTGCGGAACTGCTCTTTTCTCTGATGGTGAGTCGCAGGCGCGTTGGAGGCTTTCGGAGTGTTATCCTGAGCGCATGGGCTAGGTTATGCCAATAACATCATCGGAAGCGGTGCGTTTGTTTGTCAAGCTTTTTCTGGGGACCGCGAGCTAACTTGGCATCTTACCGCTTGTAGTAAATACTCGTGCGTTACGCCCCCTCTGCTTCTGTATCAGTCTGCAGGACTCAGATCCTCCGTCTCAACAGTTCTGGTCCGCATTTATGGGGACAAAATCAGCGCCGACTACAGCACGACGCTGTCCAGTCTGGCCTTCGCAGGTACCGTCGTCGGTATGCTCACTTTCGGCTATCTGTCAGACAAGTTGGGCCGCAAGTTCGGAATGGTGCGTAGTTCCGTTCCGTCGTTGGTGCAAGACCGTAGTTGAACGCCGGACGACGTCATGCGCAGATGCTCGCTACTGCCATCGTTGCGTTCTTCTCACTGCTGTCAGCGGCATCTTCGGGTGCGCACCACAGCGTTGGCGGCCTTGTGGCCATGCTGAGTGCATGTCGGTGAGTATACTACAAGCGTGACACGCTTGTTCTCTCTAATATATGTCTGAACAGTTTCCTCCTTGGTATCGGTATCGGTGCGGAGTACCCCTGCGGTTCCGTCGCCGCCTCCGAGCAGTCGGAAGAGCCTGGCATCAACAAAAATGCGCAGCACCGGTGGTTTGCTCTTGCGACGAGTGCGTATGATCACGTTCTGGCATGTCGTAAGTTTGGGGGCCGTGGCTGACGCATATGGCCACCAGACTCCATGATTGACTTTGGGTTCGTGGTGTCCTCCTTCGTTCCCCTCGTCCTCTTTTGGATTTTTGGCGAGCACCACCTCCGGGCTGTCTGGCGTCTCTCGGTGGGCTTGGGTTTTATCCCTGCTCTCTTAGTGTTCCTCTGGCGTCTTCGCATGGACGAGCCGACACGGTACAAGAAGGACTCCATGGCTCGCGCCAAAGTTCCGTACTTGTTGATCTTGCGCCGTTACTGGGTGCGACTTGTGGCCATCTCGATGACTTGGTTCATCTATGACTTCATCGTGTAAGTGCTAGCCATCGTCGATAGCATTTATCTAACCTATCTCGGCCATCAGGTACCCCGTAAGTAACTTTGAATGAGGTTCGAGTAAGTAACTGCCTACTCAATTTTCGATCTATAGTTCGGTCTGTACTCCTCTACTGTGACGAACACGTACGCGGTTTCTTTCAATGCGCATATAGTCAAAATACTGACTATTACGTAGTATCACTGGTGGAAGCTCGTCTTTGACCGTCGTCTTCGGATGGTCTGTTGTCATCAAGTGAGTGCAACACGCATTTTGAACCTTCGCATCAGTTCATATTTTATCCGTAGCTTGTTCTACATGCCCGGAACCCTTATCGGAGCCTTTGTTGTTGACTATCTCGGCCCCAAGCACACGATGGTGCGTTTCTAGTACTTATCATATGCCTGATATGGTGGGACTCACAAAAAGTTGCTAGATTCTCGGTCTGCTTGGCCAAGCTGTCATCGGTTTCATCATGAGCGGTCTCTACACCCAGTTGACCAAACACATCGCTGCATTTGCTGTATGTGGCTTCGGACAAAGCCGGTACTACGTGATTCTGACAGTCTTCCCAGGTCGTGTACGGTATCTTCTTGAGCTTCGGTGAACTCGGTCAGTTCAAGCCTTTTATGTCCACGTAGTCCATTTGACTGACACTACAAAATCCACAGGTCCAGGTAACTGCCTTGGTATGCTCGCTGCGAAGTCCGGACCTACCGCCGTCCGTGGTCAGTTCTACGGCATCGCGGCTGCCGTTGGCAAGGTCGGCGCCTTTGGTGGTACCTGGGGTAAGCACGATTGGATTCATGCGGATGCTGAGATGAAGCTGAGTATCACTGGGCCATAGCTTGGAAGCGAATCGTCAGCGACTTCGGAAAGATGCACCCCAACGACCCGAACATTGGCCAGACCGGCCCCTTCTGGGTGGGCAGCGGTAAGTCTATTGCGTACCCTTTGACGGAGTCCTATCGACTGACTGGCTGTCTTGCAGCTCTTGCCATCGTCAGCGCAATCATCACGTTCTTCTTCATACGTCCCCTCTCGCACGACGGCATGGCTGAGGAGGACCGCAAGTTCCGCGAGTACCTCGAGCAGCACGGCTACGACACCTCCCAGATGGGGCTCGCCGATGTTACGAACGACACGTCGTCGTCGTCTGAATACGATGAGAAGAAGGACGGGATTCCTTCCGCATAGGCCCTCCTCGAGCGTCCCGCCCCGTACATCTTCTGCTGCCTATGACATATTGGCTTCGTCAGGCCTTACGACACGACCTCTAACGACGGCTTGCTTGTCCTCCCGATTCGCTCGTGAACCACGACCTCATGGTGTTTCCGCATGAGCCTCCCCTCCTGCAAACCTCGCCGCCCCATACGTCGCGTCTAATTACTCGTATACATACCTCTCACATACCTCCCCTGGTTCTAGTGCTGTTGTATCCTGTGCTCTGCTACGATGCTGTGTGACACAATAACGACTACGCTACGTTGGGTATCGTGTCTGATTTCTCGGACGTTGGCGTTCGCTCGAGTGCATGTGTTTTGTCGCTATTGATTGTGTTTCTTGTCAGTCGTACCGCTGGTTTTGCGGTGCAACCTTCTTGGGAAGAGGCGGGAGCGGGCACTGTGCTGGAGAACGACGAGCAGGTGAGTGCCGAATGCTGAGAGACCAAAGATGGGCTGATGATTTGGGTGGAGACGAAGTGGGTAGCGACTTCTACAATTGGGACATCGGATATTTGAGGGAGCCGCACCCGCGGTCGTCTCGCAAGGGACGGCACCCCACTTAGCAAACACCTGGACCGGCCGACTACATACCACGAAGATGACTTGGCGCCAAAGCACATCAGGCACTGAAAGGGCCGGTAGGTCGTGCTGACGTCTGCGTGTGCCATGAGCTTGGTGGCGAGGACAGGCGGATTGGATGCCATGGAAGCACGGCCTGTCGAATTCGCTTTGGATCCGGGAGTGTGCGCGGCAGCGGTTGAAGTACAACGTGCTCCTCCCTTGAAGCGCGTTGGATACGGATCTCCACACGCGCAGCGTTGCCCCATGGCAAGAAGATGGCATGCGTGGCTGCCGTCATGGCAGGTGTTGTCCCGGTCATTGGTAACGTACATGTCCGTCGACGCATGTCCGTCGAAAGCCGTCATACGAGCTCGGGCGGCTTGTCGGAGGTGGGTCTCCGGCAGGTGAAGTACGTTGAACGTCATCTTCAACTCTGAGCGCGTCCGTTTCGAGTGCACTGCGTTGCTACCAGGGCCTTGCTTTCGCCGGTGGTATGCATAGCGAGACGCCAGCGAATCACGGCGTATGCGGGAAGCGGTGGGCCGTTAGAGTGGGGATAGCAACTCAGTTTTTTAGCCCGTTTCACCGACTTATCAGATGGCTTAGTGTGTTTGCCGTAAAGGTGTCTGAGATTGCCCTCGCCCAGCTGTTCAATTGAGACCCTGCATACTACATAGGGCTGCGCACATAGAATATGTGGCCGGACGTATCGTGAGCGGCTCCAAAGTCCGATGGGTTCGGGCAATGGGCGAGGGAGCCGCCTCGTCATGCACCGCCCGCCCAGAATGGGGCGGTGAGTAGCGGATCATCCTCCGTAGCGTTTGAGAGCAAACGCCACCAGGGCTTGCGCTCTGGACTCACTCGTGCACAGTCTACGTTCGACCGCCCGTAGTAGTGTCGTAGCTCCGGAGCGCAACAGATGTTCTCCTCACTGCGTCTAAGGTTTTCGGAGCCGGCGGCTTCGTGCCTGGACCTGGCGCTGGAAAGCAGAGCGATGACCTTACATCTTCCGGAATGAATATGGTGCAACACTCAAAGGGATCTCCCCGAATTTCGTGAATACGATATCTGCGCCTCTGTTGACGGAAACAGATGGGGCTTCATCGGGCACTGGAAAAGCTAGGATGATGTTTCAGTGCCACCTCGTGTGGCGGAGACGCATCTGCGTTCTTCAATTCACAGTGAAGCTCATGTTGCCTGGCATCTGTGAATGGGTAGCCGTTTGATGACGAATTCTCCCGGTGGGTTGCGCACGGAGTTAGGAACCTGGAAGCGTAGTCCACCTCTGGGAGAACAGGCGCCTCTGAATCGAAATTCGAGATCAACTCATAGACACCTCTCATTTCTCGTCAATGAAGCTATCGGAAGCGAACTGTCTGACTAGCTTGGAAACTCCAAGACGCCCACGACGTCCACGTTCCAAGCTGATCGAACAGCCAACGCCAGATGCATGGGCCTGGCGCTCGGAGACCCGATTCCATGGCGTTGTACTACATATGCATGCAACCTTTGTGCTAAGAATATGCCGCAGGAGTTCTGACAGGTGACCTTGAGTTATTCGGAGCAACTCAGCGCGCCTTCGAGGCATCAATGACTTCAGGCGCCCGAAGTTGAATAACGCCATTACCGAATTGAGGTTCTTCCGACTCGGCATATGACGTGGAACATAGATGGACGCTGCATCTCAGCCATCCTCCACTTACCGCTCAACAAGGCCCTCACTCAATCTTCATTCTCAGCGCTCGTACATCTCAAGGGTCTCATGCCACCAGCCAGACGACAACGTAAGATCTTGGGCTGTGTACCTGGACGGCCTGATTTCATCCTGCGTCTGTCGTACAGCTACTCGGCAGGTGCAAAACCCGAACAGCCCGCTCGATCGCGAAGTCATCGCGAAACGCACGAAAAGACATCTTGAGGAGCTCGAGGTGCGCGATGGCGCCTTGATCTTACATACATTCGCGCCGCAGGGTCCTCGCTCATGATAACGCTGGTTGTTACTGACGACGGTGCGCTCCTCACGTGTGCAGCGCTCCAATTACTCCGAGCCGGCCGGTGCTGGTGTGGCAACAAGCGGCGAGGCTGAGGACGACGACGAAGGCGTTGCGCCCGGCGGGCGGACGACAAAAGGCCGAGCGCGCCAGACGACAATATCGGACAAGCGGCAGTGGGAACAAGTTGGCACCAAGAGGCCCAAGAAGGCCACGATGAACGTCCGCACCGCCATTCTCTACAAGAAAAGCTTCAATGTCCTGCTCGAGGAATCTGTGAGTCGCCTTTCTCGTCCGTGGACCCTGTCATGCGCCTATGTCAGTGCGCCTTGTCAGGAGCTTCGAGAGTAAAATTGTGCTGATCTTGCCGCATGTCTTCTGCGCTCTCGGCGCGCTTGATTCAGGGTATTGAGCACATGCCCCCAGGAGTCCCGACGTACCTTAGGGCTGCGGCCCCCCCTCCTCGGGAGCCGCAGCGGCTATTGTGTTCCGTCTGCGGCTATTGGGGAAAGTACAAGTGCAAGCGCTGCGCCATGCCTTACTGTGACCTGAATTGTGAAGGCGTGCATAATGAGACGCGTTGCGAGCGGAGGGTCATATGATCTGATTAGGTCTAAACCCTCTTCTAGCCCGGGTTTGGTGGCCGAAGATGCGTAGAAACTGTTCGGTGGTTGCAGACCCGTAGGAAATAGTCTACTCGATAAAGTCATAACATGTAGATGTACAGGAGCCGCTGTACATGGTCTCATCAAACCGCAGTGAAATTATATTTTCTTGCGGCCAAAACTTCAATAAAAGAGGGGAAAACCCAGTAACAGAGGTGGGCAAAGCGTCCGGTTACCGGCGGCATGAAGACGAGCTTCTCACCCCTGTCCACCGCCAGTATGCTTCTTCGAGCGACCGTGGTCCGCTTGAGGCCGTTTTTGTTTGGATCTGCTTCGCGAACTGTGCCGCCGTCCACAGCGGACGCTCGAAAATCTCCCTCCACAGTGCTCGGGAGAATGAACGTGAACTTGATCGATGGATGCTCGATGGCAAGCGACTGGTAGAGCAGGAGCGACGATGCCTTGGTGGAAGTATACAGGCTGCGTGTCGGAGCAGGCACTACGGCAGCCAAGGAGGACATGAGCAGGACCGATGGGGCCGTCGAAGTCAACGACAGAAGGGGTATCTGAAGGCGCATCCGACCAGCGGAACAGTTGATTAGACGTAATCTTGCGCGGACGTACGCCGATGAACTCACAAAGGTCACAGCACACACGAGGGGACCGATGTAGTTGCCGTGCATCGCAGCGCAGGCCACTTCAACAGTGCGTTGAACTCCTGCCACACTGACTTGAGGCGGCGAGAATTTCCCGTCATGCCTGTCCAAGCCGGCGACCTCGAGGAGAGGTCGCAGCGCCGAAACGCCTGCGCATACCACCAGAGTATCAAGACCGCCCCACCCTGAACAAGCCAAGAACAACATTTCGAACTGTCATGAGCCACAACTCTGAACCTTCCAGGAATCGCACCGTGGGACTCACTCTCTTCCAGCTTCTCCCGGAGCGCTACCATGTCGTCCGCGTTGGTGAAGTCGGCCACGACGGGTAAGACGTCTCCGCTGCTTCCACGCTTGCCACCAGCTCCGTCAGCGGCTTCCCCCGGGAGGAGGTTGGCGCATTCCTCCGCAACGGCATTGAGTTGGTGGTCCCGGCGACCCACGATGCACACCCGAGCACCCGCGGTAGCATATTCGTGTGCGATAGAGCGTCCTATTCCACTAGAGGCCCCAACGACCAAAACGCGCTCTTGGGACCGGGGCAGCGTTCGCGAGCGACGCCGTCGCTGCCGCCACAAACGGTGAGCGACATAAAGAACAGCTAGGCTGATAACAATAGGGTGGCGGTCGACAGCATTCTCCGTCGAGTCAACCACTCCGGACAGCGTGCAGATGATGCTCTTGATATACGTAGACGAGGACATCTTGACCCGAGTCGCTCGAGCTCTCCGGTGCACAGGGCCGCGCCAGTGCCACAGGGAGAATAGTTGCCGGTGTAGTACACGTATCGCACTGCGCACGGTACAAAGTTGCTACTTCTGATTCGGGGAGGGACGTAGCGCTCGGTGAGTACGTGTGTGCGATCGGACTTTGGTCTGAGCTCCAACCAACCTTCCCGAGTCAATTTCGAGGTTCCTACCATCCGTTCCCAGACGAACCCGCTCTGAGGTACTACCGTTTTGTATAAACGCGCAGTAAGGAGGGCCCAGTCAGAGGAGGCTTTGGCTAGTCGTCCGAGCTGACCCATTCCTCTCTCACCCACCTACCCTCATGTCTATTTACACTCAGCTGCTGGAACAGAACATCTATCATGTGCCTTCTTTTACTCTAGAGTCCGGGAGCGTCCTAAAGGACGTTCCTGTCGCTTACAAGACATGGGGCCAGCTGAATGAGACCAAGGACAACGTCATGATAATCTGTCACGCTTTTACCGGAAGCGCCGATGTCGATGACTGGTACGTCGGTCTGTCTTGCTGTATCCCCGATCGATACTTATGCGCCCATAACTATTGTTCAGGTGGGGGCCTCTGATGGGTCATGGCAAGGCGTTTGACGCTAGCCGTTTTTTCATCTTTTGTGGCAACGTCCTAGGCTCGCCTTACGGGTCGGCTTCGCCGGTGACGCTGAACCCAGAGACGGGCAAGCCCTATGGCCCGGAGTTTCCTCTCACGACCATCCGTGACGACGTCCGGTATGTCTAGGTAGATCACGGATCCGAAGGTGACCGTCGTCTGACGAAACTTGTGCAATTTCCACAGGATCCACAAACTTGTCTTAGACCACTTGGGCGTCAGCTCCGTTGCCGTCGTGATTGGTGGTTCCATGGGTGGCATGGCCGTGTTGGAATGGCCCTTGTGTTCTCCGCCAGGTTACGTGAAGCGAATCATCCCGATCGCGACTTCTGCCCGTCACTCCGCCTGGTGCATCAGCTGGGGAGAGGCTCAGCGTCAGAGCATCTACAGCGACCCGTCCTATCAAGATGGATACTACGACGCGCAACCTGCCTCCGGGCTGGCGGCGGCGCGTATGGCGGCGCTGTTGACGTACCGTTCGCGAGATTCCTTCGAACGCCGTTTTGGCCGCAAACCGCAGAAAGCCGCCGTGACCTCGGACAATGGCGTCCTCACACCTCCCCAGTCTCCCGCGCTCCCCTCTGCGGACTACACCCTTGCGGCCCACAACGATGGGCTGCGCAGCTCCCAATCGCGCCCGCAGACCCCAGCTGCCGTCTCTGCTGCGCACTCGCGTTCGACCAAGGTCGGAGAGGGCTCGCCTCCTCGTCCCCCTATCTTCTCTGCCCAGTCGTACCTGCGATACCAAGGAGACAAGTTCACGTCCAGATTCGACGCCAACTGCTACATACATATCACTCGCAAGCTCGACACACACGACATCGCTCGCGGAAGGCTGCTAAGCCCTGACGAAGACGAGAACACAGCCCTCTTCCGTGTCCTTGGGACTGAGCCGCCCCGTGCGCTCGTCATCGGCATTCAATCCGACGGGCTGTTTCAGCCTGCTGAGCAGCACGAAATCGCAGAGGGCATCCCTGAGGCGCAGCTGGTCATGATACCCTCGCCGGAAGGGCACGACGGCTTTCTGCTCGAGTTCGAGCTCATAAACAAACACATTCTGGGATACCTTAGGGTCGAGTTCCCCGAGTATTACAAAGACGGCGAGGATGTGTCTGGAAGCGCCGTACAGGACTTCTCCATCAAAAAGACGAGCTTATTTGGTGAAGCCGAGGTAGATATTACGAGATGGTAAGGGAGGGATGGAGGAATCTCGGCTGATCGTCGAGTCGTGGACTATACATTAATTGTAGCTCTACATCCAACTGTACTTTGCTATGCGTTGTTGAAATACACCGAGTGTGTTGGTTGTTCAACCCAGCCACATATTCACTTGCAGGGGCGACTGCCCATGATCGGACTTGTGTTTCGATATATAACAGAACCAAGCATGATGGTAAAATGCATTGCAGTATAAGTACATTAGTCGCAGTAACAGTAAGGAACATTTTAGGTGCGGAAGACTACGATACAACATTTAGGGATCAGCGACTATCAGATGCTCTGGACAGTGACAATAGACAATGGATAGATAACACAAAACTCTGGAAAGGTTCATACATAGAGCAAGCTCGCGGACCGTTCATTGGCGGCAGTGTTAGATACCATGTGCCTGTCGGCGGAGTCAGCACGTCAATATACCGCGCGAGCACTGAGATTGAGACGAACCTAATCTTCGTCATCAGACGCCTCCTCCTCAACGCGGCGCGGGTAAAGATGCACAACACGCGTCTGCTTGATTTGCTGGCGAGCATGGCCGAAGTAGCGCTGGGTCTCGAACGACCAGTTGAGGTTGCCGATGACCCAGGTCTCCATGGCCATGGTGTACTGCGCAACCTCGCGGTCAATCTTGGGACCCCAGCTGGGCAGGCTGCGCTTGGCCTCGAGGAAGGCGTCGATGAGGCCCTTGAAGTGCACTCCGACGTAGTCGCTAGCCCCCTGCAGATCGAGACCCTTGTGGCGCATGAGGACTGTCATCACGTTGTTGGTGGTGTGGCCCATCGCTTGTTCCATGTTGTACGAGTACAGGTCCTGTGGAAGACAGCCAGGCCATTTCACCAATCAAACGGAGATAACGGACAAGCGCAGCTGTCAGCGAACTGTATCGCGGGTGCGCGTCGACGCGATTCTTGGACTTACATTAGACCAGCAGACCATGTCTACGGTGGCAAGATGCATGGCCATGAAAGCGGGATGCTCGACCACCTCGTCTGGAAGGTCAATGCCGAGCGCATAGCCGGCGAGCCCGAAGCAGAAGCGAACGGCGCTGTTCTCGCGACGGAGTGTGATGTAGGAATCGAGGTCGAGTACCGTCCCCTTCATGCGCAAGTCGGCCTCGTAAGCTACGGCCTCAATGTAATCCTTGCAGTGCTTCACGAAGCGTCGGTAGGTCAAAGGACCACAATGCTTCAGAAGACGTGCGGTGAACCTGTGGAATCGGGAGTACAGGATTCGGCTCAGGAGATGTCGCAAGTATAGACCAAGGAATCACATACTCTTTTGTCATTTTGCAAAGGGTGGTGCCATCATCGTAGCTAAGATCCCGCATCGAGTTGTAGAAGGTGAGACCGGTCTCGTGTGCCCCCTTTCCGTCCTGATCATCGCTGATCTCGTCCACCGTAAACAATAAGTTCACGAAATCGCAGGTCGTCCGGAATTGTTCGTAGTCGGCGTAGGGGTAAGCGTGCGCGCAGAGAAGTTCACTACCTCCTTGAAGGAAGAAGGCACGCTTTTTGTCGGAGAGGATCCGGTAGCTATTGATCCATTCGGAGGATTCGGCTGCGGCTTCGGGGTAGTTGGGGTTGAAAGACCCCTTGAAAGGGGTCACAGCGTGAAGATCGGGGAGAACGAAAGAGGAGCTGGACATGGCTACTGCAAGGCTGAGAGTGTGTGTGCAAGTAAGAAGGCAATGAGAGGCAGTATGTCACAGGAGGAAGTGAAGAAACTGGGAGGGGTGTGTGCTGTTGTCCAGTCGTCCCAACCATGCCCTTTTATTTGCATCGTCGGTATGAACGTCCACAATTTCGGGTTTGACGCTGACCTACACGGGATCTCCTGCATCTCCGGCTCGCTGGGCACTTGGACTTGCGCGGCTTAGACACCATGCTCTCCGTCAGGCGTTCCGACGAAAGGCGTTCGTTAAACAACGCCAGCAGTGCCATGGCGCGAGTCTGGGTGACCATGACTGCATGCTTCGCGTCAGCTCCAGACGAATGCTTGAGGTTCGTCGGGCGACAGTTTGAGGCTTCCGAAATGGTTTGATCGCCAGCGCCGATTGAGTCCGGAAGATGACCGGGGCGGGAGAGAGGTTCCGGTAGATCAGTGCATATGCCGGTTCGCTCTGGTACGAGGTGTCGAGACAGCCGCCGCGAACACGGAGGTCAATATTCGTGGAGGCTCTGCAAGACGCGCGGAAATCCGGCCCGTTAGACCGTGCATGCTTGCCCGAGGCCTACCTGAACAGATTACGTCCTATGCGAAACAACTTCCGTCGGTTGGTCTCTGACCTCCGTTGAATTGACCTGGGAAAGAAACAACAGAGTGGGAATAGCACCTCTACAGCATGCGGGCTGCGCTGTACACAGACAATGCACCAGTGAGTGCCACAGGAGCGCGCAACCAACCGCGCGAAAGCAGTGCATTCCCGATGGTCTCGGGATTGCGTCTTTTCAATATATGACACTTCGGCTTCATCGTTATGGGTGGCTAGAGAGCTTGTTGACTAGCAGAGGCTGTCAGCACATCGCTCGTTGCCCAAAGCGTATTCTTAAGGTTCAGCACGAAATGCAACGGACTACAATTGCAAGCCTCCAAGTACGACACCGATTGAACGAGCTTGCCTAACAACAGGCTATCAGAACACATGCGTCCATCGCCGAGCCAGAATCGGAACAAAACGTTACGGTAAGTACTCGAAGAGCCTACCTCGTCATATAGCCATCACAGCACCCTTCGTTACACTGGAGTTGCTTGCAGGGAAGACACGCACCACATAGTTCAGATAGATCGTTAGATTCCAAACGGAATCTGGAGGACTTCGGGGGCTGAGATGCGATTTCTTCATGATCTCAGGTACCCTCACACATTCCATTATGTGCCGTTCTGCCAGGTACACGTCAGGTACCCTGTGCACGCGAAAGATGACACTGGCGTACGAGGGTTGGTATGAACGCCGAAATGCGTGCGGTTTCGCACTCATTCCTTCGTTAGCAGGATTATGAGATTGCCATTAGCAGATGTGTCGGAATTGAACTCCACGGCAATGGCGATGCTAATATATTGTATCACGTTGAGTCTAGTTTAAGCATCGCGCTGTTTATCATTGAGAGAACATCAGGATCACGAGCGCAAACCAGTCCCAGATTGCCTGGTGCGACTACAGCGGGAGATGGTATAAGAAGGGCTCCTCGGGACTGACGTAGTTCCATACCGTGCCTGAAGTCACCTAGAAAGCAGCAGTAGTAGGGGCCGAGTCGGAGTAATGGAAAGAGAGTTAATGGTCGACTGCAATCATGAATCTCCGGAACGTGCCGGCACATTCATGTTCACCCCTAACCCTAAGTAGTATTATCGGGTCACTAGGTTTTCCGCGACGCCGCCCATGTAACCCTTTGCAGCTGAATCCCCCTCCCCGCCCATGTGCTACGCAGGAAATATAATGGCTCAGACTTGCTTTTGTGAAAATCAGACATCCTCAGTAGTCTGCCGAGGCACAGGTTGGCTGCACATTGAGTCGGCAAAGGACGAGCATGGTTTCATCGAGCATTACTTTGACCACACTGGCAGAGTGCGGCACCGACAGGAAGTACGTACCATTCCTATGATCGCTCATTGTATCTGCGTTTATGTCCGCGGGTGACTCTCACCGCGGACCCAATCAACAGGTTCGCTCGCCATTGCTCTCCGATTATGTCATCACTGCCCTCACAGTGTCTCGGGAGATCATCCGACATAGTGGGGGACGGTCTGGGCAGGAAGGTGTTATCTACAGGCGTAAAAAGTTTAGAAATAATCTGACACCTACACTGTTACCTCCCAGACATTGAAGGATCCCGTTGGCGAAGAAAAACCACGGCTGCAGTTCACGCGTCGCCGCAGGAAACCTCTGCCTCATAGGCTCCAGCTACATCCGATCTGATGATGTGGCCGATTAGTCATAGAGGGCTGCAAGTGTATTTCGTGATGATTGCAAGGTCTTCTTCGGGCTAAATGATGTTATTGATACTGAAGCGCCTGTGACTACAGCGACTCACCTTATGGATCGCTTTCTTAGTCACATAGTTTTGGGTCGAATTGGACCCCAAGCCTTCATCCCTCAGGGCATGCGGCGTGGGGGCATTTCGCTGCCATGACTTTGCCGCACCATTGCAATCATCTAGGATCCGCTACAAACGGCTACAACCCGACTCGGATCGTACAATATTGTCTACTTGGTACGCAGATCAGAAACTGTTGAGACACTCAGCATGGGAGCTCCGCATACCCTTCGGAGGCAAAGATTGGCAATGGACGCCGTTGGTGGCTGTCGGTCGACTGTAACTCGCCGCTGAGCGATAGTCAGGTTTCAGCGGAGCGCTCTCAGAATCGCTGGTGATTTGTGTTCGAGGGACCTCGTACACCTAGGCATCATCAGCTTCACGGAGTCCGAGGACCTGCACGGCGGCGTCTCCGAAACTATCGCTGAGTTGCAAGGATAACCAACGATTCTAGTAAAGGCCCGCGGTAAGCGTCACAATATCATTAGATCCAATCTCGGAGCCTGTCTCTGCGAGCGCGTACCAGTCAGCGCTCAGGAATGCATAAGACGACGCGGCCGTAGCTAACTGGGTCGAGCGGCTGAGTCGTCTGGTACGATCGTGAGGGCAAAAGCTCCCTGAATCTCCGAACTTGACAGCAGGCATTGGTCGTTCCCATGCCCTATGCACAAGCACAATGCAGGGCTACAGTGCCTGGGGCTGCGGTCGCAGATTGTCATTAGATCTCCGGGACACTCGGTGGTTCAAGCCTGGAAAGTCCCTGATGTGACCAATTATGCAAGAAATGTATTGAAGACATTATGGCTAGGAAATACAATAAACTCATACATCATGAATGCAGAGGATCCGAGATCCAGTGAAATCTGCACTCTATACTGTCTATGCTGCAAAAACACGTGGGGAGGCTTATTGATACCCACTTAAATAGAGTCCTTGCCTGTCGGTATCGTTCGTCAGCCCGCTACCGGAGACAAATATCCGCTCAAATCACACCTTGTTGTCATGCTTCTTCATCAGATTCGCGCCGACGCAGGACGACCACGAGGGTGTCCTTTACCCGCACATGTTCCTCGCCGAAGTACCGATTCGTCTTGAAGCTCCATTCGAGGTTGCCAATGACCCAGTGCTCCATCGCGCTGATGTACTTGGAGACCGCATCATCCAATGCGGCGCTCCCGAAAGACGGGAGCCGGGCTTTGGACTCAACAAATCGATTCATGAGCGTCTCGAAATGCTGGCCGATGAGATCGGACGCCGCTTGAAGGTCGATGTTACGCTCTTGCATGAGGACTGAAACGATGTTGTTTCCCCCAATTCCACGAGCTTGTTCCATGTTATACGAGTAGACGTCCTGCGAATGCACGATGAGCTCGAGTGGACACCCATGTATCAAATACGACATACATTTGACCAGCACACCATGTCCGCCGCCGCCCAGTACATGGTTGCGAAATGCTCGTCGTGAAAAACAGAGTCGGGAAGGTCGCAACCAAGGGCGAACTCGAAGAGGCCGAAGCATAGGCGGATAGCGCTGTTTTCCCGCCGCAAAATCTCGAACTCGGCGAGGTCGAGGACCTGGCCCTGCTCCCTGAGCTCGGCCTCCCGTGCTACTGCGTTGACATACGCAGCACAATGCACGAGGAACCGACGGTAGGAGTTTGGTCCGGCGTAGTCCAATAGCCGCTGTCTGAATCTGAATTGATGAGTGACGTAGAATGATCATGATGAGCATCGGTCTTTGGCGGACAGGCGACACATCAATGTCAGGAAAGACGTACTCGCGAGTCATTTGTGCCAGTGCCGAGCCGTCGTCCCAATCCGGGTAGCGCATAGCGTTAAGGAAGATCTGCCCGGTAGCACGAGCGCCGCGAGCGTCCTGATCGTCGCTGACTTCATCTACGACGAAGAGAAGGTTGACGAAGTCGCAGCAAGTTCGGAACTGGTCGTATCCGGCGTATGGGTAGGTGTAGGATACGAGGAGCTCATTGCTGCCACTCAGGAAGTAGGCGAGCTTCTTGCCACGAAAGAGTTGGTACCGATTGACCCACGCACGAGACTCGGAGGACGCCTTCTCGTAGTGTGGGCTGGTCGAAATTCGGAAGGGACAGACTGCAACGAGGTCCGGGAGAGTGAATTGCGATGAGGACATGGCGATGTGGTGGGGTAGAACGTCGAGAACACACTGTCAATGGTATTCTAGCTGGTTGCGTTCCACTTTATATATTCCTTCATCACAACGACACAAATGGCAGTGTCGGACCCGACAGTTGACGACGACACGTCGCTCACCCGCACAAACGATTCAGTGTAGACATCCCTAATCCGACATGGGCTTCAGTCACACACCATGTATGGAGCCGCACCGCAGTATGATCGGCTTCACGCCGGCAAGGCTGCTGTCGTCCTGAGATTGCCACTCGTTGCCGCGCATCTCCCGTCGCACGGTTACGCCAGGGCTTGGTCAGAAATGAATGGATCATCGATGCAGATGCCTGGGAGATCTCATTCGGGTTGTATTGCCGACTGCACAGCCCTGAGATACGCTAGTCAGGTCATATGTCAGTGTACAAGGGTCGTCATAAGTGACTCAGATCCGACTTACCGGGTGTCGCAAGGAACAGCGCCGGTTTCTTTACGGCAACTCGTATATATTTTTATAGTTGACCTAAGAACACGTTACACTTCAACCAGTGGGACAGGTTTCTCAGGGATTTCGACAATACTGTACGAGACGCAGCGAGGCGGGCACTGTGACAGTGCGACCTTCAAATAGGAACGCGCCGATCAATGCACAGTATCGCAGATTCAATTGAGATACGTACCGCCTAAGAGACGATTATAGTTGTGTGATGGGAAGAGGATCTCGGTACAGAGGACCAAATCCTGTGTTGGGACGCGGTTCTGCACTCGCATCCTCCGGTACTAGCTCCCATTCTAGGTCCAATAGGTCACATCACTGAAATGTACCGATAGAAACGGCCGACCACTCACCGTTGGACATATTCTATGCCCCTCCTCTCTCGTGACCCTCGATACCAAAGACAACCGATGCTACTGCTCTTCACTGATTGCTCACAAAGCGTTTATTCGACCCTGAACAAGTCTGAAAAGACTGACAGCGCCACTATGAATGCGGCGATTGGCCCTTGTACGTCTGAGCTGAGAGCTTATCAATGCTACTGCCCCTGACCTGGTGCGTGTTTCATCAGTGAGATTGAGATTGGTTGCTAAAGCCGCATACCTGTGTTTCACTCGATTCCATGGAATCGGAGCGCCCTGTCTTGCGGAGCAAAGTCCCTATCTGATTGGAGCGGTAGTCCTCATGCGGGGTCCGTGTGAGTCCGAGAGTCGCGAGTAAAAGAAGATAGCTAGCTAGAGCGGCTGGTGACAGGATAGTAGAATACGGTGCCATGCCCAGGGCAGCTCATTACGATGGGTGACTAGCAAATGATGGGTCATCTGCTAGCGCGCCCCGATGTACTGCCACACCACTCTTGGCAAAGAGTATTCCTAGAGCATGAGAGATTGTCGAGAAGTCGTTACGATAATTTGTTCCTGGCTGGCCGCGCACTGTGGTGCTGATATTTGCCATATTCAGGCTTCGAGGGTTAACGTTGCGTTAGAACTTTCGTGCCACAGCGGGATCCGGATGATGTTGCATGTCGTTTATAGCTACGGCTGCCGATCAATGTTCAGCGTAGAGCTCGCCTAATACAGAAAGAGTATTGCGAGAATCGCTCACCACTGTCATAAACTTAGGGCTGCCGTCAATAGATCACTCAAACGTTACCGGTCGTGAAGGGCGTGCTAAGTTCAGGTCGGTTATCAATTTGATGCCGCACCGGAAGAAACCGCTGATGTCACAGCGACCTGTCCTCTAGCAGCAGTGGGAGCGAACAGCGGCAACCTCGACGAACTTTTGACAAGCATTCACTGTGGTTGACGCTTGGCACATATGTTGTAGCAATACCTAGCTCACACCAACATAGCGGAGAGATCCTTGGCCCCGGAAGTACGATTGTGGCTAGCAGTATTCAGGGTCGAGCCGGGAGTAAAAGGGGGGAATACTTTGATTCGGGAGCGATCTTCGGTCACGAATCGTAAACAGGTAACATCGGCCAAGTGTCACCTGCTACTTGAAACCCAGGCAACGCGTTGTTCGGTAACATAATATCAGCGTTCAGCCTGCCCATGAAGAATGAAAGAACAGCCACCACAGGACTTCTAGACGCGCCATGAACTCGCGGAATAGACGTAGTCCTCATAACCGTGGCAGAGATCTATCAGCCTCGTCGGGGTCGAACAACCCGTAGCAACAAGGGGCGAGCATTACAGCAGACAGTCGGCTAATCTTCAATTGAGCAGCCCCGAGCCCCAAAGTAGACGCGTCTGTCAGCGGGTCGAACTATCCATATCGAGCGGAAGTGGTCATTGTATGTCCAAACAAAGAAAGACGCGCGAACACATACACATGAACCACACGCTACTCGTTCACTTCTTTTGACCGTCCAACAGGAGCACGGAGTATGTTGTCAATTGAGCAAGATCTGGGCGGGTTAAAGATTACCTTATCCATCGGTTGCTAGCACTTCACTCCTGTTAAGCACGCAGACATGTCAGACAAGCGCTACTTACCCCCTGATCAAGATTGGGCCGAACAGTACGTGAGACTCCGTTGTGTTTTCCCTCGATAGGCCCGATATACTGTGATTTTATAGCATTGGTCGTGTATTAGCGTAACACAAAGAGGGTCATACAACCTTCGGTGGACCACTCACCCGTAGCTCAACGTAGAACTCACGACTTCTGGTAAGGGGGAAAGCGCAAACCATCAGACAGATCACAATGTGTATTCGGCTGTCTTTGAAGGAATGCTGATTTGAAAACGGCGGTTTCGAGGATTATACAATGCAGAAGCTGGCGACAGCTTGAGAGAAAATGGCTACATAGCAGGCAATGATCGATGATGGAGCGATGGCAAGGAAACGGCCGGACTCGAATCCCTGGTAGGCAGGGCAGGGCCCAACGGTCACCTAACGAGAACGCGGGGACGCAGTGCGACGAACAGTGGCACATGAACGGCGGCCTAATAAAATATGCAGAAGCTAGAAACAAATCCGGTAGCTGGCGTAACGTCCGGACGTCTCACTCGGGCGGGTGATTTTGACAACGTTGCCCCGTTTAAGACCGTAATAGCGCGCAACCGGATCGGCCAGTTGGATACGAGGAAGTTGCGTCTCCTTCAGCCGGCTTCAAGGTGCGATGAGCAAACTGCTGTAATGAGGCCGGAGAGTGTGACGCCATATACGCACTAGGTCTCCAGTAGTTCCTTCTTCTGTTCTGGCGTGAGAAGCTCATGCCTCGGCACTAGCGTGTGGTGGGTGATGTTGACCAGTAAGTCGGACTCCGAGAACTCCTCCAGCTTGTATTGTGACGCCATGGCTACGATAACCTGCGGGTATAATCCATGTCATCATGTGTGGCGGGTGTGGTCCACTCAACTAAAACGCTCACTTTCCGCGCAGAAGGAGTCATATTGCCCGGGAACACGATAATTCCCTGCTGGATGTTCTTCTCTTCAAGGATTCCAAGCAATCTGACGCAACTGGCGATTAAGGTTCTGCACGCAGGAAGTAGCACAACTCCAGACACTCACTTTCGCATTGTCTTGACTCCCACGCTCTTCTCGTCGGTGAAGAAAATGAATATCTGCAACATAGGGTTGTCCCGATGGTTCGTGAAGAAGTTGAGCTGACTCCGGCTGCAAGGCCATCAGCATTTCGACACAACACACTAGCACATGAGCAAAAGAGAGGGATGACTCTTCCATCTTGCACACATCCAGGGGCTCGGAAGGTGCAGTACCTTGCCATCGTGGGTATCTGGCGTGTACGCACGAGCCTAAGCAAGGTTTATATTTGTATACAGCAACAAAAGTACGTCTGATCCGTTGAGCGGAGCTGTTACGCTCAGCAAGACGCTAGAGAGTTCACAGCGCGGCCAATTTTTTTTATCCGGAAGGAGGTATAGCAGACCCAAGCTTCACTGAACTCGGCGTCCCAGGACGGCTTGCTTACAAGCGTGCATAGGCAAGCAGGATTTGCGACTACTCACTCTACTGTTCCGCTTTGACTAGCGTAGTGTGAGCGAAAGGTGGCTAAGTCCATGTTTATTTCGTCGTCGGCGACCTGGAATCCCTAGTATAATCCGCGCTTGGTTCAACGGGCGCGATAGTGATGCAGCGTGCAACTTACTCACCCTGTCCTTGACCAACTCGTGTATAGTCCTATTCACCTTCCATAACCTCGCGGACTCCTCTTGCTCGCCGGGGCTGGCCATAGCAGTGTGTGGTGTGGTGGTAGAGGCGAAAGCGGGGTAATAGTGCGCAGACGCTCGAAATTTCTGCCGAATGCGTCCTCGACCGACGACGTCGCGGACGCGGCTCAAGCGCCAAACCACTCTGCCATGCCTCCGCCATCTACAACGACGACGGCGACTAGTCACAATGACACTCCGGCCTCACTGGCTCTGACTACTGCTCTCATGGTATTTGCTTGCTTGTGTCTTTAAGTCGCGATATCTAAGTCCGTGCGATAGAGCAAGCTGAAGCCTGCGAAGGTGTTCAAAACTGCCGTCGAGCCTCATACGCCGCCTTCACCTGGTCAGGGTTCGCGTTCGCCCCAGGCACAGCAGGGCCCAAGGCACATTACAGGACTGAGCTTTGATGATAGAGGAGACCAGGTAATTACTGCTGGGGAAGATGAGACATTCCGGCTGTATAGCTGCAAATCCGGCAAGCGAGTTCCTTCAGTCTCACGTAGCCAGTGGCGCAAACTGACTACGGCCTTGGTCTCGCTCTCGCCAGACAGGTGAAAATTCTGTACTCCAAGAAGTATGGAGTAGACCTCCCCCGATTCACGCATAAAAACACTGCGATCCTGCATGCCTCCACGAAGGAGGATGATACCGTCCGCTACCATTCCCTACACGACAATAAGTACCTACAGTACTTCAAGGGTCACAAAGGACGCGTCATCTCCCTCGAGATGTCTCCAGTAGATGACGGATTCATGTCCGGGTCGCTGGACAAGACCGTACGTCTGTGGGACCTCCGCTCACCGAATTGTCGCGGATTGCTCAACCTCCCCGCGTCACCTGTGGTCGCATACGACGCGTCAGGGCTCGTGTTCGCTGTTGGAATCAACCAATACTCTCGTATACTGCTCTACGACCAAGCTAACTTCGACAAGGCACCTTTCTTGACGATCACTCTCGAGGATCCCACTTTGTCCAAAGTCACCTTCCCGCCCCGCGCGATCTACATGACATCTCTCGCCTTCTCGACAAACGGCAAATATCTCCTCGTCGGCTGTTCAGGCGACGCGCACTACCTTATGGACGCGTTCGAAGGGCACTTGCTCGCGAAGCTCGTGGGACACGTGGGGCTTGAGCGCCGGCGACCGGATGCACCTCTCTCCATAGAGCCCCAGCGCGGTTGCAGTGGGGAGGAGGTATCATGGACTCCCGACAGCAGGTATGTGCTGAGTGGAAGCGCAGACGGGAAGATCGTCTTGTGGGACGTCTCAATCCTGCCGGCGAAACAAGGCCCAATCAACACGAAGGCGGAGCCGCTCGTCATTCCTCCCGCCGCGGTGTTAGAGGGACACCCCGGTCCATCGAGATGCGTGAAGTTCAATCCAAGATTGGCAATGATGGCTTCGGCAGGGGCAGAGCTTGTGAGTGATGCTTCGTATTGTTGCATTTGTGTTACAGGGTCTGAGGCCATCGGCAATCTAGGCGTTCTGGCTGCCGGACCAGGCTGGAGATCCGGAAGAGCTTGCAAAGGAGCTCCTAAAGAAAAAGTGATCATTCCTGGTTTGGGGGCCCCTTGCGGGTCATTGTGTACGTTGTAGGTTCCAGTTCGATCGCAGAATATCCAATCGTCACCTCGCTAGTCTGTGTTGTTCTTGCTCGTAGAAAAGACACGGAACATGTGCGTGCCACGGTCTCGATCGTGGTTCTCGTCGTTTTGCGTCCCAGCAGCCCCAGCGTCCTTACTTAGATAGCCTTCTGAACATGGAGTTGTTGTCGTTGACAGGTTCTAGCACTCCGCTTGTGCGTAGCATTCGCATGCACAATGCTTGACATGCGTCTCGCTCATTGAAGGGGACTAGACACTGCACCATCGTCGCCATCACTCGCCACAGAAGTTTGGGATCAGCTTGAAGGTTGGCGATACCGTTCAGACCGTCCAGGGTCTAGTAGATGATGGCCTTGAGAGTGTGCACACGACAGGCATCCAGACGTTTTCTACTGGAGAAAAGTCCAAGGAAAGGGGAGGCGCAAGGTGACCTTTTTCGACGTGGTCTAAGTTCTAAACAACAGTCCCAAGAAACGGCTGGTTATTGCGTCTTGCCTCCCATTTTCGTCGACTTGTCTCTAGTAGATGAAATAGAATGCCTGCCGCGGCAGCTGCTCTATATATCGTGAAGCTATCCCCATAACCCTATATCGACTTGTGCCTTTCTGAGCGCATGCGGGAGTCTAAGCACCTAACAGGCGCTCGACGCACCCTCTCCTCGCCACCACGTGCCTTTGGATCTGCATTGCCAAAGAAGGCAAGCGGACGTGGCACCGAAGGCAAGACCAGCTCCGCGCTCTCTCTCCTTAAACTCTTCTTTTCTGGCACTGGACTGGCTCAGGATGCGTCTCTTCAGTCTACTTGGTCTTCTTGTCGGCACTCTTGCCCTACTGCAAGATGTTGTGGCTTGTGCGTAGCCCTTGCTCATCCGCGCGCATGTCATACGGACGCTTAACCTCAGCTGTTCCTCCTTTCATGACTATCCTTCCTCCCGTGTAGCTCCTGGCGAGTCGGAAGCCGACGAGCCGGTGGTCCTGGCATTTGCTCAATTCCCGGAAACCAACGCTTTTGGTCGTGCGTTCTCTCTGACTTCTCTATCGTGCATTCTCCGAGCTGATGACGTCGCTACGGGCAACCTGTAGAGGTCGTGAACGGCGAGCGGAACGCGCTCTTCGTGGCCATCGAGAGCAAGGAAGCCGATCGTAATGTGACGCTCAAGAACATCGCCGGGTCTCTCCACAACGCGCAAACGGACAGGCTGGTCAAGAATGTATGATGATGTCGCGTTCTCTTCTGCTGCTCGTAAGCTCATCCAATCTCCGCATGCGTAGTTGACGAAGACGGACTACCCTATCCCCCTCATCGAGGGTGCTCCTCTCCAGTTGCCCTTTGCGTTCCACAGCGAGTGAGTACCGGCCCATACCGTCAGACGCAGACGATGTGCATACTGACTGGTTCTACTAGATTCAAGGTGCGAAGCTTCACATCAATCGTCTACTAATGGCGTTCTGACGCAAGATATTTCGTAGCCGGGCGAATACAAGTTGAACATCTGGATTGAGCACGTCGTTGATGTATGTTTCCCTATGATAACGTCTCCGTGATCGTCCTCACAATGCCTCTAGGGCAAGACCTACCGTGTCACCGCCTACGACTCCATCATCACAGTCGTCGAGCCCGAGTCTTCTATTTTCGACTTCAAGCTGTTCGTGCCCCATCTCGCGCCCTCAACTATGCCTGCTAACAGATCTTCTCCCATCTCAGGCTCTTGACTTATGTCATCGTTACTGGTCTCCTCGGCGGCCTTGGCTATTACACCTACCTCACGCTCGCTCCCCAGCCCAAGAAGCGCAAGATCCCGCAACCCTCTGCCCCTGTTGGCACCGTTACCGCGACCGGCGCGGGCGGCTACCAGGAGGAGTGGATTCCCGAGCACCACCTCAAGAAGGCGAAGAAGCCTAAGGCTTCCGGTGCTGTGACTAGCGGGGACGAGGCGAGTGGAGTCGAGAGCGGCAATGAGGGCAGGAGGCGCAAGGCCAAGAAGTAGATAATACAGAGTCTGGGCATGAGTGGGGATTTCCATGCTATCGTACGGGACACGGACGCAAAAGTGGCACTGCACGCGCCGCGGCGTGCCATATTTCGGTTGGGTTATATCTAATGTATAATGCGGCCCTACTTGCATTGCAAAACTTCGCATCATGCCTTCCTCTCAGGCGAGATCGCTGTTTGTCATAACCGTCGGATGATGTATGTGTTGCACGTCCCGCAGGTGGAGGAATATGCACGAAGGAGAATGCGAGATATGCCACATAGCGATATAGATGAGAGGAGGAGCGAGGCTAGCATTACATGTGCATCTATACGTCGATGTTCTTGTAACCCTTCACCTGCGGAACGTTCAACGTCAACACAAAGCGCACAGAACGGTAGCCAGCGCTACTCACCCTGTTCTCCTTTAACATATCCAGATAGCGCTCCCGAAGGTCCTTACAGCTCTCCAGGTGGTTCACGCCCTCGCTCTGGTAGCAGTGGTCGAGTTGGTCGCGGACGAGCTTCGCCTCCATAGTGCGAATCCAGGACTCGCGCAAGATTTGCTCGCGCTCGGCGAGACGTGCTGTCACATGCCTCAGGTCGGCGTCGCATTGCTGAGAGGCGGAATGGGGGCGCACCTTTGTATTCTGACACACGGGCTTCGTCTATGGGCATGGCCACGGAATCAAGGAGCGTAGTCGCGGAGGACGGTTAGGACAACCTGAGGCCGACAGGTGCGACGCCGACACCTGTCAAGCGCCCGCCGCTACTGTCTGGTCACGTGCCTCGTGCATGTTGCGCCGAATCTGACCAGGTTCGGTATTGATGCTGACCTCCACAAACTCGCTGGCAGCAGCTGCTTGTGTATACTCTCTTGCTTCCAGCTAGCTTGACCGCAGAGAGCTTAAGTACTTCTGCACCGTGGCACTACATCGCTGCAAATGCTCCCAAGTTTTTGTTTGTCATTGTGTATCCGGAATCTCAGTTGCTCTCTCGGCTACCATTCAAAGCGTACAGTTCAAACCTCTTAGTACCTTGGAGAATACCTCTGACAACCACAAACTTTACAACACCGTCCACTTAATGACTCCTCCCACACGTTTACGACGCATTCAGTCATCGCGGAGACGCCAGAGGCATTCCCTCATGCATCATATCTAGCCTCGTTGCAGCATTACGCCAGGCCATCTGCCACACAAAGAATGCTGCTCACCGATCCGAGTCTCGTTGTCCGCGCCCGTGAGGCGGACATCGCTCTGACAGATGCTCACTTATGCTTCTCGATTCATATACCGATCGTCGATGACACTGTTGTCGTAAGGTTCTATCAACCAAGACGCTTGCTTTGCGGAGCGATGGAGGGCCACATGGTCTCGGAGAGAACTTTGTGCGGGCCAAGACTGTCCAATGACAGCCGAAGGATAGGCCTTGAGGCAGAGCGGGAGGACAGTCGACCCATTCTTCGCGGGGGAGGGCTGAGGAGTAGTCCGCCCCGTTCCCCTTGCTGATACCTGGTTACGCACCGCAGGGTAGCCCGTCTCGATGGCGTTCTCTGCAGCGGAGGTATGCCGTCTACTCTGTGTGCATGTCTTGAGGGTGCTGAAGATTTTCCAAGTCGAAATTGGTGTCTATCTTCGTCCAGTGCATCCTGTATGGTGAGCTAAATCGTCCTTCTGCCGGAAAGTCTGTTTCTCATAGATGTATCGAAGGCATATACACGACCCTCTTCATCAACACGACGTATGCCTTGTTGTGGAAGCGGCCTATGGGCCACCCCCTCCGCTATGACATGCTCTGGGTTTCGTCGCTGATGTTCGTTGTCGCCACAATGGTGAGCTCCTGCATGCCTTGATGCGTTCGCTGTAACTCAGAGTACGTACTTGTTCATTGCAGCACGTCGCGACCAATTTCTCGCGAATCATCCTCGCATTCGCTGACCATGCTGGGGCTCCCGGTGGGCCAGCTGCCTTCTTTGACGAGCTGTCAAACTTCACGCAGATGTTTGGCAGCACATTGTATGTTATCCAAACACTCTTAGGGGATGGCATGGTTGTGAGTCTTTCACGATTTAGCAAAGGCAATAATGCACGACTGAGTAATGCTATCACTCACCAGCTCTATCGTTGCTACCTTGTGTGGGGGCGCTCAACACGGATCATCGCATTTCCTGTCGCATTGCTGCTGGGAAGTACAGGTGGGGTCCCTCCTGCTAGTCCTTGGTCTCTGCACACCTGTCTCATGTCCCGCAGCCACCGGGATCGGTATCCTCTACTCGTTTGATAAAGTCGTGCCCCAGGCATCTATCTTCGTTGTCCAACTCGGTCACTGGATCACGGCGTTCTTCTCCATGACGTTCGCCACGAATGTCATATGCACGGGTACGCCATTGGCTGCATTGCGGCCAAACAGCGTAATCTGACATTGGGATGGGTACACCCCAGTCTTGGTCGCATATCGCATCTGGTCCATGAACAGGAAGCACTTGGCCTTCCGTCATCGCAAGCTACGACCTCTCATGCTCCTCATCGTCGAATCTGGTGCCATCTACTCCGCCACGCTCCTCGCGCTTCTCATCCTCTACAACGTCGACTCGTGGTTCCAATACGTCATACTTGATGCTATCTCGGCTGTCGTTGTGAGTGCTCATATCCCCTTTGCCCGCAATCACGCGACATTGACGAGTGTGTTATAAGGGAATCGTGTTCTCTGTTATCATGTTACGCATCGCGACGGGAGTGTCTACCGAGGAGGGAGAGACGGCATTGCTTGACGAACAGAATGAGGCAATGCCTACGGGAATCCAGCTCTCGCGTGTGTCCTCTCGAGCGGGGCATAAGTGCGAGCCGTCGTAGGCCGCGACGTGAGGGAATTGGAGGTCATGGCTGGACTTCCTTGACAAGAAGGTAAAACCCTACAGGACTAGTCAACTGCAATGTCCTACGCACATTCCAAATACGAAGCGGGAGGATTGACATAGATCGAGTGCAACAGTAACGAAGCATAGGAAGTCACAGATGCGGTTAGCAATGTAAACACCGCATATCAGTCATCCAAGGAGACGACGTCCGGCTTTACTGTAACAGTTCCCTTCTACGCAGAGTGGCATGAGCCTCGGGCGTTCGCCGAAATTTTGCCAGGCAACCAAGTACTCACTGCTCGCTTCTTACTGGCAAGATGCTCTTGATACCCCGCTGCCTCTGTTTGTCGGTTCAGGTCCTGCAAGGACATCTCCCCGTCGGTGAGGTTGGAGGCTTGTGAAGGCGGGGCAAACTGCAACGGAATGCGTTGGAACGCGGACGTACGCCCCGAAATCGTTGTACGCGTAGCGGTATCAGAGGTAGTGGTATGCGCAGAAGTGCCGTTCATGGATGTTATGCCGAGACCGATGCGGACTATCATCATAGAGAAGACAAGGCCGACGATTGAAGAGATCTATTGGGCACAGTTTCGTCAGAACGACACTCCTCGGCAAAAAAGGGGACATACCGCGTCAAGCAAGACATATTGGAACCAGGAGCCTGTCTTGTACAGTACGAGGAGCGTCAGGAGTGTTGCAGAATAGACCATCCCAGACTCGAGGACAAGGAAGATAATAGGGTGATAGCTGTGATTCACGAAATTCATGATCGCCCGGTTCATTTGCCAGATCCGCAGAGCAACTAGCCCTAGAAGTGAGGTCTTGGTCAGCATGGCCTGCCCAAATTGCAATGCACAAGGTGAAACGTGCCAGTGCAGAGGATATTGGTGGCCAGTGTGAGAGAAAAGAATGAGAGGATCCAGTCCTGGAGCTCCTTCACAAAAATGTTGGCTTCCGGCACTACACTAGCAAAAGAATACAAGATGCCTATGCCGGATACTACGGAATGAGGGCCTCAATGGTAAGCCGATATGCGAACTTTGTTATGTGGTCGTACCGGTGCTCCCAACCAGAAGGACAGACGGCACGACGATGACATACCATCTGCCCCACACGAGGTAACACCTGTATAGCTGTTGAATATTCTGGATGAGGATCTCTGGCCAACGTTAACACCGAACACACCACGACAGTGTCCCCAATGAGCGTTTGAGCGACGTAGACCGTGCTGCCGAAGATCTGCGTGAACTCGGAGAGCTGGTTGAAAAAGGCGGCCGGCCCTCCAGGTGCATTCCGGTGTATTATGAATGCCTTGATTATGCGTGTGTAATTTATGCCGATGTGCTGTGTAGCAATATATCGCGGTGAGGTCCAGTCAGACAAGAGTTTGGAGCGAGCACGAACCAGAGTGGCCATGAGGAACATGACGATTGTGATCCATAGCATCGGGTCTCTCGTAGGACTCTGATGCTGACGCTTTGAAATTAAGACCCACACCGTCAGGATGAAGACTACTATGTATGCGCCTAGAGGATGGTCAGACTTCAGTGAACCATAACTCGGTATCGTATGTACGAAACTGACCATACAACAGAGTCTGCACGAAGATGGAGACGAGTTTGGCCTATATATGAGTTCATGTTAGAATATGCCAGTAAGTGCACTACGGAGAGAGCATAAGATCTCACCTCGTCAGGGGGGAAAGCCATATCACATTGGCGAGGTGGGAGAACGTCCTATGAGTCTGGGGCGGACGTTCATGCACAGGATACCTTAGGCGCCGATGCGGGCCTTACCTCGCACCGGTGTAGATGGAAACAGCCATTCACTGTCACAACTGGCTGGTGGCGTTCTCAAAGAAAGAAAGCGCATGTCCAATCATGGCGTCAGGATCCTAGGCCCACATGTGAAGCGGCGTCATGCCCAAAGGTCGCTAGATCGGAGCGCCCCGTAGTAGGCAACAGAGTAGACACGTTGCAGATGTATGGAAGCGAGGCTTACCGCTTAGGCGAAATTACTAGGCGATGAAGTGAAGAGCTTGACTGTACGTGAGGTAAGGTTATGTATCGTGACCACACCCATTCAGTACTGTCCATGCGGTATGTGGCGAGGGAGGCGGCGAGTGTTCCGAGTACAAACGTTGTTGCTATGGGGCGACCAACTGAGGATTGCGCGATGACGGCGCTCTTGATAGATTGTCGTGCACAACGACAGCGACTCTCATGACGCCAAGGAAGGGCCCCAGGAGCCGGAGTACGAACGTAGTGGCTGAAGAGCGCGAAGAACCTTCTCTCGGTTAGGGGTGCAGGTAACAGAAGGGCCGCCTTCTTGGCCCTTCTAACCCGCTTGACTCCGCGGCAAAGCCCGACAGTGGACCACGCGCTCCCATAGTTCACGCCGTCGACGCTTGTTGCACGTTCTCTTCTTCCGTCCTTTCGATGGCCTCTAGTAATATGAAGTGCTTCCAGCTCAACACTGGGGCGTTCATGCCTGCAGTAGGCCTGGGGTTTGCGTCATCCCCAGTTGGTATGGATATGGATTACTGAGCGAATGTCCAGGTGTTTCATGGGTCCGACGCAGATCGGCGAAAGCGAACACGTAACTGCCATGGTCAAGTTGGCACTTGACCTGGGCTATCGCCACTTCGATACGGTGAACTCTACGTCCATTGTGGGGTGCGTCTGGTCGAACCTGATACGATAGCGCCTTATTACCAGGCAGCCAATTATGGTGCGTTAGACGATAAGCTGTCGATGTACGTAGTCTACAGCTGACTAACCTGTCATAGGTAACGAATCATCCGTCGGGGATGCTCTGAGGGGAACCACCGTTCCGCGAAGCGAACTATTTCTGACCACAAAACTCGAGTCAGTTTCACCCCTAACCTGTCATCAATGAGATCGTGCTCACCCTGAACAAGCCAGAAGGACCACGGTCGTGTCAGAGAAGCGCTGCATGCCAGCCTCACGAAACTCGGTGTGGACTATGTGGATTTGTACCTGATGCACTGGCCTATGGCATATGACGAATCAGGTACGTCTAGTGTCGAAACCAGCTGCTGCTCACCTCTCATCATGAGCACTCAGGCAAAACGCTCCAGCCTGACGAGAAGCCGACCTTCGTCGAGACGTGGAAGGATCTGGAAGCGAGCTTGGCTGAAGGTGGGTGTATGCGCACGCCCGACGACGGAATGAGTCGCGCAGACCTCACTCATTCATGTCATCAGGTACTGCCAAGGCAATCGGGGTTTCCAACTTCAGTGTAAAGACCCTGACCGAGTTGCTGAACCATACGGACATAGTTCCCGCAGTGAATCAGGTCGAGCTCCATCCGTCGCTTCCTCAAAACGAACTACTCGCCTTCTGCCGTGAACGCGGGATCCTCCTCACAGCCTACTCGCCTGTCGGGAAGTTCAAGTTCGCTGATGATCCTGAGATCACAGCAATCGCAGATGCGCACCATGCGAGCAGCGCACAATTGCTCTTGAGTTGGGGCGTTCAACGGGGCACAGCGGTTATTCCAAAGACTGTACATGCTACACGAATGCGGGAGAACCTGCAGGTAAGAGATATTTAAATGAAGTCGTCTTGCTTGTATGTCTATCATGTACTCACTTCAACGCTGTTCAGCTCTTCAACCTCACTCAAGCGGATATGGAGGCGCTAGATGCGTTTCATAAGAAGCCTGGGATGCACAGAAGCGTTTGCGGCTTCCACTCGGCCGAACTGGGAGGCTCGTGTTGGGGTTGGACGTACGAGCAGCTCGGCTGGCAGATGACCGTAGGCGGCGTCCACCTGTAATGATTTGTGGCCTGATCAGTAGTTGGCTTCACGGCATGTAAAATACCCACTTTTGTGTTTCCCTGCGATCGGAGGACAGGCGACGTCAGCCTTTCCCGAGCTACCTGCTCTCGATACGTATCATCCGTCTTTCTCTCCAACCAACATCATGTCTGCCAACGGCGATGCCACGAAACCTCCGACTATCCTCGAAAAGATCTACGCACAACGCCAACAGGATGTAGAGGCGGCGGAGGCGACCCCAGGTACACGTCCGGAGGAGATCGACGCGTACCTGCAGATGGGCCTCGCGCCGCCCCTCATCCCGCTCGTCCCGAGGCTCAGGACCAACCCCTCCACAGAGACTGCCAGCCCGTCGCTCAGCCTGATGGCCGAGATCAAGCGAGCCTCCCCTTCCAAAGGCGACATCGCGCCGCACGTAAACCCCGCGCGCCAGGCCCTCCTCTACGCACAGGCGGGGGCCTCCGTCATCTCCGTCCTTACCGAGCCAACGTGGTTCAAGGGCTCCCTCCTCGACATGCGCCTCGTCCGCCAGGCGATCGACGCCCTCGGGCCCGCTCGACCCGCCGTTCTCCGCAAGGAGTTCATCTTCTGCGAGTACCAGATCGCGGAGGCGCGCCTGCACGGCGCGGACACGGTCCTGCTGATCGTCGCCATGCTCACGCAGGAGCAGCTCGCGCGGCTCTACGCGTACTCGCTCTCGCTCGGAATGGAGCCGCTCGTGGAGGTGAACAACGCACGGGAGATGACGCGTGCGCTCGAGGTGGGGGCGAAGGTCGTCGGGGTGAACAACCGGAACCTGCACGACTTCAGCGTGGACATGGGGACCACGAGCGGATTGGTGGACATGGTGCGCGAGCGGGACGTCGTCTTATGCGCGCTGAGCGGCATCCAAGGGCCGGAAGACGTGAGGCTGTACAAGGAGCAGGGCGTGAACGCGGTCCTGGTGGGAGAGAGCTTGATGCGCGCAAAGGACACGACTGCGTTCATTCGGGAATTGTTGGCGTGGCCGGGTGCGTAAGCCCGTAAGAGGCCATTCTCTCGCAAACCCTGGAGCTACAGAAGGAATATATAGGAGTGGGGAGTAGATGCGGTATGTCATCCTATGTAGTGGAACGAAGTAAAGATGTGATCTCGACTATGGCCAACTAGTGGCGGAGATATATCACGTCTTGCGCCCGGCTGGTGTAACATCTGTGCGCTCACTAGCTGGGTGATATCAGGCAATGACACTATGCTTATGTTCTCCGCCTTATGTGCCCATGAATGCTCTCAGTACCGAACTCTACGCCCGCTTCGGTCGATATATTGAGTGCCTTAATTCTCGACTACCATCTACTGTACATTCGCCAACTTGATCCTGTTGCCCCGTGTCCGCACTTTACCGCAAGATTAGAGGTCATTGATAGTGTCCAGCAGCATGTATGGAGCACGACACACTCCTCAATATGATCGAGAGGCTACTACAGTCAGAAGAGACTGCGAGTTGAATGCAAACACGTGAAAGCCGTCGGACACCGGCCAGAACGCTTCCCCTTCTTCGGCAACCTCCCCGAGCCCATGACGAAGTGGCTCCTCATTCAGTCTCATTTCAGTGAGTTCGACCTACACCAGAGCGGTGTGCTCATCAAGACAGACCGTATCACACTCGGTCAAACACTCGGATACCATCGACTTCCACTGTTCCAGAGAAGCTCCAGGATAGAAGAACCAACGATATGTCTTACCCGGTCAGCTTTCCCTCCAGTAACCCCCTTGTTACCGTCACCCATCGTACGTGTGGAAGGCCCTTCCCGGCACCATCATTGTTCTCTCGTCAACGAAGCACGACTGACATACGCATGGACGTGTGCTTGCAGCTTCGGCGACGATATGGGTGATCGAGATGCACAACGGCGCCGACAACCGTCTGACGGACGTCTTCCTCACGCAAGCGTTCAGGCCTGCGCTCGATGCCGTCGAGCGGCACTGGCGCGAGAACTGGCGCGCGGGCGTTGGGAAGAAGGATGAGAAGCTCACGCACGGGGCTGTGGTGCTGGTCGGGAACACGAAGCAGGACAAGTTCTTCAGCAACGGTGCGGCGCGTGCTTTCAGGCTTCTCGGGGATGTGCGAACATGAGAATGAATGCTGATATGTCTCGGCTGCGGTGAATGCGACAGGCCTCGACTGGGCGGGCGCGAACAAGGACCCTGCTTTTAAGACGAACTTCTTCCCATGTAAGGAGGTCGGTCATGGCGGTCTCAAGCCCAATGCTAACTCAAATTGTTGTGTTTGTACACGCAGTAATCTTCAATCCGGCTATTCATCGCTTGATTACCTTCCCGAGTGAGTTACGACGGTGTCTCCTGTGGTCCTTCTTCCCACTGAGCATGAGCTCTTCTACGCAGTTCCTATCATCGCTGCTGTCAATGGACACAGCTTTGCCGGCGGCATGGTCCTCGCCATGGCGTGCGACTACCGTGTGATGACGGACGGTAGCAAGCGCAACGCCTGGATGTGTATGAACGAAGTACGTATGCCGTCTTGATATTGGAAGGCTGGAACTTACTGCACATGTGGACTTCACCAGATTCACTTCGGGGCACAAATCCCCCTGCCACTGGTGGCAGTCCTACGTGCGAAAGCATCGAATGCACAGGTCATCCGCAAGGTCGTCCTCGAAGGGCACCGGTTCACGCCAAAGGAAGCGCTCTCATCAGGGCTCGTTGACTACGTCGCAGGGGAAGACACCGAAGGAGTCGTATCTGCGGCGCGGGGACTTGCGGAAAAGGTGGCCCCAATCGCGAAAAGCGGCGCATGGGGTATCAATAAGGTACGCTCGGTCTCACAGTCCGCTCGATTCGTCGTCCTCCTGGAGTTACCGTGCTGCCGACGTGTGTCTCTCTATGGGCTCGGACGTGGTAGCGGCGGGGTCGGACAGTAAATCCTCCGACTGCGAGGCAGTTCGATGGTCACTGTCGTGTCGCTCGCTGTTCGTCGAGATGCCATGTACTTGATCTCCATGCGGACAGTGTTTGCATTTATTGACGCGGTTCGACGCTGACATTACTTCAGCGAGAACTCTATAGGGATGTCATCGAGGCGTTGGCGCGAGATGTGCAGGGCGTCGACGTTGTGGCTGATGATGCAGCAGCCAAGGCGCGGCTATGAAGCGTGTCATAAAGGAGAAAGGGGTGCTTGAACCTAGAACAGGACACCGCTGCCAGATTGCTTGATCAGACCAAGCACGTTCCTACGTGCATACCATATGTGTTGTACTACACTCTACACAATCCGACTCCTCGCACACACGAAATTGATATTGACTGCCCCGCAGGAACGTCAGTTTATGCGAGGAGCAATACGCGATAGATGTAAATCGGGCCTGCTCTGTGTAAGCGTTACGTAATGGTTGCCAGGGTAATGTCCGGAGGCGAGACCACGACAGCTGATCGAGGATAAAAACACAAATCATCGCCCAAAAGAATAGGCGCGCGCTGCGGCGCAGGCGCTGCCCGTGACCAAGCTCGTTATTATCTTGTGTCTGTTGCTATTCATAGACTTGGGTACATATTGTCAAAAACACTGGTTCTGCAAGGCAGAATACTCAGGACATCGAGGGCATCGACTTGAGCTCTGGGATAACGGTCACGATAGCACGATTGAGGAGGCGGCCTACATCATTAGATTGTCGCCGCCTCGCCGGATGGGAGAAGCGAATGGAATCGGTTTGGGCGGAAGAAGAGCCGCAGAGTACTTCCGGGCCTGTGCCTCGTTGACAACAATCATCCCCCAGTATATAGGGAGCTCCATTCAGAGCGCAGACCACCACTTTCCCTTCCTCCCTCCTCTCGTTAGCAAGGCCGGGTCCTTGTCCTTTCTTTCCTTTCCCCGTTTCTTCTGTCAGGTTACAGCGCAGGCCGATTCCAATACTCATCATGCAGCTCGCTCTCTCTTTCTCAGCTCTCCTCGCAAGCGTCCTCTTCGTACTCTCCGCCACCGACAGTGGCGTCCAGGCCGCTCCCGCTAAGCGTGCTAGAACCGTCACGCTCCCTTTGACCCGCCTCCACCAGAACCGCGGAGATGTGCATCCCCAAGTGGTACGCAACGTCGCGGGCGCTCTTCTATGCTATAAATAGATTCTCATCCTCCACTGTACTTTTGCTTGCTTCCTCGATGGATACTTCACACAGCTCCTGCAACAGCACATTAACAGGAGCCAGCGCCGCATTGCGCGCATGAGGGGCGTTGCGCCCCCGAGCAAGCGCGAGCTGGAACAGAACCTCGCCAAGCGTCTGTACATCCCCGCGGGTGGCCGCCCTGGCAAGGTTCAGAAGCGGTTCAACCGCGTCGGCACCAAAGGCTCCGTCTCCCTTGTCGAGGAAGACGATGACGCTAAGTTCGAGCCTTTCGCGAAGGCGGCTGGTAGGAAGGGTAAAGGCAAGGGCAAGGCCGGCACTGCTGGTGCCAACAGCAATGCCGGCGGGAATTCGGGTGCTGCTGCGTCCGCGTCCGGCCTCACCCCCGCCAACGCACCGACTGCGAACAACTCGCTTGGTCTTGCTATCGAGTACGTTGCTCTGCGGCTGCGAAACCATCGGGCGAGAGAAGACCTGCTGACAATTCTCGCTTACAGGGCCCAGGATGTTGGTTACATCGCGACGATCCAGATGGGCACGCCCCCTCGTGACTTCAACATCCTCATGGACTCGGGCTCTGCGGATCTTTGGGTCGGCGCAGAGAACTGCCAGTCCGAGTCTGGTGGTGACTGCGTACGTCTGGTGTAATTCACGTCCGTGTTATGCCGGCTGATCCACCGCTTCTCTCGCGTTCCAGGGCAACCATACCTTCCTCGGTCCTCAAAGCTCGTCGACTTTCACCGACACGAACAAGCAGTTCCAAGTCACGTATGGAACTGGCAACGTCCAGGGTGACATCATTCAGGACAACATCGTGGTCGCCGGCCTCGCTCTCAACGCCCACACCTTCGGTGTCGCGACCGCCGAGTCGGTCGACTTCTCGTCCGACAGTGTGCCTTTCGACGGTCTCATGGGTCTTGCGCAGTCGGTATGTGGCACATCTCCCATATACAGCCCATTCCGCTTCGCCATGAGTCGTCAGGGCAGCGGCTGATCCCTTCCGCATAGACGCTCTCCGAGCAGGGTGTTCTCACCCCCGTAGAGGCCCTCGCCCAGGCAGGCCTGATCGGCGACGCCATCACCTCGTACAAGATCTCCCGTCTCGCCGACAACAAGAACGACGGCGAGATCACGTTCGGCGGGCTCGACCCCACCAAGTTCGACGCGAGCACGCTCGTCACCTTCGACAACGTCGCGACGGACGGCTTCTGGGAGGGCGCCATGGACGGCGTCACCGTCGACGGCCAGGACACGGGCCTCCAGGGCCGCTCCGCGATCCTCGACACCGGCACCACGCTCATCGTCGCGCCCCCCGCGGACGCGACCGCGGTGCACCAGCTCATCGACGGCGCGCAGGACGACGGCCAGGGCGGGTTCACCATCCCGTGCAACACGAACGCGTCCGTCGCGCTCTCGTTTGGCGGACAGGAGTTCGCGATCGACACGCGCGACCTCGTCTTCGCGCAGGCGGACGCCACGGGCACCAACTGCGTCTCCGGCATCTCGTCTGGCCAGATCGTCGACGACGTTACGTGGCTGGTGAGTAGTAATACTATCTGCGTTTGTCCGTGTTTCGTGAGCGCTGAACTGATGTCGGTCCGCATGCGAAGGTCGGCGATGTGTTCTTGAAGAACGCGTACTACTCCACGGACGTCACCAAGAACCAAATATCGCTTGCGAAGCTCGTTTAGGCTTGAGCTCGCTTGCTGTCGGTGTCTTGTGCGTTGAGGATTGTTTTCGCGGATGCTACACGGACTCGCTTGCATGTCATTATTGGTTTCTCTTTTGGCTTTCGCTACTGCACAGTTTGCTGTCTGTAGGATCACTCCGGCGACGTGCGCATTATATGCGCGTAACTTGCACAATGAAACATTTTCTCAGGGATCATCTGGATTATTGCGTGACGCTCCCACACCGGAGGTATATGTACGAACAGGTGTGTCTACGGAGTTACGACGATCAACGGTGATAACGCGTGCCTACTTGCAGGAATTGCCATGATGGGCAGACCGATATGACCACACGGCGGACAACATGCTATTCGAGGCGAACAAGTGCTTTTCGCGCGGCGCGGTACAGTGATGCCGGCTGCAGCCGGAGTGGGTTGGACCCAGTGCTGATCCTGACCGCGCAGTAGCTGCAATCGCGCAGTCATCTTGCACGCAATTCCATAGCACTTTCGGCTGGAAGGCGGGCAAACGCACGGCCATTTTGTCTCACGGCCGACCGTTCTTCGGGCGTCGCCTGGTCACAAGGTATGCGTTCTTTCAAGGGTCTGCGTGGCCGGGGTGAGCGCCGCCTGCAGCACGTTCGCGTCGTCTCTGCGCGTGGAGGGCCAGCGTGCCAGGGAAGGATGCCCCGGGGCGATGGTACCTCCTTGTGCGGCAAGACGGCGCGGAATTGAGCGGAACGGACGTACAACCATACTTGTAATATACATATGTTATGTCCTGCTCGCAGCTTGGGCGCGCGGAGGCTGAACAGAATTGCCATTCTGGGAGGATTTTGCGGGAGTCAGCGAGGTCCGTGCGGCCATGGCGTGTCGCGCTCATATCTGCCAACGCAGTTATCGCACCACAGCGAAGGGGCCCCCTCTTCGAGCAAGGCCGACAGTCGTATCGTCTGCGGCCAGACAAGAGCCGGAGGGATATATCTGCGGACGAATGGGCGCGAACGCACCTGGGCTGGGGTCATGCGACCGCGGACGAAGTTGCTCGCTGGAATGGCCTGGACGCGGGAGCGGTTGGACTGCAGTGTCTGCAGTGTGCATGTGCAGATCCGGGCTGCGGACACTGAGAATATGAACATTTGTGCGCGGCGGATCGATCCCGGGGCCGTCTCCGCTCAGACCCCTCAACGTAACGCCGGGGTGAGCTCCTGGCGTGACTGCGAACAGCGTGAGCCCTTCCGCGCACGGACCAGCTCAGCGTGCCCGCCGTTGCGCAAAGATCGGTGGCGATTGGCGGGGCGGTTCAGTACGCACGTTCCTCGGCAGCGACGCGGAGGCTTTGCTCTTCGAGGCTTGACAGCTCAGCGGGGACGGCGCCGGGGAGGAGTGACGTTGCTTCTATGTATAATGTTACTTAGTAGACGAGACATGAGACCGATACCAGAGCCTGGACATAGATACAAGATGAGGCATTGAGCGGGCGAGACAGGTCGAGTGACTGGAAGAGAGAGACAATAAGCAGTCGGATAGGTGTCGCGGTCAACGTCGGCAAGCGATGAGGGATGTCGGCGGGGAAGGGCTGCAAAATGTAAGGAGGTCGGGTGGGCGAAGATAAACGGGGGCGAGGAATGGAAGAGACCTTCGCTCGACGAAAGGGAAGAACGATCCAACGGATGGAGATGAGGAGACCGGCATCCAAAGACGAAGATGAGACTAGAGAGGGGATGGTGGCACACTACTGCGTGTTGTACATGGGAGATTACGACCTACGAGAAGATGCAATAGCAAAATCTCCGACTACTAGTGGACGGGATAGCGACCATGCGACGGCGATAGCAATACTGTATGTAGACGAGCGCGAGAGTATACAACGGCAGCAGGCCAGTCCGACACCTGTCATGAACCGAGATCGAGTTGAAGAGAGGAGCAGGGAGATCGTTCAATACTCGTTAGGGATCTGTAGCGTGAAATATGGATGGTTGAGAGCCTCCTTGACTGTGATTCGTTGCGCCGGGTCGAAGGTGAGTAGCTTCTTGACGAGGTCAAGGAAGTGACGGTTGATTGGATCTGTCGCAGGAATGATCTCCTATTGAACAGCGTACGGTCAGGTCGCGAATATGCCCATGGGACAGAGCAGAACATACCTGCAGACTCCGGCATGCCCGCACCTCCTTCTTGCTCTGGCGCGTAGCCTTGGGCTTTGGCCAGTCGAGTTTACACCCCTCCTTGAAGTATTCCGGCTTGGCTCGTGCACCAGACCGCGCGAACCTCTCTGGCATCTTGCCCATGACTTGCTCCATCATGGCCAGATGCTCCAGGTTATCGTGAGTCTGGAATAATGCGACGCCCGTGTAGAACTCGACCAGTATGCAGCCGAGTGAAAAGACGTCGCAAGGGTATGACCACCCGAGTCCTATTTGCACCAAATCGTTAGGAATCGATGTGAACCGTAGAGGCATCGCATACCAAGAATGATCTCGGGAGCACGATAATGCCGTGTCGACACGACACTGGAGTGGTATTCATCTTCGAACGTTGCAGAACCGAAGTCGATCAGCCGGATATCCGTTGAGTGCAGTATCCGCTTGCTCCTCGTCGGTGCACCACGCTGAAAAAGCCAGATGAGGTCAGCTTCTCGCGTACGTGGCGCGCAAGAAGTCGTCGCACCTTAGACGATGTAGGGACTTGAACAATCTGATAATCGTTGTTTACCAATAAGATATTTTCGGGCTTCAGGTCGGTATGGATCAAATGGAGTTCGTGAAGGACTGAGATCGCATCTAATTAGCCACTCCGCCGCACGAAGAATCAGTGGGCGAGGCGTGGGGCTTACATGCTACACTGCCAAGAAGTTGCCTTGCAAAGGATTGTATGTGTTGACGTGGGAAGGGAGCGAAGTCGTTCTCCTTGAGGAAGTCGTATACGCACATGCCGAGCAGCTCGGACACCAAGCAGATGTGATTCCGATGGTCGAACCATGTAAGCAAGTGGATGCATTTACTGAAGCGCGCATCAGCCAGCTGGAATCTCGCATGACGATAGTGACCTTCTTACTGTCTATTGAGCGGGTCCCGTTCCTTCAGCTTCTGCAGCACTCGGACCTCAATTTTACTTGCATCGCGGTACTTGGGGATGGCTCGAATGATCTTGATTGCGACTCGCCGATTTGTTTCTGTGTCCAAGGCCTCGACCACCTTTCCGAACGTCCCTTGGCCGAGTAGACGGACAGTTCGGTCTGCAAGTACTCAGGTTAATGAGCATTGATCGTCGACGTTCAGGAGATCGCCACTTACATCGACTATGTATCATGTCATCCGGAACGATGATATAATGGCCCTCTTTGTCGTCGCAGGGGCCCTCCGGCTTTGACGCCTGATACACACGATAGTCAGATCGGCAACACTCTGACGGGAGAAGGGAAGACGCACATCGTCCGCAATGGCCCCGCTGCCAGTCGCAAAGGACTTTGTCACTGCGATTCCGTTTGCAATGCCACCGTTCGTGATAGTCTTCTTGGGGATGATGCCAATGTCGTCTGCGGGGTCCCGCTTGCGCTTCTTGGGGGCAGGGGCAACTGTGAGCCCAGAGGACGTGCTTGCGGATAGGGCCTGCGCCTCCGCAGCTGCCCTCGCCCGCGTGCGAATCGGTGCGTTATAGACTGGGGGTTGGTACGACGCAGAATACATGGCAGTGTGGGTAGTCGCAGGGGAGACCGTTGTGGGCGGAGGCGTGTCGTCAATGACGATCACCTCGCGGACCTTGCCTGAGCTGTCGACCTCCTGGACTTCGCTGTAGGTCACCGTGTATTGCTGCCGCTTGCGCTTGCGAGCCGTGACAGGGGGAGTGGGCATGGAGCTGATGTTGCTCGGAGGCGGTGGGCGGTGAGACGAGTGCGAGTACTGGGAGAGCAGCTGGGGAGCCAGGGCGTGCACTGCGGCCTGCATTTGGGGCGTATGTGCAGAGGAGATGGTGGTTTGGGGAAGAGGGAGAGACGGAGCTATCAAACTGATATAGCGCAGAGCAGTTTCGAGTGAGAGAGTGTCGCTGCCCACGGCATCCTTATTTGTTGTTTGGTTCTAGAGAGCCACGCACTTCAGCCACTCTTACGCAAACCGCCCTTTTCTCGCCCGTCCCCGGCCCCGCCGCCCCTTCTTCGAGCCTACTGTCCGGCTAGGCCATCTCTTCCTCTCCTCTAGAGCCTCTCTGTCTTCTTTCCGATAAATCTTATGCATTTCTGTGGCCCACAGCCCCCCTCAGCTCCCCGAGGTACGGGCGCTAATGCAGTCGCCCGGGGTGTCCCCGGAGAGCCCTGCCGACCGCGGTACCCTTCACTCGTCGTGGCAATCGACCACAGACAGCGTTAGATACATGTCCAATAAGCACGCCAGCATGTGTGTGATATAGCTACCCACACTCCGTTGTGTCTAGGCTGACTCGAGTCGGTGCGAACAAGGTGAAGTTGCCAAAGGCGGCGCAGGAAGCCCCATGGCGCTCTGGATAGGACCCCGGAACCGCATGCACGGGGGTTGCTCGCAAGCAGTAATAGTGGGCTTGCAGGTTAGCACATCTATGTGCCTCGATGAGCAAGTCAGGAATTCAGTCAATCATCTACGGGAGCAACAGCATACAGAACAGACATCATGGCCTCGAAGACGGTCGAATTGGGACATATCGTCACGACGAGTACCTTTCCTGTGGATGAACCAACGGAAGCTGAGCATTCGTCCCGCAGTACATTGTCTTCTCCATCAGCTCCCACATCCGTACTTTAGGCATCATCAAGTGCGGCTGAACCATGTTCATGTAAGTAACTGCAGAGGGAAGACTTAATCCATGGCATTGCCGCGGCAGGCTGTTTCCTGGTTCTGTCGTTTGGGCAAGAATCACCTGGGACCCCGGGCACTCATGCAGCAAGGGCGGGGTTAGGGTTCCTTCGTCGGCACCCCGACTCAACGGCTTCCTGGTCGTAGCGTAGCCCATTCTCCTTGTCGGTAGCAGAGGTCGACTACTAGGCATTGCGAACGAGGTCTTATAGTCCTTGTTGTGTGAGGGAGCAAGTGTGAGTCAGAGGTTATCTGCAGCAGACGGATCCACCCCACATCGCCAAACAAAGCGTTAAAGTAAACAACTTATTCATTGTCGACAACGGTGACCTCCTCCGCTCTCGCGTTCCGCACGATTCCCGTTGCCGCAACCGTCAACCGTCGGTCACGATGGTGGGCCTGCCATTCCCCAATAATGGGGCTGACAACCGCGAGCAATCGTGGGACAATGGCACGCCCTTCAGCTGCAGTGGCGACATCCCGATAGACCCAGTTCTCAGCGAACCTCAAGTCGACCCAGCACTGTTGGCGGAAGAAGGCTTTCCGAGGGTTGACGAGGTATGTACCATATTGCTGGGATCTCGTGGTACGAGGGGCGCGACGAGGGAGGTGGCGGAACGCGTCGCGTCGCGGTGTTGCTCATATCCTTCGCGTGGAGATTTGGAAACTCACTACTGCTCCGTGACAGGCACCCCAGCCTCCCCCGCTCTACCCGCCCTATCAAACCTCGCGCGTAGATTCGTACCCTCAAGGCCCGCAGGGCGATCCATTTGCCCCACCAGCCCCTGTGTATGTTCCAGTCCAAGAGCCGGTACCCCTACCGGTGAAGCCACCCGCTAAGAAGAGGAAACGCCCAGTCGCGCGCGAGGAAGAGTGTGGATTTTGCAGCGGGAACGACTCCGAGAACAAGCTTGGACAGCCGGAGCAGATGGTTAGCTGCGTGGATTGCGGTCGTAGTGGTATGTTCCTTCCGTTCCATGCATATCATGGCGTGTATGCTCATCATGTATGCTGTCGCGCATGCATTCATGATCACCCCAGGACACCCTTCTTGCATGGGTCTAGACAACATGGGAGACGCAATGCGAGGCTACGAGTGGCAATGCGCTACATGCAAGAGTTGCAGTGTGTGCCGTCGAAAGGGAAACGAGGTAAGATCCTATGTTTCGTGAGCGGGTGCAGCCATTTTGAATTGCTCTACAGGCTTCAATGCTCATATGCGACTTCTGCGATCGAGGTGCGTATACTACATTTGTATCAGCATGCTTTGTGCTGACAGGTTGCAGGTTGGCACATGTCATGTTTTGACCCTCCTTTTCGTGAGCCGCCGGAGGGACGTTGGCATTGTCCGTACTGCCCTCCCGTTGGAGCAGAAAACTCCATTCCAGAGGACGTCCCACCGGAAGACTCGCTGGAGATACAAGAAACTCCAGAACCCCTTCCTCCTGAGCGGGAATCCTCCATCGCCTCCTCGTCCCGTCATCTTCCCCGGCTTGCGGACTTCCAAGATGTCCCTAACTACGCCCTCACCACCGATGCATCTGAAGTTGAAGCAGACGCCTCAGAGCGAACGCCCCGCAGGACAACGAAGGGCAAGAAAAGCCGAAAGGGGAAAGAGGTCGCGAGAGACGGAGAAGTTGAGCATGATCCAGCCCCGGCTACCCCTATACCCACCATCAGGAAGCTTCGCATACGCGTGAGCTCTCCTCCGCTTCCGGCTGTCGAGAACGAGACGCCGACTTTCAGGCTACGCGTTCCCCCACGAGGGAAAGGTAAGGCTCGTGAGGAAGCAGCGGAGGAGACTGAACCAGGATTGTTCGACGATATCTTGAGCGTGGAAGATCGCGATACTCGAGATACGACGATCAGAGAAGGAGACGCTATGAGGTTCGATCGCAGTCGAGCGGCGGCTGAGGTGGGTTTATCGTTCCTACAATCATATCTCATATATGCTAACGGCCGTTCAGGAGAGATTAGTTCCTCGACCTCCTCCAGAGCCCCCGGAGACACCCGTTGCTGGACCATCCACCCGCCCTCTACGCTCGCATGCGACACCATTCGCGCCTCCCGCCTCAGGTTCCTCTATGTCTCCAGCCCCTTCAGCAACAACGCCGGGTCCTCATTCCGTTCTGCCCCCCAATGGTCTACGTATCCGCAAGATTCGTTTCGGCGAATTCGACATAGACACCTGGTACGACGCGCCGTTTCCCGAGGAGTATGCTGCTATCCCCGATGGTCGGCTCTGGATGTGCGAGTTCTGTCTGAAGTACATGAAGAGCCGGTTTAGTGCTTCTCGGCACCAGGTGCGTCGTCTTTCGGCTTCACAAAGCCAATTGCAGCTGACAAGTCCTCATCTCCCAGCTGAAGTGCAAAGTGCGGCATCCACCAGGCGACGAGATCTACCGAGACGGAAAGATATCCATCTTCGAAGTCGATGGTCGGAAGAACAAGATCTATTGCCAGCACCTCTGCCTTCTCTCGAAGATGTTCTTGGACCACAAGTCACTGTTCTATGACGTAGAGCCTTTTCTATTTTACGTGATGACGGAAACGGACGAAGACGGGGCGCATTTCGTTGGGTACTTCTCCAAAGAGAAGCTCAGCCCGAAGAACTACAATGTCAGCTGTATCATGACGCTGCCTGTCCGACAGCGTCAGGGTTGGGGTAATTTACTTATTGACTTCAGTGCGTTCTTTCTCCTTATGTGCTTCGCTGGTCCCTGACCTCCCTTAGGTTATCTCTTGTCCAAGAAAGAGCAGAGGGCTGGTTCCCCTGAGAAGCCGCTCTCTGCGCTTGGGGCTCTAGGTTATAGGAATTATTGGACACTCTCCTTAATGCGGTATCTACAAAACGCTCCGGCTAATCCTCGTTTAGAAGGTGCGTCTGTTTCATGTCGTTGTTGTCAAATATGTAATCAGTTCTTGCTACAGACATCAGCGCCGCTACCTCCATGACTCTTGAAGACATACATTCCACTCTTGTCCATCTCAACATGATCTCTGTTCTCGACTCTCCTCAAGCCCCCAAACCGCTTCCAGGTCAGACAATCAAGTTTCCAAAGGGTCGTAAAAACGGTATCGCGCGGAAGCATCTTCAACGTGTATCGACCCACGATGAGGAAAAAGCCAAGGGGCCGTTCGTCCCGCCCACTCGGTACAAAGTGCGATGGGACGCCGATCAAGTCGAGGATTACCTGTCACGTTGGGAGGCCAAGGGCTACATGAAGCTTCGTCCAGAGAAGCTGAAGTGGAGTCCCTTCATCCTGTCGCGAGCGCAGAAGACACAGTCCTCGGAGGGCGAACCAGTAGCTGGGCAAAATGGAGCGCCTCCGGGTGCCGGCGCAGAGGACGCGCTCACGGAGAGCAACGGGGTTACGGTGGACGGCGTGGAGGTCGAGAAGACGCGCTCACCTGCGTTTGCGTTGTTCGATGACGACAATGTAGAACTTGTTCGCGCGAGCGCGTCGCGAGACCCTGCCACATCCGAGACCCCGGAAGCTGACGGCAGCCGCATACGGTCTCCAAGCGCGGAGCCCTTTGAACAGACGCGTCCGAAGCGGAACAGAATAAGAGTCGGTGATCCACCTTCCATCCGGCGCTTGCGCTCGCGGGATCCAGTCAACGAATCTACGCCCGTGGGACGCCGGCTATACACGCCTCGCCGAGAAGCATCGTCACGATCAGAACGTCGGAAGAACCCCCCGCGCTCCCGCCTGGATGTCAGCTCTACTTCAGCGCCACGACTCAACTTCGATGGCGGTGTCGCGACATCACCCTCTCTCAATGATGATGCCGCGTACGCTGCGAAGCTTGCACAGGAACTCGAGCAACCACGTCGTCAGCTGCGGGAACGCCGACCGAGTACAAACCAGTCACCGCAAGTGCCTCCGCGTCTTGCGGCAACACCTCGTTCCTCTTCCCCCCGGAAGCGCCGGCGTGTGGACTCGTCTCCAGAGGTGGAACATACCCCTGCTCCTCGTGCCTCTGTAGCCCGGCGAACTTCGCGTCGTGCTGTGGCCTCATTGCCTTTCGATCTCAAGTCAACCCCAACCTCATCACAGCAGCAGCAGAGACACTCCAATGGACGCTTCTCCCGACCATCAAGGTCGAAACCCTCGAGGTCCGCCATCGTTGCCCTACGCCAGGAGGAGGAGGAGGAAGACGAGGACGAGCAACTGCCCGCAGACAGCGTCTACGCGGAGGGGGGCTATCCCTACAACGGTTATCTCGCTGCAGCGGATGATGGCAGATATGACGACGCAGACACCTCCGCGACAGGTGTCACCGCCGCTAGCGGACATAGCGTTCCTAGCGACAATACTATGATAGGCGGAGACTCGACAGGTATCATAGTTGGAGAACGAGAGATCAAGGTGGCGACGCCTGCACTTGATGCCCTCAGCGTCCTGGCCTCAGTTGCCGCGGAAGAAAGGCATAATTATATTATCGACTTCGGACCCGTCGAAGGTGTCCCTCAACTGGGGGACTTGATATTTGGAGATGAAGACGCAGAGGGCGAAGAAGACCTGGACGCGGAGGGAGAGCCTGACTACGACGAGGAAGTGTGACCTCCTTCGGTGTGTATACTACGTTACGTTATGCCTACTGAAGGGCTACGGTGTAGGAACGTGTATCATACTCTGCATCATCCGCTTGATGACATGAGCGGCTATGCGCTACCATTCGCGAGGGATTGGTACAGTTCATACCGTAAGGATCATGACAGTTACCATCAGGTCATCACGAGATTATATGGCTGGCCGTGCCTGCAGACACCTCTCCTTGCATCATGGAGGTTGCGATTGTTGGTTCCATTCAGCGCACCAGCGGTCATCGCATGACTCAAGCACGTCTCCTCGAGGTCAGGACGAGGTCAGAACCACCGTGATTTGCGTCCAATCTTCTTTTGTGTGTGTCGATCAAGGTCCTTCCTCTTTCTGTGTAGGCGAGAACGTTTCCAACGAATCTGGTCAGTCTCCTCGGTACTCACCGACACGGTAGTTTACTGTGTGCGATCTGACAGCGCCATCGTCGGCATACGTTCAGCGCCGCAATGTGAGTGGAGCACAGTTGTCTTAAGTGTCGTCGAAGAATAGTACTGAGCCGAAAACTTGCAGTTGTCAATGGATGTCACATTCTATTCGGTTGTCATCCGGGCGAGCCGATATGACTCAAGGTCGTGAAGTACTTTCTCACACCTAGTCATCAGAGACGTACGCTTACGAGTACCTCTCCGTCGACACTCCCACCGTCCCTCCTCAGTGACGAATCTCAGGCGCACGAAGCTTTCAGCTAAGATAACTACCCGAATGGCGAAGCATACTATATTGATAATAACGTATCCCTGGTCTCGTACGCGTCCTCTAAGTAAGTGCGATTAATATGATTTAGCATGTACAAGTGAACCAATTGTTTGAATGGACCTCGCCAGATCAATTCTATCAAGCCGCGTATGCCTTAAATGTCGCCGCTCATTTCCGATGGCATGTATACTCTAATGACAGTGGGCGTGGCGGCAGGACAGTAGGAGCTGTAATAGGCCAAGCTCTTCCGATGGCATCACTAGTGCCCAGATGCCTCACGGTTGTTCCTATCAAATGTAACTGTATAGCGCTATACACCCCGAGATGACCTACGCGCAGCTGTCAGTCGCCCAAGCTCGATATATGCGCAAGATGTATTCTTCACGACACCTCACGCAAATTGCCCATCGCGGATCCGCCGAGTTGGAGTTGGACGTCTTCACCGAAGGAATTTCCCGCAGAGATGGGCCTGCAGCTGGTGGGTGATAATACCTGCACTGGTGCTGGTACCGGGACTTGTCGCTATATGCCAGGCGGGCACGCGTACTGGCCGACATGGTACCCAACGGCAGGCTATGTCGACCCCCGCCGCCGCGGCGAATTGCTGATACTGGCGAATCCGGTCCAGGACCCACCTCACCAGACCATGCGGCAAAACTTCGTGCCTTCGTTGAGTATGTGCTCTTGACCTTGCAAGTATGCTTTGGTGGTACCAGGAAGTCCGGCTTTGCTGACGCTATCGTATTCCACAGGAAGCGCACAGCTATCAAGTCGCCCTGCTACCACGCCCTCGTTGGTACCACAAAGGCCTCTCGGGCCGAGATCCTCGTCTGCTTGTTGGCAGCGACGAGCATCCGGGAGATTCCTCCTTTGATATAATCTGCATTCGATGCTAAGTGCTCTTACGTCTGGTCAAGGTGATGTTTGGGCAAGCTTGCGACGGCGATTCAAGTGAATCTGTGAAGCATTCCGAGCGGGTCTCGCAGTACGAGATGTGCAGTCGACCATCTGGCCTTGTCAAACATCGTCGCATCCTGGGTTGGTCTGCTATTGCCGATGCTTGCGTTAGTGTTTTGCGCCGTCTACGCCACCCGGGAGCGCTTGGGCGAGCCGTTCGGCAGGATCGTGTCAGGTCGGGGCTCTGGGTCGCGACCAGGTGGCATGGCGGGGAAAACAGGATACGAGAGCACTAAGATACACGATATTCTTAACTTCAGGCGGTCTGCGAGTCCAATGACGACGTTCACAACAGTTCGAACTCCACTAATTTTAGCCCAGGTAGGGTGTAGCGGGCATTGTATATCAACAAAGAACTCCGACGACCGGCAGTGCAACCAAACTTGCAATCATTGTGATGCTCCCCGAGGGAATTGACGAGATACGGACTGAAATTACATGTATTGGTCTGTTCGTGGGCGTTCGGCCTCCTACAATGGACGCAGCCATAGGTTTCTGACCCAGTTCCTTTGCAGAGACGGAGGCGATTCGCGCAACATACAACTCTGCCAGACACTGACAATAGGATCAATCAAGGTTCGTCCTCCGACGGTCCGCGACGACCGACAGCACGTTGAAAGCTCGGCGCTCAACCGCTGGCCGGCCAGTGCGTCTTTGACCAGGACCACCAGCGCCACACCACGTACCACACTCCCCATTCCACCAAACAACGACCAGACCGCGATGTCGTCGCCCACCAATCAAGACAAGCTCACCGACGCGAACGTCTCCGACGAGCTCACCGACAAGCCGACCGCGGGCACCCCTGCTAGCGAGCCAGGCGTCGTCGAGCCTGGTCGTAACCACCAACCAAGCCGCGACCACCCCACCGCTGGCATGGGCGCACCGAGTACCCCCCGTCCATGTCCCAGTCCACCCATCGACGAGGACGACGTTACCGTCGATGACATCGACAACATCCTCGGCGTCGCCATAGGCTTCTTCGACCTCCCCCGCCCGCTGGACGACGCGGCGCACGCACGGCTGCATGTCATGATCGCGACACTACCTGACCGCGAGCTCCGCGCGGCGTTCATCGCCCTTGTCGACAGCTTGCCCGAGGTGCCTCAGCCGGTGATTCGGATGCTGGCTCCTGCCTCGGGAGCGGAGACTACGCCTTGGGGATTCGGGACGCAATGCAGTGGGAAGTGGTGCAGCCGGTGCTGGGTGAGAGATCGGAGCGCTAACCGCAGGAGGGCTGCTAACACAGAGGAGTAGGAGAAGATATTGCAGCGGTTGTCGACGATCAAATGTGGCCCGAGGGGTTGCATGATTCGCGTGTATGTTATTCTGCATCAGTAGGGAAGCCGGGAGCCCGCTACAGTTTGATTAATGTACTCTCAAGTTTTGTCATCATTTCGCATGTCGATCGGACCTTCTTCATGTTTGCCCTTGTACTTTGGCATTGTGCTGATAATGCCGCACATATTCAGCGCGACGGTCTGAACTAAGAGAAGAAACCATGAACATACCCTTCCTCAGTGGTGAGCTCGGGCAGAAGCTCGCTCTGTTGCTTGTGTCCAGACCACTTCGGGATACCGTCTGGAACTTCCATAACACGCTGGCTGTAGAAGATGTGTGCAGTTGGCTGGAAGTCCGTAGGAACCTTTCCGTTGGGGAACTTGAACGAGGACGGGTATGCGAGGACGGTGTTACGCCCCTCATCGAACATCGGGGATCGGCACTCGTTGCAAGAGACCTGCCCGCGGGACGCGTCAGACTTCGAGTGAATTATGAATGCTGTTCAAGACGGTCGTGAATACCTTGCATGGGACATCGTGTATACCCTGCCGGCGTTGAGTTGAGAAGAAGTGAAGGCTATCGTTCTTGTTTGATATCATGCGGACAGAAGTCTGTCCAGATGCTTAGGAGTTATTCTGGTCAACGCGAGGGGGTATACGTACCTTGGGGAAGATGACGGCCCATTGGAACGGTGCGCCATGCAAGTGTTGGCATTGCTTGCAATGGCAGTGCTTGGCGTTGAGAGGGTCTCCATGGAACTCGAACTCGACATTTCCACACCAGCACCGTCTGCGAGGGTGATAGGTGGGTACAAAAACAAGGAAGATAGCGGTCTAGAACGCAGTGAGAGACACTGACGAGAAGTGCTTCCGCTTGAATCTGTCTCCTTCACTCTTCCAGAAGTAGGGAGGCTTGTTCATGAAGTCCTGCTCCTTGTCTCCCCCACTTTGGCTAGGAATGGGACCATTCCAGCCGGTCTCCGGGAATTGGGTTTTTGAAGCACCTGCTTTGGATGGGCCGTTATCAGCAGGAGGATGATAGATGTCCGAATGTTCGCGTTCTCTAGGGTTGGTTTTTGGGGCTTCTGGATGAGCGTTTGGTTTGACATAGCCATCGGTCGCAGACATGGCTCAACAAGTTGAGTTGCGATGTCTGATGCCTCCGCTTGTCGGTGATTGATGTAGGAAGGAAAGAGATGCAGTCACCAGTACTAGTACCGTTCGCTGTTGTCGCCAGCATGCACTGGACGATGGATCGCATTCAATGTCCCCTGCACGGATGCACTCACACCGGTGGGTCTTGCCATGACGCAGTCTGACGTCACGATACTCGATCGCGTCCTGCTCCCTACACGTGACCGTGTCCTCAACGCGGGGTAGAGGCGTCTACGGACTCTGACGCGTTGTCGCGCCTGTCAAGTTGCAGCTCTTCTCGCAACGACCATCATCCCGCCTTGCAAATCCGAGAGCCATGCCGACCTTCTCAAAGCTCCTCCCAGCGGCTGTCTCGGCCTACGGCCTACAGTCGGGTAGGTTGACGTGAAAGCAGTGTGAAACGACACCACATGCTCACTATACTGACCGGGTTAGTGTTGGCGGCCGTCTTTGTTCCTCAAGCAAATGAAAAGTTCTATGATCTTGGCGGTGCCGCGGGCTTCATCTCGACAACTCTCGTCTCTCTTTACTACCCTCATCTGAAGGCCAAATTCTGGGATCGGCTTCCCAGCGCTGTTATCCCCCCAGTAACCTCGTTTGCCCCAAGGCAGATGGTGTTGAATGCGGCTATACTTGCCTGGTCTACCCGACTTGGTACCTTCCTTTTCACGGTAAGGGACATCACTCAGCCGATCAGCTGTTCTGTTTACGACGGTCACCTCCCACGAAGCGAGCGATGAAGGCCGGCGGGGACTCGCGTTTCGATGAAGTCAAGCATCAACCCGCCAAATTTACGTCCTTCTGGATGGCCCAAGGTGCAATTCGGTGCAATTCACTTCATGCAGACCCCAACTTTTGACTAACAGGTGCGCATATAGCCACATGGATCATGGTCGTGGGGCTACCTGTCTACATGGTTAGTAACTTTCACCGCGCATTTATAGGGTTCTGGCATTGGGACGGCATTAGGTCATGCGAGGCGAAGTGCTTCTCAAGCTCTCACAGGACTCAACAGCTGACGTACATTTCGCCAATTCCGCTGTCCAGGTTAACACCTTGTCCCCGGCTAATCATCCCAAACTTGGGCCCCTTGACTACTTCTCGGTCGCCCTCTTCGCAGGATCTTGGCTATTTGAGATCGGTACGTAAGCCGCAACGTCAATGCTGAATGCTCACGGAGCAGCGTGTCCGGTTATCGCGGGACTCCCAGTGGCGGACCACCAGAAATCCGCTTGGCGTCGTGCGAAGGATAACAAGCAGCATGACGAGAAGTTCATTACCAACGGTCTCTGGGGCATCAGCCGCCACCCAAAGTGCGCACACGCTTCCCTGTCCGCCTTTTCCCTCAGTTTGGTTAAATCGTATCGATGGCCTTGCAGTTACGTTGGCGAAGTGGGCTTGTGGACCGGAATCTGGCTACTCTCCAGCGGGTCCCTGCGGTCACCCTCCTTCCCGAGGGGGGCGTGGTTGCTTGCGGGTCTGAGCCCACTTCTGACCTGGTTTCTGCTCACACGTGTTTCGGGAGTCCCCCCTCTTGAGGTAAGTGCTCTCCCTTCGGCGTCGTGGCGTCGACGTGGGTACAGAGTGCCTTGCGACCGACGTTTATCGGCAGCCCCTGAACTGCTTGACTTCGCAATTAGCGCGCTGGAGACAAGAAGTACGGCAGTGCTCCTGAATGGCAAGAATACAAGCGGTGCGTCCCGTTCCTCGTTGTTCCCCGTCGTATGGCTGCGTAATCGCACCTATCGTCACACCTTGCCAAGCTGTGCGTGGTGTCATGCGAAGTGCGCGCCTAGTGCGATGTCTCCGCAACACCACCGCAGCTACGCTCCGATGCATATACCCAAATATCGGAACTTGAGATAAGCCCGGGTTTCTGCACAGAAGTGCAGGGACGCGGTAGTGTGTCAATCAAAAAAATTCCGCAACGGGGACGTCTTTGGTGACGTTCGATCGGAGTTCTCGCCACACCAACGGTGTTGTCGATCGCAACCCATAGGTCTTGCTGACGTCCGTTCTGGTCCTTGTAGCACTGTCCCTGTATTCTGGCCGCGGCTGTGGCCGAGTGCAAGGGACAAGGAAGACCGCATCGTGCATCGGGGATCACAGTGAAGACCGATTCGTGGGCCAGAGTCAAAGTACGCAGTGATGGTGCTATGTTGCGATGTCTGGCATGCGATCGATACGGACCGGCTCAGGAACGGCCTTTGGCATGCGGGCGTCTCTAGGTCTACTACGTATCCAGTGCCAGCGTTCTCTATCCGGGATTTCGAAGAACGGGGAGTCTCCCGCGTCATGCTGTGAAACTCAATGAAGGGTGCTCCGCAGTGGCGCAATTGAGATTTTGGAGGACCGGCTATGTCCAATCACAGATACACATGGATCCGCCATGTCTTGTGCCACTTTTCATGTCGTGATCGATGCAGGCTGAGTAAGTAATAGGATAGATGAGACAACTGCATATCACGTGAGCTATCACTGCGCTGGCCTGTTTACCAGCACGGCTTTGTGCTTCTAGGGGCGTTTGGCACAGTGGTAGCGCGCCTGCTTTGCATTGATGCAAGTTGCATGAGGTCGAGGGTTCAATCCCCTCAACGTCCATATTGGTTGACAACTATCCTTTTGCTGAGCAGCTCTCATGAGCAACGAGCCCTTGAAGAGGCTTGCCTATAGTTCCAAATTAACTCCTGGCAACTTTGTTGGACAGCACATCGGTACTGGGGTCCCCCAGGAACCCTAAATCCAAGAGGTGAAAACACGCGGCAGCAGGGGCGCTGAATGGGTTCTAGCAAGATTGATTGATTAACGGACTGAGACTGGGGCCTGGACCGAGTTGACTAACTTGTGCGTCTGCAGATCAAGCAAACAGAATTCCAGCCGTTCTCGGTACGGGATCAATGAAACTCTAGTGCTTCTCTCCTGTGTCCGGGTCCACGTCCCAGCGTGCATTTAGGCATGCACGCGAGAGATATGGTCCCCTCCTCCGTCCGAGGCGTGTGTACTCCCTCAGCACGCGCTCCGACCTCCGCAGCGCTACCTCAATGAAAGCTGCCTTTCAACACACAACCTTCCAGCATCGTCTGACAGCTTCCTGCTCTTGACAGCGCTACAGCATCCGGTGAGTCTCGAGTATATATGCAGGTGTCGCGGCCTTTGTCGAATTGCCCTGCAGTACACCAACGTTCTCTACAGGATTATTGGACATGGCTGCTTCTGCTACTCTTCTTGGCCCGGAGACCCCAGAGGAGGTCGCAGCGAAGCTTGATTTCCGCGCGAATATCTGGTCCGTCTTCCAGGAGCTCTACGAGGATAAGTGGGACCAAGGTCAGTCCAAGTTTGTGATTCCAGCAGCTGTCTCTTCCTTACCTCCCCATCTTCAACTGACGTATGTGTTGTTGATTTACAGCACGCTGGACCGCCGCAGTCGGTGAGTTCATCGTCGAACATGACTTATGGTCGAACAAAGCTATCTTGTACAGCATTGCCATATTGACCCCTATCTTGCCGCATGTGCTCTCAACATTTCCGCGATGCTGATACAGCTTTGGTGCAGACCGATTCAGGGCGGCCCATGATCCCGCGACTGTCCAACAATTCTGGACTAGGGCGAAGCTCCCTACATGGGACGCACTAGAGGCGCAGTTCAGGAAAGGCCCGCCTCCTTTTTTGCGCCCAGGATGGACGAGCCCCCTTCTCGGGAAAAAGGTTGACCTCCGGTGGATTGACGCGGGTCCCTTCGAGCACGTCAAAGGCACCTTGGACGGTTGGCGGGACGCTAAATTGCTCGTGATTGAGCTGTGGGCATCGTGCGTAACCTCCCTCTCCCGTCAGTCCTTGTCCCCAGTATGTGCGAAGTCGCACCTTCGCGCAGGCTGAGGTTGGCGAATCGTCTCGACATGAGCTCGAGCGGCAAGCACAGCCTCGCGACGGGGAAGCGCTTCGAGTCTCGCAGTGCTCGGTGCGTCCGCCCGTGCATTCCGATCTCGAGACCCTTGTTGCCAGATGCGCGCAGGCTTGTGCTCAAGCTCAAGCCCATGGTGGCGCGTGCGGCATGGGCGTCATGCCGCGCATTTGTCCTTCTGTGGGTTGTGTATCAGAGCGATTACTGATACCGAGATCTCTCTTCCCACCTTCCTCGCTTCTGCACGGGCAGCTGGTGTAGGGTACGTGCGAGAAGGGGAACAAACGCGGCTTAATTGCCATGGACTGACGGGCCGCGCTTTCCCACCCTCCCAGCCATGCCTCGCCGTCTTCCGGGACCTGTCGACGCTAGCGCAGACGCGCCCAGAGATCAAGGTCATCACCTTCAATTCTGAGGGCATCTTCACGAACGCTCCCATCGACGTTGCCGCCGTAAAGGCCTTCGTCGCCTCGCGCGACGACATGAAGTATCCGATATTCATCGATACGCATCGGGTGGCCGTCAACTGTACGTGTTCGCGTTCTCCCCCCTTGTTCCTGGACTTGCTCGTTGCGTTTAATCCCCGCTTCTCGAACCTGGCTCCCCTCACCGCGGGATCTGCCTCGACGCATGTCCCGTTGCTCGTCTTCCGTTCTCCTGAGAGCCAGCCAGGCCAGTGGCTCCCCGTTCACTTAGGGTGGCTCCAACAGGCATCCAAGAACAGGCTGACTAAGCGTTCTCTATCCTAGCGATCTTCCAACCCGGTCAAAACCTGTCCATCCCATTAGGTACGTATGTGGTTCGCAAGCTTAATGAAACTTTCTCTTCTTCGTCTGGGGGGAACGCTTTGCGCTGATGCTGATACCACGTCGCGTTTGCACTACCCAGCGTTTGTCATCACTCCAAAAGACGGCGTTGTCCGTTGGATCGGGAATCCCGAGGAAATGGCGGCGCCCCTCGAGAACGCGCTCAGGGCTGCATAGACCCTCGCGCTCCGGGCTCTCGAGGATCCAAGCGTGTCCATCTAACTTACCCCACGAAGCCGTTCACACGGGCATTCACTTCACGCTGCAGCAAAAAATACGTTCAACGGAAGGAGAGATGACCCAAATTGTGTTACTTTGCTGCCATTGTTTCATTCCGTGAATATCTGCGTTTAGACGGTCCCCTAGGTGTTCAATGGTTTCGTTTGTTCGTCTACTTCCTTTCTTTGTCGTTCATCATCCTATCGTCCACAGGTCTGGTAATCCCCCTGATACCACAATGTAAAGTCGTCTGTAACCTGTACAGTAAACAACCTAGCTGTTGTACCATCACACTTGAACGCCATCATACTCGTGATCAATTCGGACTTGCACAAGACTTTGCTCCTCACACCATGTTAATGTGGCCGCCAGATAACTGTTTTTACCAATGGTTCCGGTTCCACGTCACACACGTATAACCTGACAGGCGGAGCGGTCGCTCTCCAACCCATCCCGACGCAACCATGATCTTGGCGTCCAGGCGCCAACCACGACTGACATCTTCCGCCCATATCCTGATGTAATTAAGGGCCCCAGAACGCGCACCCGAGCCGCAGAATCTACGTCCTATTGAGTCCGGACGACAGTGAAGCATGTCCGCGAAGTCTCGGGAGACGAGCTGCCGTATCCAGACCGTGGTGCGGGACAACGATCTCACGAAAGACGGGCGAGCCGCTCTGAGGCGGCTAGGCGAGGACATGGAACGCCTGCCACGGTAGGCAGATAACCCCAGATCGCGAGCCGGACAGGCCGCGTGCCCTTGCCTCAACACTCAGAAGTAGAAGAAGAGCAGTCATGCAAGTGGGAGGCGATCAAGTTCCCTGACCCTCAGGTACTCTAACCCCTGACCGGAAGATCGGCGAGGCTGCGACGTTTCCCTAAGAAGCGATAGCGAGCGAATCAGTGAAGATTTCCTTCGGCATGAGGCCCAGTCAGCTGCTCTGGGTAGTCCACGTACGTCCAGGATGGAGCTGGGATAGCGCTCTACCGGCGATTGGCTAAAGACTGAAGCGAGCCGGTGGTGTTGTGGAGATACACGCCTGCGACGTGCTTCGGCTGGATCATACCGGCATTAAGATTGTACAAGAAAGAATGGGTAGGAGTTGACCACAATCGATCGCGGGCTGGCGGATAGGTGAAGAGCTCGCATGCCTCATCGCAGGGCGTCTACCTTTCCACGATTGCTCCCATTGTGAAGCATGCTTGTATTATGAGTTATTTCCGAGAAAAGACGGGTGTCATGGTAGTGCATGAAGTATATTCGCCTGAGGATGGCTTGATATGAGCTTGCGAGGGAGCCGAGGAACACAAGAGGCCTCGGAGAGCAGAGGTATGGCCCGGTGACCACTAAGGTTACTACACACCTCCCGGGTGACGAGATACCGTGTAACAGGATTTACGCTTGAGTCATGAGGTTGCATCTGCCGCACACGATATGTGGGGGACAACGCGACCCCGGACAATGTCCGAAGAGCTCGAGGTCAGGACGGTGACAATGAGGAGTTCGATAACGCACCAAAAATCCCCGAACGCCGATGCCTCGAGCCATTGGGGGTGGAAAACCGATTGCTATTGCCCTGATGCTCTCTTTTGAGTGGTCGAGGAAGTTTGACGATATATGACTAGTGACCGGGTCTGGTTGGAGAGCGCCTTGGGACTCACCTCCAAACCCGGAGGCCTGTATGCCCTGGGCGAGTATTGGTGCCAAATTTCCGGCCGGGCACCCGATGTCACCAGGCCTCTATACGCGGCGTCGTGCGGTTTGAAAGAGACCCAGGGGTGCTGATGCTGTAAGGGTAAATCGCTTGCGGTCCGGGAAGTAAAATTCTCCTCTGAGAGACCCTGCTACTCCACCCTGTACGCTATCAAATCCAGCCACTTGCGTCGGCTCCGAGAGTTCGGCACAAGGACAACATAATCGGCCTATGGCCTGTCAAGAAATCGAGGCCGCCTTGGGGGAAGGGAGAAGGGAGTAAAATAAGCCATATCGCACCGGAGAGCCTCGGAAGCATTTCCCGGCACAAGGCTGTCATAGAGCCAGCATGACCGGAGGCTGGGAAGCAAACGCACGAGGATAAACGTCAAGCTGCACGCTTGTCCACAATGCAGGGAACGGCCTCTCAGAGATTTGCGTGTTGGTGCCGGTGCAGGTTCGTGTGAACATGAGCGAGGGGCATGGCTTCCCAGGCCCCCCACGTCCCTTACTGCCGTATGCGTGGGTGCATGGTAGCGACCAATCAGGCTAGTTTGGTTTAGGTTGAAAGTGATGAGAACCTGGAGTTCTATCAGCGAGGTCGTTGCAACCGAAGCTTGTAGAACATACCAATCGAAAGGAGTATAGTACGCGATTCTGCACGCTGTATATGACACACCCGCCCATGGTGCGGGTTTAACGATCCGAACGCTTGTCAAAAAGGAGCCAACGCCATTTGCCATTCAGCCTTGAGAAGAGCAGCGGAGCTGCCGACAGTCATCCGGGCAGGACCAACGAGTATTGCTCAGAGTGAGAGGATCTAGACAACACTTACCTAGCTACTTCGTCCGAGCAGTGGTCTTGTATACGCGCTTGTCTGCTTGTGTATGTCCCCATTTGACCATGGCCTTCGGCCTTTCTTCCCTGGCAGGAGCTAGCGCATACTTCTATCGCATCAGTATCCCGGTGATCCATCCAATTGAGATACCGCCACGATGGACTTCGAGTATATATGCGAGCAGTACGGTCTTGTGAGAATTCGGGAGCCACAAGGTATGGAGAGCCTATCGGATGGGTCAACTCTCCGCATCGCAGCCTATCGGACAAAAACCAGTTCCGAGTCGTAATGATACCATGTGATCTTGCAACATGCAAGGCAAGAGCCATGTTGGTCTACGTGGTAATCTGAGCCATTCCTCCGCCGAGCATGCAGTCACGTTCAGATAGTCTCGTATTGCATGCGTACACTATGTGAGAATACCGACGGATGTGGGGCAGCACGAGTAGAACGGCCTACGCAAGTCTCGACATGGTGGTGGGGAAAGACTCGGAGGCGCCGATGATGTTCGCGCGGCAGCCGTACTATGCAGCAGCACGTGTTATCAACCTTGAGATTCTTGCGGCACTGCCCCTCGAGGTGTACTACTAGATCGGGGTTATACTCAGTGAGGCATATATTCCAGCAATCCCTTACCTCCATGCCAGTCTCGCAGACTCGGACTAGACATGGCACGCTGGAATATGACACCGAGTCTTTATCGGGCGGATTGTAATCCACTACGTGATTCATTGCTGCACGACACTTCATGCACCCTACGTTCGTCCTACTAGCTACATCCCTTCCTAGCTAGTGATAAAGATCCCCCTCAAGGGCAGAACGTGATGGTGTAGTCGGCAGCAAGGTTGGCAGGGCAAGTGTAGAGAGAAGAGCCGCTGGCCTCGTCGTACGCATACGCGTACGCGTTGGGGCAGTTGTTCTTGAAGTACGAGTAGTAGTCGACGTTGGACGACGGGCACGTCGCTGCGGTGTTGTGCGAACCCGTGCAGCAGTCGTAGTTGTTGGCTGTGCAGCAAAGATAGAAGAAAGAGGGCGCGCATCAGCCCCTCTGCCTCTCCCGCGATGTCCGGATAGACAAAAATAACTTACCGGGGTCACCACCCAGGCCAGCCAAGCAAGCCGACTTGCAGCCGACAGGGAAGCCGGAGGAGTCGAAGGGACCCTTGAGGGGTGCGGGGCCTGTTTTTCCAGGATGACGTATGTTTAGTGTTCAGGGACAGGAACGGTATGGGTCGACGAAGAAGACTTACAATTGGGGCCGAGGTCGACCGGGCAGTCAGCAACGGGGCAGCCGGCGTTGTTGCTGACCCGAATGGGCAAATTGTAACCGTCGACCAAGGAAACTGCGGCGCTTCCATGTCAGCAAAGAAGAGACGACCATCAAGATGGGATTTCTGCGCACCGTCGTAGTTGTCGGGCAAGCCATTGATGCCGAGGGTGAATTCAGCGAGACTCGCGGGCGGAACGCCCTGTGGGTCGGGACGAACAGGCGCATCAGCTTGAAGCTCCGGCTAACGAATCAGCCCCAGGAGCACGTACAGTACCGGTGTGAGGGTCGCATTCGAGACCGCCGTTGCAGCCACCGTCCAGGCAGGAGTTGGGGCCGGGGTTGGTGCTGAAATCGCAGTCACGGCGAGCCTGCGTGACAGCCGATGATCAGCCGTCGAAGCTCGTGGAAGATGGGGCTGTGTATGACGTACCCAGATACGGCCAGCCAGCCAGTTGTCGGGTACGTAGAATGACACGGTCTGGTATGCATCCTGAGCCCATCTGTCGAAGGAAGAAAACAGGTCAACTACGCAGTGTCGAAGCGAGAGCACGACTCGGAGCACAAACCCTGTCGGTTGGTTCGGGGTCGCGGTGCCGCGCGACAGGTCGGTGAAAATTTGCGGGAGAATTCAGTACCGGGAGAAAAAGCGGTGGAACGGGGAGGAAGACATACAGCGGGCCTGCAGAGAGTACGTCAGTCGATATAAAGGCAGTCGGCTACAATATTGAGCACTCACCAGATAGTGAAGGGGCACTGGTTGTAGATCGTGAACGTACGCGCCGAAGCGGTCCCAGCGACGGCGAGGGCGACAACAGCGGAGAGAGCCTTCATGTCTGGAGAGCTATGAGGGATGTGGCGGCAAGCGGCGAGAGCGAAGTCTGCTGGCCCGCTCTCTCGCGGGCCTCCGCCTTTTATACCTGAAGGTTGGTAGTAGACTGCGCGAGCCCATGCGCTTCAGAAGAAGCGAAGTAACTTGATGCGTGAGCGCCTGGCATGGTCCACATGGACTCTCGGTCAGTCGACCAGAAGACGAAGCAGCACATGATGGTGATCTGGCCTCTCCGGGTCACAGCGTGTCCACGTTGCCAAATCGTCTGCCTCGGAATATGGTCAGAGGTTACTTGAATCAGACAGGACAACATTTCACAGCGCTTGCTCACAGATGTGATGTCATGATACGCAGGTCAGAACCGCCGCGACGCGTTGGCGGGTTTGCCCTGATCGCGGTCGGGGCTAGTTGACTTCCTTGTTGAGCTAGATGTGTCTGGAAACCGACCGTCGTCGCCTTGCGGGTCCGCTTCACGTGTGTTCTTAGCCTGAAAACCAGCGAGAAAACAGATACACCAACCGACGAACATCGTGGTGCATGCCAGAGCGTTCCTGGCACATGCTGACGCATGACCTATGTATGTAATAGCAGATGCGTAGCGATGATAGTTGTCGAATAAAGGTTACCCTAGCGATCGCAGGAAACCGGGCGATCATTCCCAGGAATAGAGAAGCCTATTATCGTGGCTGAGCACAAGGACGGCAACAGAGGAGACGTTCAGTATCAAGCATTCCGCCTGCCACAGCCACAGCCCGTCCGCTCCACGAGCGCCCCTCGGAAGGAAGCACTCGAGCTCGTCGAAGCTTGCTTTATGAAAGCTTGTAATAGAGGCCAACCGGTTCGATAAAATAGCCGTAACGATACGCTCAATCCACCATCTCGACATGCCGTCAGAAGACTTACGGTCAGCCGCCCGCGGTATCAATCGCTGCATGACTCTGCATGTGTTATCATCCCGCATCTAAGTACATCTACTCACACGGCGCGGTCGCGCGAAGGCATGACAGATACAGAAATAACTGCATTATATGCGACGAGCCCGATACACATGGTCGGATACAGTGATGTGATGTACAGATTACTACAAGCGGAGTGCGGCGGACGTTCCGTATGCTACATCGTCCAGTAATGCTTCCATTGCCACAAATAGCCTCCAAGAGGCAATCAAAACTCGCAGAAAGTACGAAGGCCGAATGAGAAACCGCTCGCGATAAGCAGTCGGTGGGTATCGAGCCCCGTCCAGGTGTCGGCCGCGACACCGGGCTAGAAGGAACAGTCGTACAAGCCTGCCCGCTCGTACTTTCCCGTGGTCGTACCTCCTCGTAGTCGCGGAAGGATTCGTCGTCCGCGAGAACGCGCAACCGACAAGACGAGAAAGCAGGGTGCTTACGCGTCACACTCCACCATCTCCCAGTCGTCCTGAGCCACATCCACCCACGAAGCGCCCAACGCCACATCCTGCATATCCCAGTCGGTGTGCGCAGCAACTAGGCTTTCGAGTGCTTCTGTGGCCGTGATGACGGACACGGACATCGCGATCCGCGGGCCCATACTCAGAATATTGCGTCCGACCGGGGACATGCGCATGCGGGTCTCGATTGCCGTGCGGTATAGATCTGGCTCCCTCTTCTTCGTGCAAGGCAGAGAAGGCCGTTCGGGAATGGGGCGTTGCACTGGGGCAAGGGGTGAGGATCTCCGCGGGCGCGGCGCGGTGCGACGCGAGGTGAATAGGTAGACGTGGTGCGGGGATGGAAAAGAGGGAGTTGGGGTGGGCGCGGGTGTCGCGTGTGCAGTCGGCGTGCGAGAGGGCGCTGCCCGCCGCTTCCGCATGCGAGCGTCGTAGTGGCCAATGACGAGGCTGTCACTAGCAGTGTAGCTCTTGGTTGGTCCATTTCGCCCGTATAGTGGCGTGTACTCCGCGGCTTGCATGTCGGCTAGAGAGAGGTAGGACCCTGTGCGACGAAGAGGAGTCCGCGCGACTTTGCAGGGCGTGGGCGTCGAGAAGGACATGGTGCGCTTTCGCGGGGTGAACGAGAGCGGGTGAGCAGCAGGAGCGGGCGCGACAGCGCACGACATGCAGGAGGTATGAGGGAAGGGAAGAAAGCGCGGCGGAGCAGAGGTGACGGAGACGGAGGACAAAAGGTGATCCTACGCCGACACAAAGCGCGGGGTATAATACCGCAACCCAGTGCCACGCCACGTGATACGCCGCCCCAGAGTAGAGGCGCCGGAAGATGCCGGGAGTCCAGAATCGAGTCAGGCCTCGGGCAAACCTGGGGCAGACTCCACCGCCATGCCTCTTCCACGACGCCGTGTTCCGTCCGGCACAGGCATTGACATGTGTTCTGCACTGCGGGACATAGGACAGGAGGCAGGCAACCAAGTATAGTTGTAGGACATTCGTACACGTTTGGAAAGACACTCGACTTCTCCAACTGTTGATCATCTTGATGTTCGTCCAACAGCGTTACCACCGCGGTTGATACGCCGGCGGACTTGCGTGGCTCATTCTAAGCATCGCCCATGCTCGGAAACGCGGGCATGTGCGAGGAAAGATTGCACGCTCGTGAGAGAGCATTGCCGGTCATGCAGGATTTGGCGCACAATAAGCTAGATGCATTTGAGCACGACTCACGATTCGCCCACAATAAGTGATCTAGCCCATAGCCAGTCTCCGACGCTATCTTCCCTCTACAAGAATACTGGGCGAAACGGCAGCTCTTCATAACGAGTCCGGAGACCTGCTGAATGTTCCGCCTGCCACGTCCGCGTCAAACATTGCCCTAGCCGATGCGATGTTTCGAGTCATTTCCGGCCTATCTGTCAAGTCCAGCTGAAGCAGGGTCCAACATGCATCTACGAGATGGGATATCCAAGAAAAGCGAGTCCAGGCAGAGTAACACAGTAGCGGATGGAGGTATGTAGTGCGTCTGGGATGGAAGCGGGGACGAGGAGACGAGATCAGCGAACTCTGCTCTTCATAGCAGGAAGCGCCGCCTCGAGGCACCAGCTCAATCTAATCCGCGTTCATCGTGACCCCTTATCTCCCCACCCCGCAGCTATCCCCCTCCCTTATCTGCGCTACGTCAGGAACATAACACTACATGTACACGCTAAGTACCCTCCCTATAGGGGGAACTCCTGAGGGAGTGCTTGACCTCGTCCACCTCGCGGAGAACGCGTGGGAAGCCAGTTCATCGAACGTAGCCATTGTTAGGCTTCGGTATACGGGTAAACTGTTGTCGACTTCGCACCAGCGTCCGTACCTCCTGAACCGCCGGGAAGCATGCGTATCCCCCCAAGGGAGGAAGCGAAACTACTCCTTCATCAGGTAGGTCGCCGGCGGGACTTGCAACGTATCTCGCTCGCACACTGACACACGGGCACACCACTGACAGGCCGGGTTTCTTGCCCAAAAGCGCCTCGCGCGCGGCCTGCAGCTAAATCAAACCGAGGCTATAGCTCTCATTGCGTCGCAGCTCCAGGAGCGCATCAGGGATGGCAAGCACTCCGTGGCCGAGCTGATGCAGCATGGGAAGACGCTGCTCGGGCGTAGGCATGTCTTGCCTGGCGTCCCTGTGTTGCTGCACGAGATCCAGGTAGAAGGCACTTTCGTCGACGGGTAAGTCCGGTGGTGTCATCGACGCGTGCACGCTTCTCACAACTCATTCTCACAACTCTAACTCTGATTGCTTGCTATATGGCACTTTGGGCCCTGTTCGTGCTTGCGAACATATCACTTGTGTCGTCATATCCAACCACGTTCCAACACGTAACATCAGAGTGTTCCTCGTCACTGTGCACGATCCCATTTGCACCGAAGACGGTGACCTGGAAGCGGCGCTATATGGCTCCTTCCTCCCCGTCCCTTCCAACGACGTCTTCCCCACGATCAGCGCCGTCGAGTACTCGCGTGAGAACGCCCCAGGCGCAATCGTCGTCAAGCAGGACAGGATCCGTATCAATCAAGGGCGGGAGCGCGTCAAGCTGCGCGTAACGAACAACGGCGACCGACCAATCCAAGTCGGGTCCCACTATCACTTCATTGAGACCAATTCGGCCCTCGCGTTCGACCGCGGCAAGGCCTACGGGAAGCGTCTGGACATCGCCGCAGGCACCGCAGTCCGATTCGAGCCTGGGGACACGAAGACCGTGACTCTATGCGCGATCGCGGGTGCCAAAATTATCACCGGGGGCAATCGTCTTGCTTCAGGGGTCGTGGACTTGTCGCGGACCGACGAGATCGTACGGAACCTCGTGCAGAAGGGCTTCGGGCACATTCCTGAGCCCGGGGCATTGGAGGTCTCCGAGGACACGGACATCGGTCGAGATGCGTACGTCGCGATGTTCGGGCCAACCGTGGGCGACAGGGTGCGCCTTGGTGACACTGCGCTTTGGATCGAAGTCGAGCGCGACGAGGTAAGGTAGAGAATGTCAACCTGGTGTGCAGTGCTCTAAACGTCATGTACGGCAGACTGTATATGGAGACGAGGTCAAGTTCGGCGGAGGCAAGTCCCAGGCTTACTGCCCTTTTGAGGTGCTCATCAATCCACCAGGGAAGACCATCCGCGAGGGTATGGGCCAGGCCACGGGCCGCTCGGCTGCCGAAACCCTCGACCTGGTAATCACCAATGCACTCATCGTAGACTGGTCCGGTATATACAAGGCAAGTGGAATCACCAACAATGACAACGTGTACGGCGCGGGGGATGTGCTCATGTTTCAACAGGCAGACATCGGCATCAAGGACGGCAAGATCAAAGGAATTGGGAAGGCAGGAAACCCAGACGTAATGGCTGGGGTGCATCCCGACCTGGTCGTTGGCTCTGCCACCGAGGCGATCGCAGGCGAGAAGCTCATCGTCACCGCTGGTGCTATCGACGCCCACTGCCACTTCATCTGTCCGCAGCAAGTCACCGAGGCGCTTGCGTCGGGCACGACCACCATGATCGGGGGCGGCACGGGTCCCAGCGCAGGCACGAACGCGACAACGTGTACCCCAAGCCCGTTCTACATGCGCCAGATGTTTGCTGCGACAGACGGGCTGCCGATGAACTTCGCGATTACTGGCAAGGGTAACGACACCGGCACTGACGCTCTGGAGGACATCGTCAAAGCGGGCGCTGCGGGCTTGAAGTTGCACGAGGATTGGGGCACCACTCCCTCGGTGATCGTCACCGCCCTCGACGTTGGTGACAAATATGATGTGCAGGTGAACATCCACACGGACACGCTGAACGAAAGCGGGTTTGTCGAGAGTGAGTCGCTTCTATTCCATCTGCTGCGACAGTGATCGACAGTAAACCGTTCCTAGGTACCATCGCTGCTTTCGGGGGCCGTACGATACATACCTACCACACTGAGGGCGCCGGTATGTCAGATTGACGTGATTTAGAACTTGAGGGGCCCAGACTGACTCCCCGCGCAGGTGGAGGACATGCTCCGGACATAATCGTCGTCTGCGGACTGGATAATGTCCTGCCATCCTCGACCAACCCCACTCGACCGTATACCGGTAACACGTTAGACGAGCATCTAGATGTACGAGGTTTCAATGCCTTCATCCGTCCACAGGCTGACACCACATGTGACAGATGCTAATGGTCTGCCACCATCTCGACAAGTCTATACCCGAGGATCTCGCCTTTGCTGAGTCGCGTATCCGTGCGGAGACCGTGGCAGCCGAGGATGTCCTGCATGATACTGGCGCCATCTCGATGATTAGCTCCGACTCGCAAGCAATGGGTCGTATCGGTGAAGTGATCAGCAGGACCTGGCGGACCGCCAGCAAGATGCGCGAGTTCCGCGGGCCTCTCAGTACTCTGGGCGATCGCGACGGGCACGACAACGGCAGGGTCAAGCGCTACATCTCCAAGTATACCATCAACCCGTAAGTCCGCAGTGCACCCGCCTTCCCAACAACGCTTTCGTTCCTGTTTCTTCACAGGCGGTCGTTGACTCACTGTGTGTGTGTCCAGCGCGATTACACATGGCATCAGCCATCTCGTCGGACAAGTGGCTGTCGGAACGCTCGCTGACCTCGTCCTGTGGAAGCCGGAGAACTTCGGCGCGAAGCCCGAAATGGTCATCAAGTCGGGCGTCATCGCCTGGGCACAGGTTCGTCCTGTTCTCCATTCTGGGCAATTGCCGAGGCCCATCCCCGACGCCCCGACTCACGCTGACTCCTGTTTTGTACCCACGCTCGCCGAATGTGTACAGATGGGCGATGCGAATGCCTCGATCCCGGCCGTACAGCCCTTCATCGGACGTCCCATGTGGGGCTCGTATGCCGCGTCGGCGGCGCTGAACTCCGTGACGTTCGTGTCCGAAATATCCATCGCGTCGGGCACCATCGCCTCTTACGGTCTGAGCAAGCGCTTTGAGGCGGTTAAAGGCTGCCGCAAGGTGACGAAGAAGGACATGAAATGGAATGACGCGACGCCAGCGATGAAGGTCGACCCCGAGAGCTACGAAGTGCGCGCCGATGGTGAATTGATGGATATCGAGCCTGCGACGAAGCTTCCTCTCTCCCGTTACTACAACATATTTTGAGAGGGGTTACCTAGCCTTGCGTAGTGGTGGTTTGGAATCATTAGCGTCTGTACTGGTATCCCTTTGTAAATTAGGCTAAAACAGAAGCACTACATTCCGCAGCTATGCTGCATCCATGTGCTCGGTCTGCTCGGACGGGTCACGATTCCCCGTCATCGGTACTCCCGTGCATCGCGATCAACACTACTGTGCGTTGCCTAGTGGGCATCTGCCACCGAGCTTGCAGTCTTGTCTCGTCTCCTCAGGACGGTCATGACTCGAATGCTAGAACATACTTTGTGTCGTCTGCTACTTGACAATGCTACATGACGATGTTGCATCGCGAGATTACTCCTTTCTCGACAGGTCTGTTGTACTCATTCTACATTCGCCAGTCGGGAAAACATAGCTGGATCTCGAGCCAAAACTCGATAATACAGAGTATGGCATCCCTTCAAGAGGATCTTGGGGAAATGTGGCGTTCGCTGACGAAAGTCAGAATTGTTGGATGGTTCCGACACCTTCGTCGTAGAAGGAGAACGGGGTTCGAGTCCCCTCCCTCATGGGAGCCGTCCATGAACATAGCTGGATCGTTATCCGACATGAAGTGCATAGAGAGGCCTGCGGTTCATCTAGCGGTTACATTGGACTACGATTTTATAACTAGTTCACCAGACGTAGGGGATCAACTTGTAAGGTGTGACTTTCGCCCATTCCTCCCATTCCTTTCGAAATTCTCTCTTCATTGTCGCGTCTTCTCTCTTGACCCTCTCAATTCCTAATATGACGGCGGTCCCTAGAACCCATGCAGTCCAAAACGCCACTGCTACCGCCACCATTGGCTTCCTTAGCACTCCACTCTCATAGAGGTATGATCCCGGTAGGAATTGAATCATGATGTTTCCTAACACTGCAGAGAGGAATGAGCTATAGCCCGGGTGACGGACCACGGCATACGGTCCGGATGTCACGAGTTTGTGATCTTTGAGGACTGCGAGTTGAAAGGTGTACTGCTTGCCCATCGTATCGTAGCAGATCTTCCGCACTGCCCTGCCAACGACGAGCAGCACGAAGCCAATCACGAAGGCCGGGGTAATCGCCAACTTGCCCGCAGCCCGGGGATCATCGAACAGCACTGAGAGCACTCGGTCTGCAGGCGGGGAGGGGTAGACTTTGGCAAGCACCGCAGCGATCCCGCACAAATGCGCTGAGAACGAAACGACCTGCCATCGAGACAATCAGGTGTGTCCGACGAGCCGACCGCAGAAACAAGCTGTGCTCACCAACACGGGCAGATGGTACCAAGGTGCATACCGAGTGCCCATGTCCCGCCCCCCACGGTACCTGGAGAGCTCTGCTTCCGTAGGCGGCGTTGGATTTGGGGCCTTACAAGTGACGGCCTCTGCAACCATGGCAAGGGCCAGGGCTAGCACTCTGGCGAGAAAGACGATGCTCATCTAAGAGGACAGTACTGCGGGGGCAAGGAGTCGGTGCATACGCTATATGACACACCCCACTGCAACCCTCTCCTATATATCGAGCCCAACGTAAGCGGCGTCTGCTCTCAGGATGTAGCGTCCGTACTCACTGACGGATTCTCCAACCAGATTCTCCAACCAGCCACGACAATACGGTAGCTTGAGTTGCCTTGTGATCACCTAAACAAGCTGCCTGCTCCCAACAGCGACAACTCAGTGCCTTTCCAGGCCATGATCTCCTCTCCAACGTCATCTTTGCGATAGCTTCTTACGGTGTTCTGTCACAAGAATTGAATCCCAGCAAACAGGCCGTTGGTTCCATTCGATCTCTTTACATTGACCTGATCAACTGACAGCACGGCGCCCGGGTGGTGTTCCTGCTGGTGCTTAGCCTGGACGATAAGGTGACTCAGGATACTTTGGCAAGTGTGAAATTCGCCGACATAACCTACACATACCCATGCCTGCCGAGATATGCTGGCGGCGCACGGGAGTCCTCTGTACCGACCCATGTGGCCCACTGCACGTGTGCTGACGTTGAGGGTAGCGATAGAGCATCACGAATGAAGAGTGTGTTGTACGGGTATGCGATATGTCGAGTAGAGAGTAAGATACAGTACGTTTCCAGGGATTTCGCAAGAGCCCTTGACCGAGTATTTCGAGTGTCTAGTAGTCTAGTGTCGTAATCGTCGAGTGATTGATGGTGATAGTGAACAGCGCGTTGAAAGCATTAGGGCGAAGGAGAGGGGTGAAAAGGTTGATAGACTACTGAGGACGACATTCAGGCTCCGCGCTGTCGTCCTCATCCTCGTCGTCCTCCCAGTCGCCTTCGTCGCCTTCGCCGAACTGGAAACCAGAAGCGTGGTCAAAGAAGTTTGAGCCAGCGGGGAAAGGCGTTTCACGCACGTCGACGATGTCGCTCTCTTCAAATGGCACCTCGTCTACTACTGCAGGCCTCGGCTCCATTTCGGTCTTCTTCGGCGGCAGGAGTGCTGCCAAAGCCTGGAACGAACGACGTCAGGCGATTCGCTGATACTTGGGAAATATTCATGACAACGCGCGACGCACATTTGTATCGACAGTCTTGAGCCAGGTTTCTTCTGGCATGTCGATTTCCAGCATGACGTAGAGGTTGCCTTTGTGGTCGGGCGTCTTATAGTGCGGCATACCCTCCCCACGAAGGATGATGCTGTCACCGGGCTTGATGATCTTCCCAGGTGGACTCTTGACCTGCACGCCTCGACCGTCCAAGTGGGTAAGGAGGATACGGTCGAACCCAAGCAACGCCTCCGACAACGTGATGTGAACGGTCGTGAGCAAGTCGTTGCCCGAACGCTCGAACGACTCATGTGGGCGAGTCTTCAATGTGAAGATCACGTCTCCTGGCGGTATGCCCGGCTGGCGTGGAGGTCAATCAATGCAGTATACCAAGACAAACGATATCACTGACTTCCTCATCGCCCGCACCTGCGAGCACGATTCGTTGTCGGTCCGCCATGCCGCGCTCGATGTAAATCTCTTGCCGAGTCTTCTCCTTGACAGTCTTGCTCCCCTTGCACTTTTTACACCTGCGTTGTCACGTCGCTTGACGATGAGGGCTGCTTGTGAGGAAGGATATCGGGAGCACGTACCGGTCCTTTTCCCGCAGCTTTTCGCCATGTCCCCCGCATTCTGTACACATGGCCCTGTGGGTGCCAAGTCTTTGTGCACCAAGCTGGGGACAATGGTCACGACAAGCCAGACCAAGGACAAAACACTTACTGCCGTTGTGACTATAGTCCACCCCTTGCCATCGCATTTGACGCAAGGTTTAGGTTTAGCGCTCCCCTTCGCCCCGGAACTGGACACGGGAGATACGTCTCAGCACATGAAATATGCAGGTTGCAGGAAACTCACCCTTTGCAGACACCACATACGATCTCCTTCTCCATATTCATCTTGACAGTCTTCCCGTTGTACAAGTCTTCTAGTGTAACCTCGTACGGAATATTGGAATCCTGGCCCTTTGTTCGCCTTGGGCCGCGCGATCCTGGCCCGCCGAAGTCGAAACCGAAGCTCATACCACCGAATAGTTCCGCGAAGATGTCTTCGGGATTCACTCCTGGGCCGAAACCCCCTCCTGCTCCTCCTCGAGCCATACCCTCCATCCCGTAGCGATCATACGCTTCTCTCGTCTCTGCGGAGACTAAGATCTCGTACCTGCGGCAAGCGTGAGTGTGCTTGAGCGGCAAAGACGTGCAATGCAACGTACGCGGCGGCCATTTCTTGAAACCTTTGACCAGCTTCCGGGTCATCTGGGTTCTACGCCCTGTGAACATGGCACGGCGACGAATTAGGGGGAAACCAACGACATACCTTGTCCTATAGCCATACCATGTTCTGGTCAAAGCTTGGGAGACACGCAGGCATAACTAGGTACATACTGGATGATGTTCCCTGGCCTATGTACTTGTGTGAGCGAAGGGCGACGTGAACGAATGGACAGCATTCACCTTCTTCCTATACGCCTTTTTGATATCATCTGAAACGAATGTAGGCCTTAGTGGGCGTTTGCTTGAACGCATAATGGAGAATATATAAACCTTCGGTGGCGGTAGGTGACACTCCGAGGAGGTCGTACAGCGCCGTCTCTGCGGGCACTACATACGAGGTTAGCGTTCCTCCAAGAAACTTTGTTCAGCATCGCTTACTTTGGACTAGTCGAGAGGATAGGGTTGAAGGCGGATGAGGGCAAGAGTGACACGGCGGACTTGCACCAGCGCGGGGTCGAGGATGGCGCGGAGAAATAGACGCGCATAAGCAATTACTTACCCGCACGCGCGCTCTCATCAAATTTCTTTTCCACCACTTACGGTCTCGTCCCAGAACGACTCAAATCACTCTCCTCTGTCGCATTGTGGGTGGCCTCCAGGGGTATTGTCTTAGGGGTACGTATCACCATCTGTTGAGCGTACCTTTCATTTCTACATGATGCTTCTACAATACTTATCTACATTGTCGGAATGGGTCTCCCCATGCGTGACGCACACATTACTCCTGATTCCGTGCAACCGCTTTCCATGATTAGAACTGTCTTGCTGACTCTCGCTTTACAGGACCGTGTATATCTCTCATCGCGAGGTAGTAGGCGAAGGGCACGGAACAGAGTTGGATTTGCGCTTTGGCTGAGGGATTGTTTACTTGCTTCGAAACTCGCACGTGTCCTTGCGTCTCCCGTACGTCAAGGCTCATGTCTCATACCCTGTCGTAGAACACCTACCATTATGAACTTCTACTTCGAAGCTGTCAGCGTGCTTGATAAGTTGGACGCGAAGAAAGGATCCATAAAGGGTGTCTTGGCGTCCGTCCCCGAAAAGAACCGGAAGAGGACGGCCGCCCTGGTGATCGAGACATTGAAATGTGAGGCAGCTTCATGGTAATCGTCTAAATGGTTTGCAGGTCTCATGAACATAGACAAGCAGGTGCTTAGCGAGGTCATCGACGCGGCACAGCTCTTGAAACAAGAGAAGAAGATCAATTCGCGCAACCTTGCACTCGTACTCGTTCACGACCTCCTCCTGGCCAAGGGTATCCAGGCTGGAGATGGACCTATCAAGCAAGCGGTGCTCAGACATCGCACAAGACTCAATGGCGAGTTTCAGAGGGTGAAGATCAAGCGAGGGGCAACGTCGACAGCAGAGTTAGCGCAAACCGATGATGCTAGAGCTGGTGAGTTCGCTCATCTAAGTTATTCCACCCTCGTCGCCCATCTTCGATACCAGCATCGATACCTCGCTACGTTCGAGTCAACCAAACGTGTTGGACAGTCGCGGATGCCTTGGAGACGTTCCATGAACGAGGGTATCAGGAAGGGGATCCACTCTCTTTCCCGTAAGTCCCCACGCCGTACACCCTCTTACGCCCTTTCCCTCAGCTTAGGCCCCATACAGTAAGGCGTTCCAGCAAGATCAGCACATACCCAACCTGTTCGCCTTCCACCCTAGCGTACGGTTCACCGAAAATTCCCTCTACACCTCGGGGAAGATCATTCTACAGGACAAGGCGTCTTGCTTCCCAGCGCACGTCCTCTCGCCTCCAGCGCGTGAAGACGCCGTCGTCATCGATGCGACCTCCGCCCCAGGGAACAAAGCGTCGCACCTCTGTGCGATCATGCAGAACAAGGGCAAGGTGAGCGTGCGCTGCGCTTTTCGCCGTGCGTTGCGGTAGATGCTGAGCTCCGTCGCTACGAAGCTCTACGCGTTCGAGCGCGACCGGAAGCGGTTCTCGACCCTGAAGAAAATGCTTGCCAAGGCTCATTGTAACAACGTCGAGGCGGTCAACTTGGACTTCCTGACCGTTTCTCCCAATGATCCCAAGTACGGTCGCGCTACGCATATGTAAGCTAGTCCGTCCCCTTCCCCATGCCCTCTGCCCTGCGGCGTGCTGACCTCGCACGGAGACTGCTTGACCCTTCGTGCAGTGGATCCGGGATCGTGAATCGCATGGACCATCTACTCGATAACGGTCGGTTCCATCACGGCTTCTGATGCTCAGGGCACTGACTTGTGACACTCTTCTGCAGAAGAAGAGGACGACGGGGACTCGGAGCGGCTGAACAAGCTCGCAGCCTTCCAGCTCAAGATGATCCGACATGCCATGGCCTGTAAGATTCCCACCCCAGTACAGGCGAGTGCAGAAGCTCAACGTTCACCGCTACAGTCCCTTCCGTGCAGAGAATCGTTTACTCCACGTGCAGCGTACACGCCGTCGAAAATGAGCACGTCGTTCGCCAGGCGCTGAAGACAGAGGAGGCAATCAGCGGAAACTTCAAGCTCGCGCCGAAACGAGATATCCTGCCTGCATGGCATCGTCGAGGTATACCTGACGAGATGGACGAGCCAGGTGAGTCGAGACCCGGGTGATCAGCCATGTAAAGTCCACCGACTGAACGCATTCAACAGTCCACGCGGACTCGCTCGTCCGATGCTCCCCAGGTGAGGATGGCACGAACGGCTTTTTTGTGAGCCTGTTCGTACGCGCGAACGACGCGGAGGACGAGTGGCAGGGCACCAGCATGAACCCCAAGAAAAGGAAGACAGTGGGCCACGCAGACTCAGGGCCGCCTGCAGCGAAGAGGAAGCGGAAGAAAAAGAGCAAATCGGCTACCATGTAGCAGACTTCGTTGTACTTTCACTTCGGGTGCTCACACTCAGACTTGTGAACGCTCTGTTTTTATGTGCTCGGATACAACAAGGCGATTATAGACCTAGTGAGTTACAACGCAAGAATCGAACGTCCTGATGGAACGACTGGTTAGGAGGCGATGAGTACAAACCCGATCCTGTCGGCGCGCAGGATGACCGCAGGGTGCTGAACCAGGATACTGATTGTTGCGACATGACTGTCAAACGTTAGGAAGAGGGGCCAACAACGAGGGCTGCGTATGCGGAGGGAAGCTGTGAGGCATCGATAGAGTCGCGGACGTAAGGGAACATCAGGATAGGGGAGGCGTCGTTATTAGGTTAGTGAAAGGGGGTGCTAGGGATTGCTGGTTTGCATCTGAGAATACTGGTTCTGGTAGTACTGGGCATAGCCAGCGCTGTAGTCCTGAGATGGCTGCTGAGGGTAGTAGCTAGAGCCACCCGGGGGCCCATAACCCGGTTGGCCGTAAGCAGGGGCTCCCCCGCCATACCCACCACCCGGCGCGCCTCCATAGCCACCGAATTGACCTTGCGGAGGCCTGCCGAAACCACCTTGGGGGTTTGCTGGTGCGCTGCTCTGCCAGACCTCGGGGCGGCGCCACGGGGGGATGCTCGAACCGCCTGCAGTGATGTCGTGCCCAGCTCCTCCCGACCACGGCATCCGTCCACCATCTCCTCCGGACCCTTTCCCTGTCTCTCCTAGCTCGGCCATTAGACTCGCATACTCGGAGTCGAAACCGCCCTTTATCATGCCGGGAGGGGGGCCGCTACCGCCGCCGCCGCCGCCGAGGTGCGCCGCGTTCGGGTCTCTATTGACTGTGCAGTCGCGGGCCATGTGTCCGGCGCTACCGCAGACACGGCAAATGATGTTCGCTGTAAAGTTACGCTGCTCTGGACAGTCGTATTTGCGGTGACCAACACCACCGCAGTTTTGGCATATCTGGTTCTCGTCATCTCGGAGAGTACCGTTAAGCGCCGCGAGCTCCCGCAGCTGGTTCCGCTTATGATCGTTCTGGCCTTCGGGAGTGGAAGCGGCCTACGGTGCTGATGTGAGCGAAGATCTACGTAGAGAATGACGTCTAACTCACAGTCTCGATGACCTTGTTGATCAATCTAACGCAAGTGGCGACTTTCTCCTCAGAGTCAGCAGTAACAAGACAGTGAAGATCTTCCTCGGCATCTTCGGCGTACTGTTCTGGTCTGGCCTTCCCCTCCTTGACACTGCCCTTGCCACGAATGCTAATTTTCGCTCCACTGTCTCGCTCCATTTTCTTCAAGCTGTTACCACGGGGACCGACGAGGAGTCCAAAGAAGTTGATCTCTGGGAACTCCTTGACGGGGATGTAGACCTTCTCAGAGGGACGCTGGGACCTCTTCATCTGATGGTATTCGACCGGAGGGCGGAAGTTCGGGTCATTTTTCATGGCGCGGTCCACGAGTTTGATACGCTCCTCTTCGAGCTTCTTGCGATAGCGGACCTCGCGAGTGTTAGTACGACGACCATGAGCATCATACGTGGGGGGAGGTGAAGGAGAGCTGTAGAAAGTGAACAGAGGTCAACGGATAACGCCAAAGCGGACATCAACCACATGCTTACCGCTCGCGCTCAGGCGGAATGAAGTCGTTGAGACGTAACTTCCGGTTTATCTCCTCCAGTCGGAGGTGAATGGCGTAGTTATCCAGATGAGCCTGCGAGACACCATTGGCGTTGATAGCCGTGGGCAGACCAGGAATCTCGGTCTTCGCATCTCCCCAACGACTGCGTCGCTTGCGGGGAGCATTAGGGTCAGTAGCTAAAGTGAGATATGAATCGAAGGTTAGCAACGTCTCGTTGTCAGTCATTCAGCGCGCCACCACATCAGCAACAAGCAATATTTCACCACCAGACAGGCTACGCTGAAAGGCAAGAACAGGACAGGATGAGTCCGCCACGAACGTCTTCGTACTTACCAGCACCATTTGCAGGAGGAGTGTCTCGATCTGACCGCGAGCTCTCTCTATCATTTTGGGGTTGAGGACGAGGATAGGCCGACGGCGAAGGCTGCGCTAGCTGGGGGGGAGCAGTTTCTTCAACAGGTGCTAGACCGAACCTCCGACGATTGCCCAACGGCGCTAGACAGATGTCAGGACAACTTCAACAAACGATCTGGCAAGTACTCACTGTCATTCGTGCCCGTAACTTCGCGAGTTGCTGGTCTCCACATTTCCGGGCGAGGGTTGAGAAGGGACTCGGAGATGTGGTGGGAGAAGTCGAGGAGAAGTGCCGGTGACTGCGGTGGACCAAGGCCATCATTTCGAGCTCCGACTCAATGCTGACTAATTTGGCATCTCAGTCACCTTGATCAACTCTGGCTGAAGTGGAGGAGTGGTCCCTCACCGACAATATAGCAACGACGTCTCCCATTGACCACCACCTCTTGCGACATCGTCGAATTTTACGGAGACTTGGTGTGGCTACTCTGTGCTGACATCATCCGAAGGGAGAACGAAATGTCGAGTAAGCGAGCAGCAGAAGGTGCGTGGCTATTCCTGTCGCGCGTCCGGCCACCCTAACCGTCACCCTCTTCAGGCTTTGCAGACGTGTCGCAACCTGCAAAGAGGTCCAAGAAGGGTCAGGATAACGACGAGTATGTCGATGTTGACAACCTTGAAGCCGTCGAGATGGAGTCTCCTCCTGAAACATCACTTGTTCCCCGTGGCGCCACCATCAACTTCACTGCCCTCACTCGCAAGTTGGCGGATGCAAGACGTGAGAGGGAGATTGCGGAGGGAAAGGACGAGTCGACTTTGAGTATCCATAGAAGACAGCAGGATGCCCTTGTCTCGCATATTTTCCAGGACCATGACTTCGCTTGGCTGCATCTCAAGCCTGACCACGCTTCGCGCCCGCTCTGGATCAGCCCCGAAGATGGTCACATCATCCTAGAGGCGTTTTCCCCCATTGCGGAGCAAGCACAAGATTTCCTTGTCGCCATTGCTGAGCCGGTCAGCAGGTATGCATGTTGTCCTGCTAGGGTAGATACCAGATACTACAACTTGTCACAGACCCGCGTTCATCCACGAATACAAGCTCACTTCCTACTCGCTATACGCCGCTGTTTCTGTGGGATTACAGACGGAGGACATCATAGAAGTCCGTGCCTCCGTATCTTCATTGAAGTGCAATCGTACTGACGGCGCAACGGAAGGTGCTGAATCGTCTTTCCAAGGTGGGAAAGCCGCAGATAAGCTTGCATGGTGCCTTGCTGATACTTTATAGGTACCCGTGCCCGAGAGTCTCGACAGTTTCATCCGGGAAAGGACCCTGTCGTATGGCAAGGTCAAGCTTGTCCTGAAGCATAACAAGTACTTCGTCGAGTCAAGTCACCCGGAGACGCTGCAGTTTTTGCTAAAAGATAGGGTTATACGGGAGGCCCGCGTCCACTCTGCACCCGTGGACAACAGCATCCGTGCTGCGACCTTCACCACCTCAAAAGCCCCTGTTAAAGGCAACCTCGTGATTCCCGGCACTAAGGAGGCAGAGAAGAAGAAAGAAGAGCTGGCGAATGGCAAGGGGGCTGGTGGGAAAACCGACGCAGAGCTTTTCACTTCTGTTGTCGGTGTTGAACATGGTAGGTGTCTTCGTGGTGTGTCGTCCGGTCGTTGATCTGATCCAAAGTTCTTACCTAGATGAGGTGGAAGAGGATGATGATAACGTTCACGCCTTTGAGATTGATGATGCAAAGATAGACGTGGGGTCGTCCATACCTTTGTCATTTTCCATGTGTACTGATCGTAGTTTCTAGGAGGTCAAGAAGCGATGCAATGACCTGGAATACCCTATGCTAGAAGAGTACGACTTCCGCAACGATACCGTCAATGCCAACCTAGAGATCGATCTCAAGCCATCTACTGTCATTCGTCCGTACCAGGAGACTAGTCTCAGTAAGATGTTTGGAAACGGGTAAGCTCTACAGCTATGTGTCACCGACTGGAGGCTCATATCCGTCAAGACGCGCGCGGTCTGGCATCATCGTTCTCCCTTGTGGTGCCGGCAAGACGCTAGTCGGAATTACCGCGGCTTGCACGATCAAGAAATCGTGCCTCGTCCTTTGTACATCATCGTGAGCGAGACAAACCAGTTTGCCCGTAATCACTGGCCGCTAACCTCGTGGTTGAAAGGGTTTCAGTCATGCAGTGGCGCCAACAATTCATGCAGTGGTCAAATATCACCGACAAGCAAATTGCCGTCTTCACAGCCGATCAGAAGGAGAAGGTGAGGTCTTCTATGCGAGGCTCAGCGCTCGTTCTGACCGCTATTCAGTTCGCTGGGGACAGTGGCATCGTTGTCTCTACTTACTCCATGGTGGCTAACACCGGCAACCGTTCTCATGAGTCGAAAAAGATGATGGAGTTCCTCACGTCGCGCGAGTGGGGTTTCATCCTCCTCGATGAGGTGCATGTCGTACCCGCCGTCATGTTCCGACGGGTGGTTTCGACCATTAAGGCGCACTCCAAGTTGGGGCTGACAGGTGAGGATTGACACTCCTGGTGTGAAGCAACTGCTCTTACGTTCCATGCCAGCAACACTGGTTCGTGAGGACGATAAGATTGCCGACCTTAACTACATGATTGGTCCGAAGCTGTATGAGGCAAATTGGATGGAGCTGGCAGCGAAGGGGCATATTGCCAATGTTCAGGTAAGCTACCCTGAGCCTTTTCAAATTGTGTGATTTTGATGTGTTCCGTCAAGTGTGCGGAGGTTTGGTGCCCTATGACCCCCGAATTCTACCGTGAATACCTGCGGGAACAGTCGCGCAAACGCATGCTTCTGTATTGCATGAACCCTAGGAAGTTTCAGGCGTGCCAGTTCCTCATCAAGTACCATGAGGACAGAGGGGACAAAATCATTGTCTTTTCGGATAACGTGTTTGCTCTCGAGGTACGTACTTCTCACGCTCTACTGTCAAGCGCGGCTTTCTCAGCGTTTTCTATACACGCTTCGCTCTGACACATCACAGGCGTACGCGAAAAAGCTCGGGAAGCTCTATATTCATGGGGGTACGGGGCAGACCGAGCGGATGCGAATCCTTCAACACTTCCAGCACAGTCCTGAAGTGAACACGATTTTCCTATCAAAGGTAACGGTCACTAATTGATCAGTTGTCCGGGCTGCTGGCTGAGTACGAGTTTACGTCTGCAGGTCGGCGACACCTCGATCGACTTACCCGAGGCGACCTGTCTCATACAAATCTCCTCGCACTTCGGCTCCCGTAGGCAGGAAGCGCAGCGGCTTGGTAAGTCTGTTCGTCGCTCTCGGACGTCGGCGGGTATGTCCGTGGTGTCGCAACGATTGACATGATCAACGTAGGGCGCATTTTGCGTGCGAAGAGGCGTAACGACGAGGGGTTCAACGCCTTCTTCTATTCTCTTGTCTCCAAGGACACCCAGGAGATGTTCTACAGCACCAAGCGGCAACAATTCCTGATCGACCAAGGTTACGCCTTCAAGGTCATCACTCATCTCGACGGCCTTGACGACCTGCCGGGGCTCGTCTACAAGTCGCGCGACGAGCAGATTGAATTGCTGTCCTCGGTACTTCTCGCCAACGAGAGCGAAGCTGAACTCGGAACAGACGTTGTCGCCAGTGAGGGAGACCTCAAGGGCACCGTCACATCCAAGGACTTCGGGACGCCGTCGAAGGCTCCTACCGTGCAGCGTACCACAGGCTCACTCACCGCGCTCAGCGGGGCCCAACACATGTCGTACGTGGAGCAGAACAAGTCAGCCAACAGAAAGCTCGCGCGTGAAGTTGCTCCCCGCCACAAGTTGTTCGCTAAGCGTGACAAGGATGTGGCTGCTGCGCGGAAGGAGGCTAGGACCGCCTCCAAGGGTTGATGTTCGTGTGGTATGCCGACACGTTCGGTGATAAATCTGTCTTGACGGTCATCGGGTGGTGCTCCTTCCGTTCGTTGTTCAAGGACCTTGAGTGATAGCTCCCTGTACTTTATTGTATTCGTAGTAATGTTACGGACTCCTGTAATCTCACCACCCTTGGATATCCCGGCACTTGATCATCTCGGAAGACTGACGCCTTTGCAGCAAGCGCTGCTACTAGCCTACTTTACATTGGACCCCCCTGGCTATACCATGCTAACCGCAATCAAGTACAAAAGGTATGTTGATGACATTGTGGCGTAACTAACGAGGTTGTTGGTCCACGGCTGCGGCCTCATCGTGAGGAGGGTGAACGCATCTCCGGACATGTGCCTCGGGCATAGCTCATTGTCGTACTCGGCCGCGACACCCGACATATTAATCCCTCCGTCTTTCACTCGCTAGAGGCACAAGTTTCGTAGCCTTCCCGCCCTCTGAAGGCGCCTGGCTTCAGCAAAATATAGAGGATGCAAGGCGAGTACCACAAGTGATATAGTCTCTCGACTGCTGTCCCGGCCGTTGATGACGAAGGATTCTAGTGAATGCTTGAACGCCTAGACACCGCGCCCGCTACCAGCGTTCACGGCTCCGTTAGCGACAGGACGATGGAAGCACGATCCGACGACGACCTCATGGTGAGGAGTGCACGAGCGCATTGATGAGAAGCATGCCATAACGGAGCTGCCCTTCTCCCCGAACATCGCACTGATCTAACCCTCCTTCCTCCAGCTTGCAGACGCTATTGTCCATACTCAGACTAATTTTGCCACGGGCTCGTCTATCTATACATAAGACAGCGTCTTCAGCGTATACGGCATGCTTACGAGTTGTAGAAGCGCAAGCCAAACCCGGCGGCCTCCTGCGTGAAACGTGGACCGGTCAATCCGTCCCGTCATCCGGCCATTTTTTTCGCCGGCGGCAGGGCTCGCGTGTATAGGTTGGGCAAGCCCCAATTGCCGGGCTTCGATTGAAAAATCAAGTTGCAGTTGCACGCCCGATGTGGATCTGTCGCTGTCCCGTCCACCGGCTGAACGAGGAGCATCACGCTATGTAATGGAGAGCGATCTCGCAAACCAATCTGTGATGTCGGCCCCCGGATTTCAAATACGGGACACGGGACGCACAGTGATTGCAGTGCTACTTACTTACCCCGTACCCTACACGCAATAGCCTAGGCGTCACGGTAGCAGCATGGGATCATGTTGCGAATGCGATGAGGGGGATGACCAACCTCATTCAAGTCGAAGTTCATATTCGGTGTCCGCCCCACGCGGGGCAGCATGTCGGCATTCTATGGGCGAGGCGAAGGAAGATGCAATCGTGAGTAACGACTCCGCCCTGTGGCCTTGGGAGAACCGTGAATCTAAAGCTGCAACGGCAGGGTAGTCGGTACCACATATGGTCGAATCCGAGACAAGCCCCCGCGTGTAGAGGGACGTTTCACCTCCTCTCAGTGTCTTCGTAAATATTGAATATCACAACCGAACGAGGTGCGAACGCAATGGATCCAGTCAGCATACAGAATTCATAATGGATATGTTTCTGTCTGGGACATTTCGGTTGCGTAGTAAGCAAGTGCAATGCGCACCATTCCGAGTCCCCGATCGGCCTCTCGTATTCTCCTTGCGGCGGTTCGACATCCTCCATCGGAGTTGGCTTCCTTGGAGATCAGCTTGCAGTTGACATACATCAGCTAGGTACTTCAGCTAGGTACAAGGAAATCGAAAGTCCCAGGACGACATATCTCAGTCGATAACTCACCGCTGCAATTGGACCCGGAGTCGATGAGACTCCTTACTCTCGCAGGCACGTCGGCGAGCGCATCGCCGGCGTTTCGTTCAATTGCCACGAAAGTGAAGTGTGCACGAGATGGCTGCCAGACAATGCTCCTCTGGCGACATCGGCGTGCTGCAAGTTGGTAATAAAATGTGGCAAGGCGGCTCCGTAACCGTATGGCGGCCGCCGCGCAGCACTCGCCATTTAATCCCAGCTGGCGCGCGCCTACGTAGAAGCCGTAGAAGACGCCGGTAGAAGCCCGTACGTATTTGCTTTTTGCGTCGATCATCGTGTTAGGCTTCTAACACTCGCCGGCGACTCTTGCGGGTATTGGCGGCCGAACGGTGGCGAGGAGTGAGCCCCAGTGGGCGGACTACACGACATAACCCTGCTCGACACAACAACATGAAGTCTGCAAGATGCCAAATCCGATACTCAACAGCGATGCCGAGCTGTAGGAAGGCTATCAGTGCGAAAACTTGCAGAAGCATGTAGAGATGTGGTGTCTACTTGCCTCCTGCACTACGAGAGGTCCCAAGCGCGTTGTTGCCGTCCTTGCTACTGTTTCACGGACTGCAGAGGCGATGCGTCGCGTGGCCACCGCCCAGCGCAGCAGACATGGGCACCTACGTAGAGTACAAGGGGACTCGCACAGGCTGGAGGACCTCGTCAGTGCGTGCCTTTGGTTTCCGTGGCGCCCTGCGCGGGGTGTCGAGACACCAAGATAGTAAATTCGGGCACAGCATGCGTGTAGCGAAAGGGCGACAGAATGATGTAATCAGGAGAGCTCTGCGGCAGGGAGGGCACAAGACCGGTGCCTCGAGGATGCCGTAGGGAAACCCGTGTTGCCCGGGGAGAAGTGTCTGAGATACAGATCAAAGTTTGCTTGACTTAGCCTGGGCGCTTTCCGCCCGATCACGCTGTCTCCACTGTATTCGGCGGGGCAAGCCTCCCGACTTGCTACGTGCTATATTCTGATACTTATGTGTGCACGACCTGAGATCGGAGAATGGGCTACGTGGAGCGATGCGTCCACGCTCACGAAATAGCGGTGGTCATGATGAGTCCGACTTTGCGGGAGTACTGATTCGACGAGCCGATTCGCGAAGCAGCGCGCGGGGCAGAAAGAAGCAGCCAGCAGCGCGCGGCGTGGGAGAGAAGAGAACACCAGGCCTGGTACACAGGCTACAGTAGACGGAAGCGGCGAAAACGTTTCGGTCACGACAGGATCCTCGAGCTCGGAAGCGCGGAATACTTTGCAGTGGGCGCGGGCGTTCGAATTCAACTCAGTCCTGGCATCTCGCGACGGGGGGCGCCGAGGTGCACATTGTCGGCGACCCAATGTGGCTCACTTGCGGAGGCGTGCACAGCGCGCGCCCACGCCTGAGACCTCGGTGGTGATGCCTGATGGGGGCCGTGGCACTGTGCAGGATGGCCAGGCGGACTGCCCGCTGCCGTTGCTGGGAGGAGGAGGAGAGACGGTTGATCGAGGCGCGCGGGGGAGCACTGCCATCAAAATGGAATATCGCCGCCGGGAAGTGTCCAAACAACGGTGGATGCCATGCTCTCATCCTATCCTCAGCCGGCGGCGCTTACACCCTCTGTCTTAAACACTTGCTCTGTCCCCGACGCCTCCGGATCCACACTCGCCTTCCCCGCACCCGCAGCCCCCTGACCACCATCTTCCGTCCATCACGTCGCCCCTCCCAGACACCATGTCCTCCAAGCGCGGCCGCAAGCGCAACGACAACCTGCCCCCTAATCGCGCACGGGACGTTCAGAGAGCGTTCCGAGCTAGACGAGCTGCACACCTCGAGGTGCGCTTCCCAGATTCCTCGATTGCAAATCCATGCTGATCGTCCTTCCAAGGCCCTCGAAAATAGAGTTGCAGAACTCGAAGAGGAGAACAACACGCTTCGCGCCGCCCTCAGCCTCCCTCCTGCCAATCGCCCTCCTCTCGGCAAGGGCCCGACCGGCAAAGACAAGCCCAAGGCTTCTGGGTCGAAATCTGCCACGGCTTCAGGCCTCCTATCCTCCCCCGCTTCCGGCGCCCCCATGCCTCCTCTAAGTCGCACCGAGTCGCCATTATCGACCGGTTCTGCAAGCGGCCACTCGATGTCCCCCGACCCCATGAGTTCAGCTTCAGGTCTGTCTGCTCCGTCACAAACTTCTCCTCCCCCGCTCGACCCTGCCGGCTGGAGCGACAACATATTCGGCGACAAGGGCTCGGACCAGTCGTTATCCTCCAATTTCTCCCTCCCCTCCACCTCCTCTCATGCCTCGCACAACAATCTCTTCCCACAAATACCTCGTTCGGTCCCAAATGACATCTTCCCATCGGCTCAAGGTTTTACGTCCTCGGATGAAAAGTCCTTCGGGTACCTGCCCTCGGAGGGGCGGCGATCATACAACTATTCGCATCCGCTCATGTCGGGCCATCCGTCGACGCAGTCAACACTACCGCCATCGCTATCGTCGAGTGCGGGCGACACGAACGACCTGGCTCCGTTCCTTCAGCGACGCGCCATCACAGAGCCCGACGGGTTCCGCACGCTGCTGAACCAGATGCAGGCGTCGCAAAACGGCCTGCAGACACCGGCCCCCCGCATGTCGCAGTCCACGCTCCTCAACGTGGTCGACGCGCCTCTGTCGGAGTACGATTTGCCTGGGGGCGCAGAGCGGAGATATCCCCGGCTGCACTAATGTCCTGGGCGAGCGCGCTCCGTGACTCGTCTTGTTGAAGACGCCCACCGCTACTGTGCTGGTTCCCATGGACGTCGCAGATATTTCTCACTTTCTGGGATCATCTGGAGCTGTCGTCTATATCCTATGTATCGCTATCCTAGTCTGCTTACCCGTTCTCCCGCCCAACCACTCTCGACGATCTCGCGCCCAGCCTGCACTACGACGTCCTCGGCTCTTGAGCGTTGCCTCATCCCTAACCTCCGTCTCTCGAACTCACTCCGGTCTCGCTGCATGTCCACGCTGCTGTACGGCTATCCTTGCTGCATTATAGTCTTACATTTATTATCTCTCCTCTTACTATACATAACTATCCATCCCGTCCCAGTGTGCGCTGATGCTAAGACCAGCCGTAGGCATTATTATGCACATGCCTACCGCTATCATACAGGTGTACCCAATGTATTCTAGACTACGCTTGCACCACTATGTGAAGCTTCATGCTCGATTTCTAGTGTTTGGCTTAACTGTGTTTGGCGTGCCTGGACAGGCTCTGCAGGTCCGCATTCGGAAGACGTCTCTGATGGCAGTCATTTCTTCCGTGAAATGTAGGTCGCGTGGTGCGGCTCCGCGGCTCCTAGCTATGAGGACCAGCCCTGGCCGCACAACGAATCAACTTGAACGCCGTCTGGCACCGCATGCATTGCCTCCGTTTACCGTCGTCGTCCGGCGAGGCTAGCTTTGGCTTCGGCCGTCCTCATCATTGTCATCGGCTGCGCATACGAGGAGTGGTGCGGATCCGTCGTCCAGCCCTGCCTGGGCGGCGCAGGGCTAGCGGTTAACGTTACGTTCGACGCTCACCTTGCTTGACGGCGGCGCAGCACACGGGGTCGATCCGGACAGGCACGCCGCGCTCCGCGGGCGTGCTCAGCTGCCAGCTACTATTTTCGTTACTTCCTGCGCCTGATCGCCGACGACCAGCTGGCCATGGTGCCAGAGGGTGCCAGTCCGAGTCGCAGCTGGTGGCGCCCCGGCTGACGTTGGCAGATGGCTGAGATTCCGGAGTGCGCCCAGGGGCCCGGGCTCCTCTCGGGCTTGAGCTGGAGAGATCGGTAATGATTACATAGGAGCACAGCGGGGCGGCGCGAGCCCGATCTTCAGGCGATATCCGACCGAGGTGCGCGGTGCGGTGCACCGGCTGGGCTGGCCCGTCGCGCGCTGTCGGACACACATCTGTCAGACGCCATGGTCCCGACGCTGTACTCGCGACTTACTGGATGACTTTCCATAAGCTATCTACGGCTCTACGGACGTCCGTAAATCTCTAAACAGACCGATTTGGGCAAGGGGCAGTGTTGCCGACACCAGATCTGAACTCCGCTGATGAAATTTAGGATACGGACGTCAAAATCTAGGAGGGGGGTCCGACCCCCCTTTCTAAATCTCTAACAGGCCGTAGACAGTCCGTAGACCTCGGCATACGGTGCCGTGACCACGAGAAAGGAAGGAGCCATCATGACAAAGCGAACTGCATGCCAAATACAGACATGACATAAGCCACTCCAGTCACGTGCTGATGATGAGCAGAACATGCCGCTTGTTTAGCGCCCAAGATCCACAGACTGTTTCAAACCCCGCCTAGAAATCTACGGACGTCCGAGAGCCGTAGATCCGTT